ATTTATATCCTCATGATACTTGCTGTCGTTTCTGAAACTGTTGATTCCTAGCTGCTTCTCTCATAAGGAGGCTTTTCACAACCAGGCCTATCTTTTCAGGCAGCTTCCTGCCCTATTACTCTGCTCCAGGCACCCTAAACTCTGGTTCATTCAATTCAATGTCACTATTCCTTGAACATACCTATAGCCTTGGTCTAAGCTATAGGTTCCTACCTTGCTTTCTACCTGCATATGATAAACTCCTCTTCATCTATAAACAAATGTTTCTACACAAACCAGAATTAGGCACAATCTCTTGTACTTTTTTTTTTTTTTTTTTTTTGGAGACAGAGGCTCACTCTGTCACCCAGGCTAAAGTGCAGTGACACAGTCATAGCTCACTGCAGCCTCAAACTCATGGGCTCAAGCCATTCTCTCACCTCAGCCTCCCACCCCAGTGTCTGGGACTATAGGCATGTGCCATTATATCTGGCTAATTCTATTTTTTGTAGAGATGGAGTCTGGTTATATAACCCAGGCTGGTCTTGAACTCCTGGGCTCATGTGATTCTCCCAGCTCAGCCTCCCAAAGTGTTGGGATTATAGATTTGAGCCACTGCACTAGGCCTGAACCTTGTTTTAATACTACTTACTTCCGTTTGCCTCTATTCATTCAAGTGTGCTCCTTGCATGAATACTGGTTGGGAATTCAATCTTTTCCGCCTCTTCTCCAGTGCTAGTAAGGTGCCTTGGCTACACTGCAAATAATCACTATATGTTGTATAAATAATTATCTCACAAAAGTTAAAAGGAAGTCTTTGTTATGACTTTTGACTACTTACTTTATATACCTTTACTGTAAATTTTATGTAAATCCTTTTTTCTTTGTACCAAATTTGGGTAAGAAAAATGCCTTTTGGCTTTGGTTCTGTTTATGTGGTGAATTATGTTTATAGACTTGTGTTTATGTTGAACCACATGATTATCTCAATTGAGGCAGAGAAGGCCTTTGACAAAATTCAACAGCCCTTTATGCTAAAAACCCTCAATAAACTAGGTATTGACGGAACATATCTAAAAATAATAAAAGCTGTTTACGACAAACCAACAGCCAATATCATACTGAATGGGCAAAAACTGGAAGCATTCCCCTTGAAATCTGGCACTAGACAAGGATGCCCTCTCTCACCACTCCTATTCAATATAGTACTAGAAGCTCTAGCCAGAGCAATCAGGCAAGAAAAAGAAATAAAGGGTATTCAAATAGGAAAGGAGGAAGTCAAATTGTCTCTATTTGCAGACGACATGACTGTATATCTAGAAGACCCCATTGTCTCAGCCCCAAGTCTGAAACTGATAAGCAACTTCAGCAAAGTCTCAGGATACAAAATCAATGTGCAGAAATCACAAGCATTCCTATACACCAATAACAGACTTAAAGACAGCCAAATCAAGAGGGAACTGCCATTCACAATTGCTACAAAGAGAATAAAATACCTAGCAATACAACTAACAAAGAACATAATGGACCTCTTCAAGGAGAACTACAAACCACTGCTCAACGAAATAAGACAGGACACAAACAGTTGGAGAAACATTCCATGCTCATGGTTAGGAAGAATCAATATTGTGAAAATGGCCATACTGCCCAAAGTAATTTACAGATTCCATGCTATACCCATCAAGCTACCAATGACCTTCTTCACAGAACTGGAAAAAACCACCTTAAACTTCATATGGAACCGAAAGAGAGCCCGCATAGCCAAGTCAATTTTAAGCAAAAAGAACAAAGTGGGAGGCATCACACTACTGGACTTCAACCTATACTACCAGATTACAGTAATCAAAACAGCATGGTACTGGTACCAAAACAGAGATATAGCTAGCCATGTGCAGAAAGCAGAAACTGGACCCCTTCCTGACACCTTACACTAAAATTAACTGTAGATGGATTAAAGACTTAAGCATAAGACCATAAAAATCCTAGAAAAAAATCTAGGCAAAATCATTTAGAACATAGGCATAGGCAGGGACTTCATGACCAAAACACCAAAAGCATTGGCAACAAAGGCCAGAATAGACAAATGGGACCTAATCAAACTCCACAGCTTCTGCACAGCAAAAGAAAGAGTCATTAGAGTGAATCGGCGACCAACAGAATGGGAAAAAATTTTTGCAGTCTACCCATCTGACAAAGGGCTGATATCCAGAATCTACAAAGAACTAAAACAGATTTACAAGAAAAAAACAAGCCCATTCAAAAGTGCACCAAGGATATGAACAGACACTTTACAAAAGAAGACATATATGAGGCCAACAAACATATGAAAAAATGTTCATCTCTGGTCATTAGAGAAATGCAAATCAAAACTACATTGAGATACCATCTCACGCCTGTTAGAATGGTGATCATTAAAAAATCTGGAGACAACCGATGCTGGAGAGGATGTGGAGAAACAGGAACACTTTTACACTGTTGGTGGGAGTGTAAATTAGTTCAACCATTGTGGAAGACAGTGTGGCGATTCCTCAAGGACCTAGAAATAGAAATTCCATTTGACCCAGCAATCCAATTACTGGGTATATATCCAAAGGATTGTAAATCATTCTACTATAAGGACACATGCACACGAACGTTCATTGCAGCACTGTTTACAATAGCAAAGACCTGGAACCAATCCAAATGCCCATTGATGATAGACTGGACAGGGAAAATGTGGCACATCTACACCATGTAATATTATGCAGCCATCAAAAACGATGTGTTCGTGTCCTTTGTAGGGACATGGATGAACCTGGAAACCATCATTCTCAGCAAACTGACACAAGAACAGAAAATCAAATACCGCATGTTCTCACTCATAGGTGGGTGTTGAACAATGAGAACACATGGACACAGGGAGGGGAGCATCACACACTGGGGTCTGTCGGGGGGAAACAGGGGTGGGACAGCGGGGGATGGGGAGTTGGGGAGAGAGAGCATGGGGAGAAATGCCAGATATAGGTGATGGGGAGGAAGGCAGCAAATCACACTGCCATGTGTGTATCTATGCAACAATCTTGTATGTTCTTCACATGTACCCCAAAACCTAAAATGCAATAAAAAAATGCCTTTTGGCAAAGCAAAAATTTAAGACAGAAATCACTCTTTCTTGTTGCAGAAACAGTGAAAATCAAGATCTGAAATCAAACACCCGGAGAAAAAAATACCTAATTTTAGAGGAAAAAATGAGAGAATCTATTTTAGTGGGCAGTGAATGTACTGCATGTATTTTATGTAACAGCCTCGCATAGTGGTTGAGTATACAATTTGAACTAAGTGCCTAGGTTCAAATTTTAGCTCTATTATTTCCCAGCTATAGTCCTGGGCAAGCTACTTAAACTTTCTGTGCCTCAGTTTCTTCATCTGTAAAAGAGTTAATAATACCTCACGGGGTGTTCTGAGGCTTATGTGGGATTATTTAAAGCACGTAGATGAGTACCTGGCACATGGATACTTGGACTGGGAACTTACTGTTATATGCCCTCTTAGCGTTTACCCATTATTTTGTGCAGCACATACTTTCACCTCTCCACCAGTAATGGTGAAAACTGATAGAATCTGTCCTTTGTTTCCTGATCTCTACTGAAATCAGAGTCACATGTGCAAGCTGAATGATGCCATTAGGCCCATAACCAGTTGATCTCATTCTTCTCAAAACCAATGTCCATGCAATTAGCTAATAAGACTGCTTGAGCTTCAATGAAGATGAAATAGATTGTGTCCAACATTTGAGTGGCTCTCTTCCTTTTTGGGTACATAAAGATCCACAATCACCGGGCGCGGTGGCTCACGCCTGTAATCCCAGCACTTTGGGAGGCCAAGGCAGGTGGATCACGAGGTCAAGAGATCGAGACCATCCTGGTCAACATGGTGAAACCCCGTCTCTACTAAAAATACAAAAAATCAGCTGGGCATGGTGGCATGTGCCTGTAATCCCAGCTACTCAGGAGGCTGAGGCAGGAGAATTGCCTGAGCCCAGGAGGCGGAGGTTGCGGTGAGCCGAGATTGCACCATTGCACTCCAGCCTGGGTAACGAGAGTGAAACTCTGTCTCAAAAAAAAAAAAAAAAAAGATCCACAAAATTCCTGGGTGGAGTCTAGAAATTTCACTTTTAGCTATTACCAAAGATGATTCTGAGGCACACCTGGACACACTCAGAAGCACTGGTTTAAATTTAGTGCCCACCAGTGATTTTCATGTGTGGGATGCAAATCAGAATCATTCGTACAACTTTATAAAAATATAGGTTACTGAGCCTCAGCCCTCAAGATTATGACTCAAGATATATCTTTAGAAAGCTCCTGGGTAATACAATACCAGTTGTATATTTTATTTTTTGAAAATGCTTCTAAGTGCTTAACAGTTAAATGTGATGACTAACACTTTTTGAGGTATGACCCTTAATATAACTTAGAAGTCTTAAAAACTGAAAAAGTGGTTCAAAAAAAGGTCAACAATCTTGTCAACAAGAGCCAAAAACAGAATCTTGATCTCTTAAAAATCTTTTCCAGCAGTCTCTGTTTTTCAGCAAATTGATGATAATGTAATACTGACAAAGATGTGTCTTAAAACACAGTCATCAGTCAGTCATTAATGCTAGGATTATTCACAAAGTGTTTGGGAAAAGTGATAAGTGAACAGTTATGGTTATTAGCATCTGTACGATTTTAGACACAGAAACTATTAAAGGAAATTATTCAAGGCCATTGTGACAGGTAGTGGCATAAGCAATAGTGGAAATGGTGCCTCTTGATCCCCAATCCAGTTCTTCCCTCTATCTTCTCCTTCCTTACCTCCAAAACTGCATTTCCTAACACTCCCTTCCTTTCTCTAACCCAGGCCCTAGCATTTTTTTTCTGTAAAGGGTCAGCAAAGTAAGAATTTTAAGCTTTTCAGGCAATATAGTTTTTCAGAAGCCACTCATCTCTAATATTGTAGCACAAAAGCAGCACAGACGACGTGTAAATGAATACGTGCTGTTGTGCTCCATTAAAAGTTTATTTACAAAAACAGACAGTAGGCTGGAGTGGTCTGAGGACCGTAGCTTGTGGACCCCTGTCTCTAACCAGAAAACTTATGAATGTTTGACTTTTCTTATCAGGAAACTGAAGATTCTACAAAAGATGTGCTATTCTCCTATGTGGAAATATTAATGCTTCATGAAATTGAAATCACAGATCAAATAAAAATCATGATTTGAGGGACCAAAATTGAGTACTTAAGAATTTAACTACAAAACAAATGAAGTTTTCCCCCTTAATGTATTTTAGTGTTACTATATACAGATTAAGCCACATGACAAGCTACTATACAACAGCATGTTAAAAAACATGTTTATTTTACAATATGTACAATCAGGAACATATTTTAAAACCATTATCAATTAAAATAACTGAAGACCATAAATCACAATTTAGTTTGTTCTTAATGTATATACTCACATTAAAATATAAAGAACGTATACCAAAAAGAGCCAAAAGTGTGCATTTTGCTAAAACTTGGTATATACATATTCCATTGGAAAAAAGCAATCAAAAATGACTTAAACCAAAACTAAGTTCCTGTGATGTGTAGTAACCATTATATTGTTTGTATGAGGTAGTAACTAAATCATTTTGGCCATGTTTTAATACTCTCAATCAAAAGAAATATGAAAAGGATCATAAAATAAGGCCAACAAAAGTAAAAATTCCACGAGACATTTGAACCACTTCACTCTATGGAATGTTACAGTTCTTCAATGTGATTATATGAAATGTTTAGTGAGGACTCTTTAATAATGCTAATTAATTCTTTGTGCATACTGTAATTCAGACCACAACTGCAGTATTATATCACGGTACCGCTATTCTGTGATTCAAAAATGTTCAAAGGTATTGTTTTTAAGCAAAGACAAGCAGTATTACAGGATTCTGCTTAAATATAAAAAGACCAGTTACTACAACAGTTGGTTAATTGTAATTGGTTTGCTTCACATAGAAAACAATCCAAATACATCTGTAGAGCCAAATGCTTATAGACAGTGTCACAGCTTACTTTTGTGACTTAATACATCACATATCAATACTTTGTGCAAATATAAACACCAGTGTACTTGCATTAAAATTAAAAACGATTATAAAATGATTACAGCCTCCATTACAATTTTAAAAGTTACAAGATTTATATTCATATTACTAAATTACATATAATAAAAATACAATAGTGTTAAGTGTATTGTTTCATTGCCAGCATCCCATTTTGTAATATAGCCACACCCAAGAATATACTAAAGAATTCTTAAAATATTAACCCCAATTGCATTTTCATCAACATTTACATCTGTACAGATAAGACACTTACTTGTACATCTCATAAAAGTACATTATCTACATCAATTCTTAGTGTATGTCTTCAGCAATATGAAGTTGCACAGAAAAAATACTGCCTATATGTACAAAGATTACATAACAATGAATTAAGCACTTGTGTGGTTCAATATGCTAAATATATCCATACCACTTAAAACAAAATTTTCCCCCTCTTGTCTCATGCCACAATAAATTACAAAGTAACTGAAGACAGGTTACTGCAGCTTTTGTACAGCTTCAAGCATCCATTAATGTTGCAGCGGTAGTGTTCTTTCTTTCTAGAGTTAACTGTCAAAGCACAACAATTCTCAGTAACTGTTTTCATGACCCGCCAGGATGTATAAATTGCTATTTGCTGTGGGGTTATCAGTTGGCCTACTTTCCAAAACCACGACCCTAAAAGTAATAAGCAAAAAACATAAAACAGAACAAAGTTATTCCTGAAAACTAATGTTAGCCCCCAAATTTTCCATTGCTTCTCCATTATATGCCTCTATAAATGGTGCTCATTTGATGGTGGGCAGAAATCATTTGCTATCACTGTAATTAGAGGGCCAGTTCTAGCTCCGGGAAGTAATTTTGATGTCCACTACCTCCCACCTCTAGGCCAGTGTTCTAAGAGTTAGAGGTGGGGAGAAACCTATATTAGAAATCATTTGGGGGAACCTAATTCTTATTACAAGTTCTGTAAACGATTTGCAGTTCAAGAATCTGAAGGTAAATCAGAACGGGTCTCCAAAATCCTATTTGGCATTAACAACAAAAAGTTCTGGTCATTAACATAAGGCATTTCCTCCTTCTGCTGCTGCTGCAAATCAGACATTAGTATGTTTAATGCAAACGAGTATTGACAGATCCATACATTTCTGTTATTTGGAAGATCAGGTACATTTTCAAACATGTTCTAACTTTCCGACTTGTGAATTCTTATAGTGTGAAAAATTCAATGTTGAGCATATTCCAGACATTTCGATTCTCTTGAAAAAGCTATCTGTTTCATGCTAGATCTATGAAACATGTTTAGTACTATATATTTAACACAGCCTGTTTCATACCTGTCAGATCCAAGCAGCCTGAAAATTCTTGTGCTATCTGAAATTTCTTGTGTTACCTGTTCAATTAAAACATAAATTTAATTTCTAAAATTAAAGACACAAAATTTTTAACAGGTACTTCATTATAATTCAACAGAAAAGAAACATAATTCCTAAAAGGAAAATATATCCCTGCATGACTATTTGTTAAGTCAGCATGCAGGTACATCAATTTGTTAGTCTAGGGGAAATGTGGTTAATTTTGAGTTAATCATAAAATACAGGCAAAGGAAAATGATTTCCTTGTTAAATCATAAGACTTCAAGGGAAAAACTTAAAAGCAAAGCACTAAATCCATTTTATTTATTAGAAACTCTCATCATTTATGTCAATGCTAATGGCAAGGTTACTGGCAGCAGTAAGCCACTTAGATCTGGTTCTTTTATTTAAAAGGCTGCCATGTAGTATAACAGGAAATATTTAAAAGCCAGACATGCCTTGAGTTTGAATCTCAGTTCTCCCACTTACTGGGCAATGTATTTAAAATCTGCTAGAAATGGTTATGCCTTATGTAATATGGGATAGAAAAGATCTACCATGCAGTAGTGCCCTGCAGTGTTCTTAAAAGAATTAGTGGGTACAATGCCTAGCTAAGGAAGTACTCAATACATAATAATTATCTTTCCCACTTCTTCCCATTGTCTTGAAATAATATTTTCTAATGACCATATATCGTTCAAGAAGTCCTCAGTGTGACCAATTACCAGTTGGGGAATTAAGAATAAATATACAGAAAAAAAAGAAACCAACTGTTCACAGCTTACTCAACACAACATATTATGAATTGTAACAGCAGTAGCATCTCCCCAAAATTGGGTAGGCAGAAGAAAAAATGGATTTGAAATTAAATTTATTCCATCAATACCCCTAGAAGTAGATTTTCTGGAAACATCAATGACTCTTAGCTTCTGTTGTAACCCAGCACACCTGAAGGAAACAACATGCTCAGCACACTCACTTCAATGCCAGTGGCTCAGCGTGACTGCAATTACCGATATATTTAGGGGTTTGCCTACTAGAAGAATCTAACATTTTTGGAGGTGCGTATTGATGGGTTGCCTGTGTAGTTCTCAGGTGACTTTTTGGGGTTTTTCCTTTTTGTTCTTAAACGACTCTCTGTTCTATCTTTATAATGCTTCTCTTACTCTGACTAGTGTTTATTAGCTGTTGACCGTTCTTATCTCCGTGCTCTACTTTCTCAGGTGATTTTTAGAAAGTGTGAGTCTATTTGTGGGAATAGACTCACAAAGTTCTATTTCTACTTTTAGAAACATAGTAGTAGCCACCTTTGAAACACTTACCATAGGCCAGGAACCAGGCCAAGCACATTACATGCTTTGTTTCATTTAATCACAACTCAATTCACAGATGAAAAAGAAAGGTAGAAAGAAGTCAGGTGACATGCCACGGTCACCGAGCTACTAACTAGCAGAACTTGAGACGAAGCTGAGTGTCTCAACACTGGAACCCAGGCTCATGAACACTGTGTTATATTGCTTACTTTGTTAGAAAAAACGTTCTGAGCTTAACGAATGACAGTTTAAGAAACAAATACGCTTCCTTCCAAGTTATACGACTGAGATTGGCTTGCAGGTTACTGGAAGAATTTTGGACAATTTTATGTGTTTATAACATTCTGGGGGGCAAGTGCCACATCTTGTTCATGTTTAGAACCTCAGAACTTTGCGGCGTAAATGTTGAACTGACTTGAATATGTCACACAGCTTGGAGTTAAGTTATTTCTGTAAGGTAGAAGGCCTCATGAGATGCAAAGCTAAAGGTTAATAAAATGGGAAGGAAAAGGAGGCAAAGAATTATATACATGTCAAATGAATAAGGATGACGACAATCAGAGGCAAGTGGGCTTTCAGAGAAATGTAGGACTCTTTACTTAGTCTGCACTGGTCATTATTTCTTTTTTTTTGAGACGGAGTTTTGCTCTTGTTGCCCAGGCTGGAGTGCAATAGCACGATCTCAGCTCATTGCAACCTCCACCTCCCAGGTTTTCAAGCAATTCTCCTGCCTCAGCCCAAGTAGCTGGAATTACAGGCATGTGCCAGCACGCCTGGCTAATTTTGTATTTTTAGTAGAGATGTGGTTTCTCCATGTTGGTCAGGCTGGTCTTGAACTCCCAACCTCAGGTGATCCACCTGCCTTGGCCTCCCAAAGTGCTGGGATTACAGGCATGAGCCACTGTGCCCAGCCACTGGTCATTATTTCTGAAGTACAAGGTAGAAAAGGTGCTTAAGGCCAGAGAGAACCAGCACTATCACTCTTGCTCCAGGTGTTCCTCTGGGAAAGTTGAAAGAAAATCATAGTTGGCCCAATTTTAGCAGATTAGCAAGTTCTTGTTCTAAATTTCAGAGTGATTATCTGGAAGCACAGTAAATATGCACTAAAATTGTTTGAGTAATGGAGAGAGACAGGTGGCTATAGGTATGGTTTACTGACTTTATCAATAGACTAAATACATTAAATATTAATAAAGTTAGCCAATAGAGTGTTACTTGTATCATTTGGGAATCTTCTAAAGTTAGAGAATTGTTTGTAGTGGAATTTGATAATGTCTTGTGACTACTTAATGGACATAATTTACTTACCTCATTAGATCTAAAACTTCTACCTTGCATTCCATGTTTCCAGAAAGCCAGCACACTGTCTTGTAGGCAAACTAGCAGGCAAGAACAGCTCAATTACTGTTAATAGTACAAAAGTTCAACTGATAAGCATCATTTCATCCCTCCATATCTCATATAGCAATATTTCAATTCACAATTTATGTCAGTGCTTTCGTATTTATATGGCATCTTTACATTTGAAAAGTTTACAAATATACTATACAGAGCTTATACATCTTTTTGGTAGGAATAAAAATTCACTAAAAATATTTTTGTTACAGAAATGTTTGTTTTAATAATTTATTTTTTTGAGACAGGAGTCTTGCTCTGTTGTCCAGGCTAACATGCAGTGGGGCAATCTTGGCTCACTGCAATCTCTGCCTCCCAGGTTCCAGTGGTTCTTGTGCCTCAGCTACCCAACTAGTTGGGAATGCAGGCGTGTACCACTATGCTCAGCTAATTTTTTTGTATTTTTAGTAGAGATGGAGTTTCACTACGTTGGCCAGGCTGGTTTCTAACTCCTGGCTTCAAGTGATCTGCCTGCCTCGGCCTCCCAAAGTGCTGGGATTAAAACTGTGAGCATTTCGCCTATTTTGATAAATTTCAAAAATAAAATACTTCAATCATACAGAAAAATACAGAGAATAGCATAAAAATACACGTGTATCCACTACCCAATCAAATCCTAACATTCTGCCATATTTGCTTTAAATAAAAACAAATACAGCTGGCATCCCCTACATTCCCTCCCCTATTCCCAGTTCCCAAATCCTTATCCTCCCTAAGATAACCACTATTGTAAATTTGGTACTGATCATTCTCATGCATGTTTTTACTATTCCTATGCCGTAAGTTTATACTATCAATATCAATTTTATATTGAATATTTCTAACCTTCATATATTTGCTATGATGAACATTTAGGTTATTTCTAGTTTTTCACTATTACAAACAATTTTGCAATAAATATTTTGTACATCTTGAATACATGTACAAATCTTTCTTGGGGGTAGACACCTATAAATAGAATTACCGAAGCATAGGGCATAAATAGAGCAAGTTTTAGTTTTGTTTTATATATTTACATCTTTAATACATATTTTTGCACACATTCAGGGAGGAAGAAATCTTAATTTTGTTTTCTGCAGGTAACCAATTGTACCAGCATCATTTGTTGAATGGCCCATTTCTTCCCCACTAATACATAGTGCCATGAATTTCCATTTATATGTGGGTCTATTTCTGGTCCCTTTCTTCTGTCCCACTCTTCTATCTATTTATTTCTTTGTTGCTACCACACTACCTTAATCACTATGGCTCCATAGTAAGTTTCAATATTGGGTAGAAAAGGATTTGTCAACATTTATTTTATCACTCTTGGTGTCTGTCTCTTCCATATACATTTATTTTTTATTTTAAAAAATTATTTGTAGAGATGGGGATCTCCCTTTGTTGCCCAGGTTGGTCTTGAAACCCTTACTCAAGCAATTCTCCTGCCTCAGCCTCCTACGGTGTTGTGATTACAGGCGTGAGCCACTGTGTCTGGCCATTCCATATGAATTTTAAGATGAGCTTATCAAGTGGCACAAAATATCATGTTGGGGTTCTTACTGCAGATGCAGTGAATCTGTGGATTAACTGAAGAACTAGCATCTTTCTTGTTTTAGTCTTTCTACCCATGGACATGATGTAGTTCTTGACTTGTTAAATCTTTTATGCCTTTAAGAAAAAATTTGGAGTTTCCTAGATAATGATCTTAAAAATGTTTGGATTTCATTTATTCTTATATGTGTTACTTTATTGCTGTTGTGAAAGGAATCTTTTTTCCTGTTAAGTTTTTCACTGATTATTTAGGAAAGCTATTCTTTGGTGTTTCTCATATCCACCATAACTCTAATTAACTCAATTCTCTTATTTGCTCTAGTAATTTATTAATAGAGTTTTATATTCTCTTTACATAATCATACCATCAGCAAAAAAGGATCTATCTTTTTCTTTCTAATCCTCATACTTTCCCCTTCTCATCTAATAGACAATATTGAAATGTGATAATAGCAAATATCCTTAGTTATCCACTTTAATGGGAATTAGTTTGATCATTAAACATATTTTTAACAGGCTTTGCTGGGTGAAGGACATTCCCTTTTATTACCAATTTGCTAAGAAGTATTATTTTAAAAAAAATCAATAACGATAGATTTTACTGAATGCTTTTTGGCCATCTACTAAAGAGTTACATGATTTTCTTTTTTAATATTTGGTGCTGTGTATTACATAAATACATTTTCTGATGCTGAACCATCCTTGCTTTCCTGGGATAGTCTACTATTTGATAATGTATAATTCTATTTGCTAATAATTTATTTAGATTTCTAAAAATCAATTTTTTATAAGATTAGATTATAATTTGTGTTTTCTGTTCTAATCTTGTTTGATTTTGGCATCAGTGTTAAACATTGATTTATTCAGAATTCCCTGTCTACAGTCTGAAAGTTTGTACAGGATAGGGATTATCTTCTCCTTTATGGGGGGAGGTAGATAAAAATCACTTAAAAAACCATCATGCTTGATTATCAGGCACCTCAAGCAATGAACCTGGCTGTGGTTCTCCATCTCCTGTGGGATACTTCTATAACTGGAGACGAGCAGGCCTGTTAGCTTCAGACCTGTACACTGCTTTGAGATTCTGTTGTTGACCTTGCCTTTTGGCCCTGGCTATGTTTTTGAAATCACAGATTCCATTTTAACATCTTGATCAGACGTTCCTTGAAACTGACTTATCAGACAATGAACTAACTACCTTTAGTCTTACCCTCTGCCAATACACATACATGGAAATATCTTTATTTTACTTAAGAACACCAGAAAGTGTGCCTAGTTGAATATTAATCCCATTCATTTTCCCAGAACCATCCTATATAATTTTCACCTTATTTTTCCTGAATGTAATCATTTAAAAATATTGACTCTGTCAGAAATCCTTTTCCAGAAAAAAACTCCTATTAAGCAAAATGTGAGAATGACAAGAAGAAACTTCCACATACTTACAAATCTCTGCAGCAGATACAACAGCCAAAACATAATCTGGTATACTAAGTTCTAAATTTTGAAGTACTTATAAAAAAAACCCTATAGGCATCTGGAGGAAATGGGAATTCATAACTATGTTACGAGAAATGACACTATTTCTTCTAAGGAAGATAACATTATCTACACTACAGTTATTAAACAATTTTAGAGAATGCGTAAGAATGAAGGCTGACAGTAATCTCATATTTATTATACCTTCTATTTTTATTTTGTTTTTTGAGACAAGAGTCTTGCTCTGTCACCCAGGCTGGAGTGCAATGGCGTGATCTCAACTCACTGCAACCTCCCCTTCCCAGGTTCAAGTGATTTTCATGCCTCAGCTTCCTGAGTAACTGGGACTACATGCATGTGCCAGCATGCCTAGCTAATTTTTGTATTTTTAGTAGACACAGGGTTTCCCCATGTTGGCCAGGCTGGTCTTGAACTCCTGGCCACAAGTGATCCACCAGCCTTGGTCTCCCAAAGTGTTGGGATTACAGGCATGAGCCACCATGTCCAGCCATATTGTCTATTTAAAAAAAAGTGAGTCCTTAATAATATCAATCTTTAATTTTGGATAATTAGCAGATAAGTTATTTTAAGGAGCTCATAATGCAAAGAATTATATACTTTTGACTTACCTATTGATTCAATCTGGAAATCAAAGGTGAGTTCTGATGATAATTTTCTGCTAGATTTTAATCTTCCTTGGAGATTTACTATTTTTATACAACCTAGAGGAAAAAGAGTCACTCAGAAACTAAGATAAAAGAAGTCTTATTAAAGTTAGACATTTATAAATAAAAACTTACAGTCCAAGCATACAAGAATGGTATCTCTCTCCAGCTGGGTTACATGAGTAACATTTGTCTGTGGGGTATCTACAACACAAACAAATCTTGGTAAGCTACAGAAAACTGTAATACTTAAAGCAAGGAGATATTTAAGAAAAGGAATTCTGAGGGTAACAGTACTTGAAATGTATATAAGTCTTTTGTAATACACATGTAGTGGCTGAGCCAAGCTATTTGGGTTTAAACGCTGATGTAAGCTAAACAATTTAAGTGTTCAACAGAGCATATGTTGGCTGTGGTCAACACTACTGGCAATGCGGAACACATGGATATAGAAAGCTGGCAGCACTAGGAAACAAACTAGACTTAAAATATCTTATAATGTAAATTTTCTTTGTTTAAAAACTAATTTTTCTATTAGTTGGAGATTTGTAAATACATGTAGTTCTCAAACTATGGTTCCTGTATCAACACCATCAGCATCACATGGGAATTGACAGAAATGAAAATTCTTTTTTTTTTTTGAGCCTGCTGCTCAGACTATAATGCTGTGGTGCAATAACGGCTTTCTGCAGCCTTGAACTCCTGGCCTCAAGTGACACTCCTGACTTAGCCTTCTGAGGAGCTCGGACAACAGGTGCACGCCACCATGCCTGGCTAATTAAAAAAAATTTTTTTTAAAGATGGGGCCTGGTTATATTGCCCAGGCTGAGATTTGCCTATATATGCCTCAAACTATGGTCTTTGTATCAACATCATCAGCATCACCTGGGTATTCACAGAAATGAAAATTCTAAGGTCAGATCGAGACCATAAATGAAAAGCTCTGGGGGTGGGGCCCAGCAGTGTTACAAGTCTCCCAGTGATTCTGATGCATGCTCAAGTCTGGTAATTGCTGCTATATACTACATACTCAATGACCACTCTTACGAATACTCCTTGTAAAAGTGATGGAATGTGATTAAAAAGGTAACATCACCTCAGGGAGGCAGGGCAACTGGAGTTATGTAAAATGCAAATTTTCAGGTATATACCATTTAAAAGTATATAAAATACTTAAAAATTCTGAGAATTATGAAAATGTTAAGTACCCAAGTTTTGTTTTAAATGTTTCCCATGTTCATATGCATTTCATATTCGTTTTCATATTAATGAACATAATCAAAACAATCTTTTTCATGTGAAGTTCTCTAAAAACGAAATGTGAAACATATAAAATAAAAGTATTATCAAAATATTAAAAATATTCTAGTCTATATAAATTGTTTTTTCCCTTTTATTTGTTTGAAGGGAAAAAGTACCTTAGTTAGTATTCAATTTGTAATATTAATTTAATTATTTCCAAGAAAGATTAATGCAAATATGACTTTACAGGTTACCTATACATAGTGTCCTTAGAGAGACATTGTTATTTAGAATACATGTCACCAAAATCAAATAACAACCCAGGTATACAGCTCATTTTATAGCAAGAGGTGTGTTCATGCACAATTGTTTATTAATATATACCAAATATATATACCAATAATATATACAGGACTTTGAGGATCAGATCCTTATCATATTCATTTCTTAATAAAAAAACTGGTGTATATGCTCTCAGTATACATGTTTTGCCAATGTTCACTTGATTTAGTTGGTTGATTGGTTAGTTAGAGACAGGACCTCATTCTGTCACCCAGGCTGGAGTGTAGTGGCACGAATATAGCTCACTGCACCCTTGACCTCCTGGGCTCAAGTGATCCTCCCATCTTGGCCTCCCTGGTAGGTGGGACTATAGGCATGCCCCACCATGCCCAGCTAACTTTTATATAATTTTTTATAGTGACAGGGTCTTGCTACATTGCCCAGGTTGTTCTGGAACTCCCGAACACAAGCAATCCCCTCACCCTGGCCTTCCAAAGTACTGGGATTACAGGTGCGACCCACCATGCCCTGCCTACCAAAGCTTTAAATGTGTCATATGAATTAACTATTTTAAAGAGAGTAATCGTCTCTTCATCCAGTTTAATAATAATTATTTAAGACTGGCAGTGTTCGCACTTTTTGCTTAATAAGAGATACAGTAAATTCACTACTTATAAAACCAGTACATGTATTACCCTTAATACTTCCATAAAAATTACAAACCTGATTCTGTAAACCACGAAGAGGTAGAATTTGGATTCACCGTCTCAAATCGAACCACCTGGTTGAAGTCTCTACCTCTACTGACACCAACGCAAACTAAAGGGTACTCCTGTTCAGGAACTACCAGCATTTCAAACATTCTAAGTGGACAGGGTATAGGAAAATCTATGTGCTAGAGAAAGAAACAAAAATACATTAAACCAAGGAAAATAAAAGCCAAATAATTCTATGAGAATACTATAAAACAGCTTTCTACTATAAAGATTGCATCTTGTCACAGAAATTCAGGTAATGCAGAAAATCTAAATTATGAAGTATCTTTATAAAGATTTTAGGTTTACCACCATAAAATATTTTAAAGTTATAATTACATGATTTTAGAACATTAAGGCTGGAAGAGAACTTGTAAGTCACATGTCCAACACTCTTCTTTTCAGAGCTGGACACTGGGGCCCAAGAACTGGGTGACTGGCCCATGGTCGCCTTGCCTTTGTGGTAGAGTCTCCTGTCTCCCAATTTCATGCTTCTTCAGTTACACTCCTCTGCCTTCTTAATCAACTGAGCAAATGCTAAGTTGAGAACTGAAATGCTAATTAGCAAGAGACACTCCTCTTGTAAGATGTAAACATAAAAAGTCATAAATAAACAAAAGTTAGCTTCTTCATATATTTTATCAAAAAACCCATTTTAATTTTATATGTTTAAAATTTCTTTTTTATTGCTACAAAGAATAAATTCACGTTTTGAAGGACTAAAAAAAAAAGGATGGAAAACACTAACTTCATTAGTAATCTAGAAATAAAACCACAATGAGATACTTTACATACCCACCAGAATGGCTAAAATTAAAAAGACCGACAATTAACAAGCATCCGAGAGGAGTATGCAAATGCTCATACAACACTGGTGGTGGGAGACAGGGGGGCAGAGCCACACTGGTTAACTGCATTATCTATTAATGCTGGAGATACACGTTCCTTATGACCTTGCAATAATTCTTCTAGGCATACATTCTAGAGAACATGAGTACACACATACAAGAAACGAATGCAAAAACGTTCAAGGCAGCATCGTTCAGAACAACAAACAACTGGAAATAATCCAAATGCATCTTAACAGTAAAATAGATAAAATTATGGCATATTAACAAAATACAAAATTATATAAAGAGAACTGAAAAATGAATAAACTATAGCTATGTCAAATAAACTATAGCTGTATACATATATAAGGTTGAACAAAAAACCCAGGCACAAATGAGCATATACTTTATAATTCCACTTAAATACTGTTGAAAAATTAAATAAAATTAATTCTAGTGTTTAGGAATATGTGCACAGATAGTAAAAAGAGAAAGAAAAGTAAGAACTTTCTAGGTTTCCTTTTTTAAAAAAGAGGCAGGGAGCTGGCTAAAAGGGAGGATGACGAGGGGAATTCTAAAATTTTTCTTCACAAAAAAGTTTTTTAAAAAAATACTCTCATGCACATTTTATTTAGTTCATTCTTATATATTTTTGTTGCTTTTATAAATCGGCTGTTTTCACTGTATTTTCCAAATAGTTATTGGTAGTATTTAACGAAGCTACTGGATTTGATTTGTTTTCTTTTTAATCTGGCAAATCATAAATTTTAAAGGTAAGTAAAAGGTGCAACGGGAGATATCATAACTAGTAGTTTTAAAGTGCTGGAAGATACAAAATGGTACTTGTGGCTGGAACGTGAAGCTCTGTGTTCACCTGCTGTTCCCACATTCCTTCCTTCCCTGTGACTGCTAAGTGAGGCCTCCATCCCACATGAACAGACCCTGCATCAATATTCTCCAAACCTCTTGCTATGAGCTTTCCCATTACTTTGGGGCACGTGCTTTTGATAAAATCTGTCATTTTAAATAAGGTACAGCAATTTAAGTAATTCTTTTTGAAATAAAGAGCAATGAAGCAGGAAAAAACCAGTGCTTCTGGTTAAAGATGCATTTTTAAACTTTTACAGTCGAAACACAGAAACAATGCTTCTGTTTTTTTTTTTTTTTTTTAAAGAAAAACCAACAGATTTTTACTACTTCTACATAGTTTCCAATAATAACCAGGCAATTTGTGTATGACATTAACAGAAGAGGATTTACGTCTAATAGTTTTAAATCCAGTTGCTATTGGTGATTGTCCTTGAGGGCAGCAACTATATCATGTATTTGTCTCTCTAGTAAATGACATGGTACCTTGTCTGCAATAGGTACATTATGTTTGCTGGGGAGATCTTTAATTTTTAACTTTTATTTATGATGAAAATGCAGTCTAGGCCAGGCATAGTGACTCATGCCTACAATCCCAGCACTTTGGGAGGCCAAGGCAGGTGGACCACGAGGTCAGGAGTTCGAGACCAGCCTGGCCAGGATGGTAAAACCCCGTCTTTAGTAAAAATATAAAAATTAGCCGGGCATAGTGTTGGGTGCCTGTAATCCCAGTTTCCCAGGAGGCTGAGGCAGAGAACTGCTTGAACCCGGGAGGTGGAGGTTGCTGTGAGCTGAGATCATGCCACTGTACTGCAGCCTGGGTGACAGAGTGAGACTCTGTCTCAAAAAAAAAAAAAAAAAAAAAAAAAAAAAAGAAAAGAAAAAAATGCAGTCTACTGATGTGAGAAATGTTATTAATAGGAAAGAATAATATAGAAAGCATAAAAATGTTTTTGAATACATCTGATGAAGAGTTCTAGTACAGAAATATCATAAATACTAATTGAAATAATGTTAAATACAGAGACAAAAGGAAAGCTGGGTTAAGATTAAGGAAAGCAGATAAACATTATAGCTCAGAAAGTTTAAGTAAAGGGAGAAGAGTGATTAAAATCTTGATTGAGACCTGCAAGTAGAATTGTACTACAAATTCACTATCAGAATGCTAGTAACAGGCCTCATTAGAGCCATGCCAATCTCCCTGATGCCATCTACTGGGAAAAGAGAAGCCTTGGATGGATAATTTTTAAGCTTCTCATGTCTTCAAACTACATATTCCCTCCTGCATGCTCTTGATACCTACAATTTCCTTAATAGGGAAAAGCGTCTTTCATTATATATTAGGATAAATGGCTTAACATATTAGATAACATATAAAATTCATTCATATCAGGGTAATCAGTCTATCAGTATACAAGAATAACTGATATGATGAACCTTTTTCATTCTGATAGAGGTTAGGAATAAATGGAATAGGAAGAACATATTTAAAATAGACTAAGGAATTTCAAGAAAGGAAAAAGCTAGGAAAGGAAGGGGTTGCTGAAAATCAAACTGTGCAGACTTTACCATTACATCTTTGATACAGCATCCTTTTGTCAAATAAACAAGAACAAAGAGGAGCTAAGAACAAAACAATTTTTGCCATAAATGGGCTGTATTCAGTGGTTCTGCTTTAGACAACTTATAAGGCTATTTTCCCCTGAGCTTTCAGTTTAAATACTTTTTGTTTCAGTGCATTTACCTGTAGAATTAATACTTCAATAGGTTTCAAATTCTTCATACTATATTTTCTTCTTGAGGTTAACACTGATATAAAAATGAAAACTAGATTTCTTTGTCACGTATAGGATTTAAAACAATAGGAGTGAATACCTTTAAACATCTTAATACTATAAAATTTAGTAAGAACCCCACTCCAGCTATATTCTGACTCCAATTTCTACTGAGATCAAATGCACATGAAATAAGACCACTTAGTCCATATATAACAGCAAAGGAAAGAACTCTAAAAATTAATTTGGTATTTCCTTGATGTAACTAACAGCCTGTACTTCACACATTTTAAATGTTAGTTTTTCTTTAAATGTCAGCTATAGATAAATAATAGTATTTTAAAAATTATTCACTAATTAAATGATTCTAGAAAAACTTAAGCAAAAAAAAAAAAAAAATCTGTGGAAAGGCCTGGGCAAATTAATAAGTAGGTATACAACTAAAAACAGCTCGCTTCCCCATCATTATGGTTATCCCTAGTTTTCCTAGTCCAAACTGCAACCTGTATATTGTTTTTAGCTGTGATGGAGGTCAACCAGAGAGTATCTTGGAAACATTTCACTGATCTTTTAGTACTTGTTTCTGCCATCAGGCTGTGCATGGGAGACACTATTTCCAGCTCCCTCCTGCCATACCCTTGAACTATTTCTCTAGTCTCTTATAGAACTTTTACTAAGGCCAATTGAGTTTCTTACATTTGGGCAGACTTTCACAACCCTGCTATATTGTCCAAAATCATTAAATTAACTTGAAAATTAACTGAAAAAAATGTTTCTTTAAAGAACAGTAAGGTTGACAAGCTTTTATACTAAGAATAACATAGTTTGACTTTAATGCTTACCTTAATTAACATAAATTTCTGCATTGGTTCAACCCATTCCAATAGAACAATGCTAGTCTGAAGTGCTCCACATAGGTATTTATGGCCTGTATAAGGATTTCTTACTGTCAAAGCAAAAAAATAAATATAAGTTCTCTTACAATATAAAGTCCTTATGACAATAAATGCATGCTCAAAAAACCAAAACTAAACATACACCAAAATCAAAAGTGGGGTGCCAGTTCAATTTCTTAATTAGAGGGCTAGGTGAAAAAATACTGTTTCAGGTAATAGCAGGAAATGTCCTCTTATCTTGTAGGGTTTTTATTTGTAAGCACAAATGAAACTGCTGGTTTTAATGGGCTGTGGGGGAGGAGGAAGGACTTTTGGTCTTAAGATGGCAGAAAAATTACCTGAGGTGGCAACATTCTGATAAAAGGGTCAAAGCAAATTGGGGAAGAAGTTGTTAAAACTCATAAGATACAACACATTTAGGTGCATTTGGTTGTAATATTCAGAGGCAATAATGTTTTGTTTCTGAAAATAAAACACTTGTACACCTTTACCCTTTCTATTAAATTCTTATGGTCACTAGAAAACATGACAGACATCAATCAAACCTTAAAATACTGATTTACGAATAAGAAAATTGAATTGCCTCAGATTTTGAAATTTTCTCCTGGTTATAAACCAGAAAAAGTAAAGTAAATATATGTGAAGTAAATATGTTAGGAATAAAGATTAAAAAATTAAACTGTGAAAAGGGAACAGCAGTAAAATTCATGAACTTCACATCGATTTGAAAGATTTAAATGGCAAAGAGGAGGTGAACAGCAAAACTGTCCAGCCAAATAAAATATAAAAGTCTATATAGGAAATTATTTCCTATAACTAACTTTTCCTAAAAACCTGCCCCTTTGTCCCCAGGTAGAGTCAAGTCAGACTTTCAACTTGCTGGAAGTTCTAACAGTGATTCAACTACCATGTCTAACCCCAACCCTGTCATCTCTTTTGCTCTAAACCAGCTGTTCTTGCTTCCTGTTAACAACATTCTGCCCTTCTGCCAGTCTTTTGGGTTTGAGGCCTCAGTCACCTCTGACATCTTTTCCCTTCACACCCAGACACTCCTTCCTTGCTATCTGCACTGCTACTGCTCTAGCATGAGACTTCCTTCCTTACTGCATAGTAATAAAGTACATGTTCACACAAGGCCAACAGCTCACGCTCATCTGCCATTCTCCTCTCTACAATCTGTATCCAGCTAAGTGGAATAGTCAGCATTTATTGTGTAAACTTTATAATTTTCTTTTGCCTCCACATGTTGTGTCATTTCTTCTTTTTGAAATGGCTTCTCCATCTATTCACAGTTAAAATTTGAATCTGCCTTCTTTTGAGGCCTAGCCCAAATGCCACCTTCTTTGGTGAGCCTATGTTTAGAGTTCTTTCCACACTGTACTTTGTGGTATAATGACTCATGTGTTTATCTTCCCTTTTATAATAACAGTAACTTAAGGAAAAGAAATCATTTTTTTTGCTTTGGCTACATGCAAATGTAACAACTAATTGTTATAGGGAGGTGGGGGAGGAAATTAGGTGAGGGGAACATGGACATAAAAACACATGCTCAAGGAATAAATGTAATCTCACAAGCCATTACTAAGCAGAATGGTGAACGGTAAGTAACAGGACCCTTGTAAAACAGAGTATGATAAAATACGGCTTAAAAAAAAGTCATACTACTTTCTCCATTTACCTAGGCAATAAATTATTTGCTAAACAAATAATTTGTTTGCTAAACAATTTATTGACAAATAAATTATTTGCAAGGTACCATATATTAGGCTTAGTCTATACAGAGATGAAATGACCATGAAATTTGTTTTACTTAAGGGGGAAAAATAAAGTATTACTGGCAGAATACCCTGAGGTAGTACTGTTTGATGCCAGACTTTACAATGAGTCTCATGGGGTTTTCTTAGCTGCTCTGTGAAGCAAGAGAGCTATATGCTATTGGACAGTTTACTTACCAACACAACACTTCTGACACGACTTGGTTTCAGGGATTTTTGTTGATACAGAAAATTTCCTAAATGTAAATAAAAGTGAGTACATAATACATGTAGGCAAGCTTAGTATATGCAAAAGCTACTGTTACAGATCAGTGGAGAAAGGATGAGTTCAAAACTGGTGCTGACCTACTAGGCCATCTTTTTTTTGTTTTTTTTTGTTTTTTTTTTTTGAGACAGAGTTTCGCTCTTGTTACCCAGACTGGAGTGCAATGGTGCGATCTCGGCTCACCGCAACCTCCGCCTCCTGGGTTCAGGCAATTCTCCTGCCTCAGCCTCCTGAGAAGTTGAGATTACAGGCACGTGCCACCATGCCCAGCAAATTTTTTGTATTTTTAGTAGAGACGGGGTTTCACCATGTTGACCAGGATGGTCTCGATCTCTTGACCTCGTGATCCACCCACCTCAGCCTCCCAAAGCGCTGGGATTACAGGCGTGAGCCACCGCGCCCGGCTAGGCCATCTGTTAAGAATCAACTGGATCCTTTCCTCATGGCCCCCAATCAGTTCCAAATGGATTAAGCATTTAAATATGAAAACAAACTATAGAAGTCTATAGAAACATGTGACCTTGGGATTTCTTTACGAAAATACAAAAGAATAAATCATACAGGAAAACGCTGTTATATTTTAATGGACTTTTTCCCCCACTGATTCATTCCTAGCACCTCAAACTACAGATGGCAGTCAATTATTGAATTAGTAACTTTAGTTTACTAGAAGATACTATTGAGAAAGTGAAAAGATAAGCCAAAAACTGGGGAAAGATATTTTTAGTACATGTAATAAATTTAAGTTATGTAGAAAGTTGTCTTACTATAACGATTTGTCAAGAGCTTCTTTTATTTAGAAATCTATATTTCTCTATTAAGGAAAAGTGGGATATGGATTTTCTGCAAAGGTGCTATAGAGGTTTTGCAAACATCTGACTTGAATTTAATAGATAAAAATCAATTCTGAATTTTTTTTAAAACTACAATTTAAAAACTACACATACACGCAAATGTCTTTTAAAATGTAACTTAATATAATAAATACAGCTGGTGCATCAAACTGTAAAAACCTCAAGGTAAAGCCATTTCTGTACATACTTTTTTTTTTTAACTACATTTATTTTATTTTTTGGACGAGGCGTGATCTTGGTTCACTGTAACCTCTGCCTCCTCGGCTCAAGCAATTCTGCTGTCTCAGAACTCCGAATAGCAGGGACTATAGGTGCCTACCATCATAACCACCTAATTTTTGTATTTTTAGTAGACACAGGGTTGCGCCATGTTGTCCAGGCTGGTCTCGGACTCCTGAACTCAGGTGATCTGTCTGCCTCAGCCTCCCAAAGTGCTGGGATTACAGGTGTGACCCACTGCAGCCAGCCAAAGATTTTTATTTATTTTTTGAGACAGTCTTGCTCTGTAGCCTAGGGTGGAATGCAGTGGCACGACCTCAGCTCACTGCAAACTCTGCCTCCCAGGTTCAAGTTATTCTCCTGCCTCAGCTTCTCAAATACAGGTATTGATCGACTTACGACCTATGCAACTTATGACCATTCGACTTTACGACCACAATCGCTAGCGACGACTGCTCTGCGTCTGGCAGCGCAAACGTTGCCCAGCTGGGCGTACGACAGGGCGGACCAGCTTCTGGCAGCACTACCACTACCATCTCCGAGTGCACCATTTCAACTGTACATATAGCCTACTCAACTTACAACCAAATCGTGTTACGACTGGTCTGCCGGTCGCAATCGTGGTCGTAAGTCGAGCACTAGCTGTAGTTGTATTACAGGCACCAGCCACCATGCCTAGCTAATCTTTGTATTTTTAGTAGAGACAAGGTTTCTCCATGTTGCCCAGGCTGGTCTTGAACCCCTGACTCAAGTGATATGCCTGCCTCGGCCTCCCAAAGTCCTGGGATTACAGGTATGAGCAACTGTGCCTGACCTGTACACACATTTACACTCTTTTTTTTTAAAAAAAATAATTTTTATAAGAAAGAGACAGGATTTCACCATGGTGCCCAGGCTGGCCTCAAACTCCTGCAGCTCAAGTAATCTGTCCAAAGTGCAGCCTCCCCAAGTGCTGGGATTATAGGCATAAGCCACTTAAACTTAAATGTGTAAATTTGCCAAAGATTGCTCTGTGTAAGTCTTTTTTTAAATTAGAGTTGTACAATTTTATATAAAATTGTACAGCACATGTCTGATGTTCAATACAATTCCAAACAAGCTCAGGAGAATTTTCCTAATGGATGTTCTTATCATGCAATTGGCAACTGAGTGATGGCCAAGCATATATTAAATATAATATTGTAGTACTTTAATTTTAACCATTAATATATTTTATATATTGACGATTTATGAAAAGCCATGACTGTAGCTTCATTTACTGAGTTCTTACTATGTGCCATGCATTTTACACATCTGTGTCATTTAGTCCCTCCAACAACGAGGTAGGTTACAGCCTAGAAATCTGAGGCTGGATTTTTGCTCAGGTCTTTTTTGAGAGAGGGTCTCATTCTGTCACCCTGGCTGGAGTGCAGTGGTGCAATCTTGGGTCACTGCAACCTCTGCCTCTAGGGTTCAAGTGATTCTCCTGCCTCAGCCTCCCCAGTAGCTGGAAGCACATGTTATATCAATTTAAGTGAACATTATTTGGAGTTTGCAAGGTAAGCTGTTAAAAACTGTTAACTATTTTTAAGTACTTGTCTTTGTGAATCAAAATGTTCTTCATACTGTGACACCTAAACAATGATACAGAATTTATTCAGATTTTGAACTACAACGGCAACCTAGAATATTCTGATTTCCAATTTCTGATTAAAACACCTCATTATATGGTTGACTAACTTTATATTAGGAAAGATGTCACATTATAATTTATAATTATAAAAACGCCCCTTTCATATACATTGGAGTTTAATGCAGCTTAAAACAAAACAAAACAAAACAAAACAAAACAAAACAAAAAACTCCCCACACTCTCAATGAATCTGCTTTGGACCAAAGTGCTTTTTAGAGTTTAAAAAAATCAGAACCAAGTTCCTGATAGATTTCAGCTGGCAAAAAGTTTAATGTTCCTGTCCACACTTGTGAACTTGTCTCCTGGCTCCCAAAGCTAACATATGAGTTAAAACACGGAACTGGTCAAAGCCCAGGAAGATTAACTGCAAGTTCTGAAAGACCATAGGGATGACTACTACACAAACAAAAATCAACTATTAAGTATGGCTGAGAATTAAGGATGTCAAAAACTTTTCAAAATAGAGTTGTGGGCAGTACATTGAAATGTTCAAAAATTTAGTTAATGTTCTATAGTAATCTACAGACTTCCTTTATTTTAGTCATGATTTTATGAAAGGCAATACAACTTATTTTACCAGCACCCAATTAACTGGAATTCTAAATTAACTAATAGTCTGAATGTAGTTAAGATAGGATATTTTAGGGTATACTACAAGGCATAGTTCAATTTATCATGCCTGATAATGATGTCAATAGGTCTATTTTTTTGAGTGCTTACTAGGTGCTGTGGTAGGTACTTTATATATACAATTTATCATTTTCAAACCAGTACACTGGTTCCGTTTACAGCTGAATATATGTGGAGAGGTTGTATATTTTAACCAAAGTTCCATACATAGTAGGTGAATGTTCCAGGATTTAAATTCAACTGTATTTGAATTCCAAAGCTTATGCTTTACTAAAAATGGATTATAGTATGGTACAGTGAGTACCTATTTGCAGAATGAGAACCATGAGGCTCCTTATTGTCAGATTAACAAGATGCTCAGTAGAGGCTCAAGATGTGCTAACTGTATGGCAGAAGAAATGGTATGAATACACATATATAAAATATTATTATGCTAAAAGGGTTTTACGTTTCCTGCCAATAAGTGAGAGAATTAAGAGATTTTACAGTCATTAATTACTAGATAATGAAACTGAAGAAAGTGGGAAGGACGTATTTGTGGCTGTTACTACTACAAACACTAAAGATTGATTACAATAAGATCCCTGAAATAATAACCTGGAGGTGAAATACACCTACAGCTGAATAGACGGGGAGAGGTTGTATAATTTATCCCAGGTCCCATATCTAGTAAGTGAATGATCCAGGATTTAAATTCAACTTTACTTGAATTCCAAAGCTTATGCTTTACTAAAAATGAATTATAATATGGTACATTGAATACCTATCTTCAGCATAGGCAAAATCATACCATATGGAAACTCCTTAAAGGAAGAAACTATATCTTACTCAATTTTGTCTCATCTATACATGGGACATTTCATACACAATTGGTGTATTCAGTAAAATCTGAAAGAACTGAACAAAGCTAAAAGCAAATATGCTAAAAGGGTCTCTATTCTAATAAAAGATATCAAGACGTAAATGCATCCAAGTCAATGCGTCATATAGCCCTTGAGGGCACTTTATGTATAATTATAGTAAAATATAATAAATCGAGTCCAACTCTGAGTAATCGTGAAATGATCCCAATGAAATTTGTACACCCTCCAGCCTGACCAACATGGTGAAACCCCATCTCTACTAAAAATTCAACAACAACAACAACAAAAATTAGCTGGGCATGATGGTGTGCACCTGTAATCCCAGATATTCAGGAGGCTGAGGCAGGAGAATTGCTTGAACCCAGAAGGTGGAGATTGCAGTGAACTGAGATGATGCCACTGCACTCCAGCCTGGGCCACAGAGAGAGACTCTGTCACCAAAAAAAAAAAAAAAAAAAAGAAATTTGTATAATCTATTTTAAGAAAAGAGAACATCCTATATATTTTTATATGATTTTCATCAAAAAGTCTAATTTTTAAAAAGATTATGTATACATAAGAGCAAATTTTAGCTACACTGTAAACTCAGCAACAGAGAACAGCACATTGTCAAGGTACTTAAAAATAAAGGTTTTATGTTAGCTGCTTTACAACAGATATTATAAAAAAGAATGGCCATATTATAAAGTCTTTATAAAATACAATATATACCAGAGTTAGAAAATCTTTCAGTCAATAAAGAGGTCCAATATTATAATAAGCAACGAAAGAACAGAGCATAATAAAAAATTATTGTATGCAGAAAAGCAAAACCCCTCAAAACCAATTATCTTCTAATGAAAAACACTGAGACATAGTCTTGCTTTGTTGCCCAGGCTGGAGTGTAGTGGCATGATCACAGCTTACTGAAGCCTTCACCTCCAGGGCTCAAGTGATCCTCCCACTTCAGCCTCCTGAGTAGCTGGAACCACAGGCTCGAGGACCATGTCTGGCTAATTTTTAAAAAAATATTTTTTGTAGAGATGAGGTCTCGCTATGTTGCTCAGTCTGGTCTCAAACTCCTACCCTCAAGCCATCTTCCTGCCTCAGCCTCTCAAAGTATGGGGATTATAGCTACAAGCCACCATGCCAGGTTGCAAAAACATTTTTCAATAAATCATTTTTATTTTCTAGGTATAGAAACTTTACTTTGAGAAAAATTTTATAAAGTTAACACAAATACATATATAAAAAGCAAAGGCAATATATGCAATGAAAATTTATGGCAAAGTACAAGAAAAAAACTAGTTTTAAGAATTAAAAATTCAGAGAAAATATCTGGTGTAATTTCAAAGTATAAAGCAGAAAAATTTTAGAACAAGAGTGTTATCAATAAACACTTGTTAAAATATATTACGTATTATTTTTTCATCATACATGATTTCTATTAACCCAAACTGAGTGCTCTTTCACTTTCTGTAGCATGAATTTATGAGAATGAACTGTTAACATCATATTGCCTCTAAGGATACACTCTTACCTTGGCAGTATTCTGTCAGGGAGTTTGTGTGCTGGAATAGCAACAGGTAACTTTTGCATTTGTCTTGCATAATCAAAAAGCCCTGGTAAATTATGGGAATAAAGCTGAGAAGCTTTACCTACAAAGAAAAACAGATATGACATAAAAGCTAATAACAAATAGTAACAATTGTAAGGTATTTAAAAACTAAAATACTTACCAGATATTGATAGCAAGCAATTGTTCATTACATACAACCATGTACACCTTCGAGGGAATAGCTGATTAAAAAAAGACACAAAATTTACAAAGAATAATACATAATAGAAATGTAAATCTGTACACAGTAATCATGTTAGCTGTCATTATCAATAGGTCAGTTCTTTAAAAAGTAAGTTATTTTCAACAGAAATTAACTTTATCAAGGAGTCAAAACAAGATGATATACATACATACATATTATGTGAGAGAAAAAATAAATTAGCAATGTAATTTTAGCCTAAACATGATATGTTCAGCTCAAGTCTCTCTTATGATTAAGGGCTATGTAAGCCCAAACTATGCAGGGAATAAGAACATTTTCAAATAACATCTATTCTTTTATTCTGGTTCTGTGGTTGTAAGACTCTCCTGTCTACTTCTCCCCAAACATATCTATCTAGGCATAATATGCAATGCATAGCTTCTAGAGTATATGATACAGAAAAAAACGATCATTGTGTAGTGGAACACAGGATACAGAAACACTAGGTATGGAGGGAAAAAAAGGCTGACATAGAATATGATGAAAACTCATAAACATAAAGGAGATACAAATATATAGGAAATTAATTACTAAAATTTAGTACCATAAGAAGTGAGAGGCATCTCTGGAAGCCTGAAAGTGGTCACAATTTATGGCAAAGAAAAGGGAATTTCATGGAACACAATCTATATATTAAAGAAAAAAAAAAAACTACTCTCATTAAGACATTCTGTTATGCCTATCAGTGGTTTTTAAACTGGTCCTTGGACCAGCAGCATCAGCAACACCTGGGCACATGGTAGAAATGTAAATTCTTGGACCTCACCCCAGACCTACTGAAGCAAGAAGTTCTGAAGGAGCACCCAGGAATCTATGGTTTAACCAGACTGCCAAGTAATTCTGGGGCAGACTGAAGTTTGAGAGCCACTGATGTACATTATTAAGCATTCCAATTTAACAACCTTTGTTGCTAGGTTTGCTCTGGCAATTCCTACAATGAATTACTCCCAAACCAACTGAGACGAGAGAAGGGAATACAGAGAATGCAGGGATGAATGGGCAAACACATCAAGGCCTCTAAGGACATTATGGAAACACAGTAATAATAATCGGACTGAATAACTAAAAGAGAAAAGGTAATAATAAAAGGGAGGAGAAACAAAGTAACATCTTAATAAAAATTTTATTTCATTTACTGGGAAAACGTACTTACATAAAATACCCAATTTCTCCAAACATGTAAAATGTGGCATTGCCAATATAGTTTTTTAATTTGTAAAATATGCCTATACCTGTGCCTCAGATAGAGAAGATATCAACATCCATTTCCTACTTTCTGCTTTTCACAAAAAATTCACAACAAAATTGGGACTTCATTGGCTATACTGAAAAAATCAGGCAGAGAAGGGGCAATGACTTATTCCAGGCCACATATCAGTACATGTTATCAAAGTAGCAAGAAACAGATTTTTATTTAATTCAAGTGTTGAACTGGGTTACTTTTCATACAAATATCCACTTAAAAAGTATTTATCAATACCACATCTATGACTTATTATGAAATTATATATTTGCAAATATAAGTGGGTTTGCTTATTTAATATAAACATACATAAAGTAACAGGACAAGACACAAATTCTTTTCCAATTTTTTACATAGGGACAATGAAAAGGTATTTATGTATAGTTTTATTTTGAAAAGTACTGGATTTCATTTTGAATTTCCATTTTTAACAACTTTTAAAACTCTAAAGCTTTACTAGACTTTCAATGATTTCTTCCATTAGCAAGTTAGGTTCTAGGTGAAATAATCAGTTTAATAAAAAAGAAGATAACAGTTAAAAAGGGTAGCTTCTATATTCTGCCTTGGCTCATATATCTGTTTTATCAATGACTCTGTGTGATCTTGGGTAATTTACTGAATCTCTGTCTCAAGTGTTCTTATCTATAAAACAGTATCTGTATCTCACAGGGCTGTATGGTAATTAAACAAGATATTCCTTGTAAAGCAGTTAGAAGAGTGTCTGACACACATAGAATACTGAATAAATGTTAGTTATAAATAATAAAGGCAGATAAAAATTTTAAATCAGGACCCTGCTTTGTGTCATCTTCTCACCTTTCAGAATCTTCCCCTGTCTAGTAGGCTCATTGCCGCTGTTTCTTTCCCCAAAAGTCTAGAGAAAATCAACCTAATCATCAATTTCATAGTAAGATGAAAACATCAGGCTCCACATATACTAATTCTTTACTTGTATAGAAAAAAATGCTTCCTTTAAAGGGCAATGTTTCAAAAAAAATTACTCTAGTAATGTAATTTCAAATGCTAAAGCAACTAAGAAGGGAATTACAGACTGGGGCTATGTGTGGTTGATGGGTGCCTTCTCTTAAGAGTCCTGGCCAGGCCTGGTGGCTAACACCTGTAATCCCAGCACTTGGGGTGGCTAAGGCAGAAGGACTGCTTGAGTCCTGGAGTTCGAGACCAGCCTGCGCAACAAAGTGAAATTCCAGTCTCTACAAAATACCAAAAAATGAGCTGGGCATTGTGGATGTGCCTGTAGTCCCAGCTACCGAGGATGCTGAGGTGGGAAAGTCACTTGAGCCCAGGAGGTCAAGCCTGCAGTGGGCTGTGTTCACGCCACGGCCCACCATCCTGGGTGACAGAATAAAACCCTGTCTCAAAAACGACAACAAATTCTTCAAATTTCTTCTTCAAATTAGGTTGATAAATGCTTACTTCACCTATGCATAAAGTTGGTCTTACGCCTTACAATTAATATTGTTACCAATATTATTTTTGGATTTCTCATTATACCCAAGAAAAATATTACTACCTTTGAATTACTTATTTACTAATTATTATAATTACAAGATCCTTTTCCTCCCTTTCCCTGTTCTTAGGCACTTTTCAGCCATTTCAGTGTATACCATTTCCAGATTAAAAGATTTACAATGTATCATGTAGTTTAGGATCTTGTTAGAAAATCTGATTTAAAAATATGAAGATGAAAATGTTTAGTAATGAATAAATCATTACAGATTTTTTTTTCTACTTTGTTATCAATTTTTTTATTTTTATTTTTATTTTTGAGATGGAGTCTTGCTCCACCATCCAGGCTGGAGGGCAGTGGTGCACTCTCAGCTCACTGCAACCTCTGCCTCCTGAGTTCAAGTGATTCTCCTGTCTCAGCCTCCCAAGTATCGAGGACTTCAGGTGCACACAGCTATGTCCAGCTAATTTTTGTATTTTTAGTAGAGACGGGGTTTCACTTATTGGCCAGGCTGACCTCAGGTGAGGTCAAACACCTGACCTCAGTCACCCGCCTCAGCCTCCCAAAGTGCTAGGATTACAGGCATGAGCCACAACACCAGGCCTTATAATCAATTTATATTGATAAAAGGGAATTAGTTACACATCCTGAAGGAATTCCAAACTCAAGAGGTAGACACCACTGTTATTCTCATTTCACAGTTGAGAAAACTGAAGTTCCTATACTTGCCATGCTACTACGACCAAAGCGAATGTATTTACCATTCTCTTCAAATCAACATATCCTTCAATATACTATACACCCTTTCTGTTACTGTCATGCACCCAGTCACTCAAGTGGAAAACTGGAAGTTAACCTAGACCTCTCCTCAACCTCCATGTTGAATTGGTCATTCAATTAGGCCAATTCTAGATCTTTGCTCTTTCTCTAGGTCCAGCATTTCTCTACAGGAACCATACAACTGGGAGAGAGAATATGGTGAAGTAGTTAAGGGCATGGAATCTGGAGCTAGCTTGTCTAGCCACTGAATAGCTGTGGAATCTTTGGCAAGTTACTAATCCCTTCTGTGCTTTAGTTTTCTTAACTGCAAAATGAGAATAACAATGGTGTCTACCTCTGAGAGGTTTCATGAAGACTAAATATTATAGATTAAGCATTTAAAAACAGTGCCTGACACACAGCTTTATGTAAGTATACTAGCTATTAAGATCATCATCATGATCAGTTTGCAGGTTGTTTCATGTTCCTGACTCCTGGTTACTAAATGGCAAAAGCTTCCCCCACTCATTGTGACACTCAAAAATATCCCCATACTGTGGGAGAAGAGGAGAGAAATGGGGAATGACCACTAATGATTATGGAGGTTCTTTTGGAGATGATGAAAATGTCCTAAAATTGATAGTGGTAATAGATGCACAACCCTGTGAACATACTAAAAACCACTCGATTGTACACTTTAAATGGGTGAATTGTATGATATGTGAATTATATCTCAATAAAACTGTTCACGGTTCCTATACTTGCCATGCTACTTCGCATCTCAATGCCGTCATGCTTATCCTGTCTGTGTGGCAAACTTCTATTCATCATTTAAGGTCCATCTCAAATGCCCCTCTTTCTCATATCTTCACAGGAGGTGCTGGTGACCTCCACCTCTGTGACCAATGTCTTATACTCAATTCATAATATGACATCTAACCCTGAGTGTTGTAGTTACTGGTTTATATGTCTGTTTTCCCTATTAGATCATGAGCTTCTCAAGGGTATGGATTAGGCCTGTGAATATGTCTTCAGTATCTGGTAATTAGAACATACTTCATGAAGGTTTTGTTTTTTCTTTTCTTTCTTTTTTTTTTTTGAGACAGAGTTTCACTCTTGTTTCCCAGGCTAGAGTGAAATGGCATGATCTTGGCTCACTGTAACCTTCTCTTGGATTCAAGTGATTCTCCTGTATAAGCCTTACGAGCAGCTGGGACTATAGGCGCACGCCATCATGCCCAGCTAATTTTTGTATCTTTAGTAGAGACAGGGTTTCACCATGTTGGCCAGGCTGGTCTCAAACTCCTGACCTCAGGTGATATGCCTGCCTTGGCCTCCCAAAGTGTTGGGAATACAGGCATGAACCACTGTGCCCAACCTGAAGAAGGTTTTAAGAATAAAAGAGGTGGGGTGGCTTATACCTGTAAATCCAGCACTTGAGGCCAAGAGTTTGAGACCAGCCTAAGCAACATGGTGAAACCTTGTCTCTACTAAAAACACAAAAATTAGCCAGGCATGGTGGCTCATGTCTGTAATCCCAGCACTTTGGGAGGCCGAGGCAGGCATATCACCTGAGGTCAGGAGTTTGAGACCGGCCTGGCAAACATGGTGAAACCCCGTCTCTACTAAAAACACAAAAATTAGCCAGGCGTGGTGGTGGTGCGTACCTGTAATCCCAGCTACTTGGGAGGCTGAGATACAAAAATTGCTTGAACCTGGAGGCAGAGGTTGCAGTGAGCTGAGATCACACCACTGCACTCCAGCCTGGGCAACAGAGTAAGACTCGGACTCAAAAGAAAAAAAAAAGAATAAAAGCAGCAGCAAATCACGAAACTGAATCTCATTTCTGGTCTAATGTGTACTTACAGTAACTTGAAAATAATAAAAAAGAGAATATACAAAATAACATACCTGTTCCATTGATGTTTCATGAAGTTCATTAAGATTCAGGGTATAAATCCCTTCTTCGGCACCAAAGATCAAGTACTGATCTGAAATAAAAGTAATTCACTGACTGATTTTGGTAAATAAAATATTTTAAAATAGGATTTCTATAATCTAAACTTCCGTAAATATGTATTAACATATAATACAAGAATTACCATGATTTTAAGCAGTGCATACAAAAAAGAGGTTAGATACTTTAGACCCATAAACTGAATTATATGTAAACATTAGCCTCAAAGCAGTGAAGAGAATTTTTATGTAAGGGAGGTTCTGAAGAGTGGCATGGTAGATTCTTCACTCATCAGAGAGTGCTAAGAACTGGCAAAGAATCTGCAGCTCCTTTTTCTAAAACCCCCTTAAGAGAGGATCATGTGCAACTGACATACAGAAATAAAATGAAAGTAGCTGATACAGATTTTAATTGTTTCTACAGAATATTTTTTTCAGAGCTACACTATAAGCACTATAAAAATAACCCAGAATCTGACCACTGTCTATTAAAAAGTTAACTCAAACTTGGATACCTGCTAGGGTACTCAATATCTTCTAAAAGATATGAGAAGCATGGCCATGGTCCAGTCCAATCTTTTTTTTTCCCAAGAGCAAAAGCAGAAGTGGAAATTTATTAAAAAGGCTTTAGAACAGGAAAGAAAGCAAAGAACACTTCAAAGAAATCCAAGCTGGCAACTTGAAGAACAAGTATTCTCAACAGCCCGATCTGTTTTTACGATAATACAGAGTAACAGGTCAAGAACTTTTCTAGATTAAACTGAAGTGTGTTGAGAACAGTACAGAATGCTAAGGGCATTCCTAAAGTGCCCAGCATTTAAGATTTGTACTGGCAGATTCATGGCATAAGATTTGTGGTCAGACAGTACTGGATTGAAACTAACCCTTTCTACCACCAATTGGCTACAAACAATGAATCTCTCTGAATGCCAGTTTCCTTGCCTATGACATAAAAGTACTCAGAAGATTTAGTAAGAATTTGTGTGTGTATATAAAAATGTTCATGTTTAAATGTTCTGTGTGTATCTTATATAGACAGACAGCTATGAAGATTCATATATACAGTGGGAGGACACAGTATATAGTTGGTGCCTAAAGACAACTATTCTAATTACGGCCCCTTTTAAGGTCAGAGATCCTCGAAAGTGGTCATTAAAACCTGGATCTTGTTAAACCCTGGATCCTCAGTAAATTCCTTCAATAACGGCTGTTTCGACAAAAATGAAGCTATTGGCCAGTGGCTCATGTCTGTAATCTCAGTACTTTGGGAAGCTGAGGCAGGACAATTGCTTGAGCCCAGGAGTTTGAGACCAGCCTGGGTAACACAGAGAGATCCCACCTCTATTAAAAATTAAAAAAACAAAAACAAACAAACAAAAAAAACAAAACCAGCCAGGTGCGTGCCTGTAGTCCTAGCTACTTGGGAGGCTGAGGCAGGAGGATTGCCTGAGGTCAGAAGTTTGAGGTTATAGTGAGCCATCATCATGCCACTGCACTCTAGCCTGGGTGGCACAGCAAGACCCTTTCTCTAAAAATAAAAAAAGATACCAGACTACTGTGCAGCAGCAGTAGAAATATTTTTGGAAGAAACTAGGGTGGCATAGAATACTTGGCTTCACTATATTGATATGGTAACTATATAGTGAAATTTTAGTGTCATGTGTCACTTCAAACACTGATAATAGCACAGAGAAACTTATTTACCTTAAAATTTTAAAAAAAAATTACGAGACTTTTTTTTTCCCCCAGAAAGATATTCAGAAAATAAATAAAATCACAAATGCTTTCATGGTCCCAGTTTTAAAAACTTAGAAAGATAACAGATAAAAACATACAGTACTACCTCTTGTATCTGGGTTTATCCATGATGATGCACAGTGAATTTTCAAGGGACACCCATTAAAAACTTTTGAAAAACATGCACCCATCTAGGGAAACAAAGAATAACCAATATGAAACAGTGACAAGTAAGTCTTTAATATATAAAGTGTAATTCTGATTTAAATGTGAGAGACTATCGACAGAAATTGAATTTCACATTACAAAGTGAAACAGGTATGACTGACTTGAAATTCATATATGTGCTTCAACCTCAAAACATATAGACTTTATTTTTTATTTTTTTCAATTGAGCAATCTGATTATTTTCCCTGGTAAGATTCATTGAAAAGCTTAACTCTTTGATGATAATATTACTTATCAAATCCATTTACAAACTTTTCAGATAATAAATATATCATAATGAAATATATCACTTATTTGAGCTTCATATTATGTTGTCAAAGAGTAAAATATTAATTCTGAAATTATCTTTTTAAATATTCAAGGTACAAAAATGTTGACTCAAGTAATCACTTTTACATACTGACAACTTGAGGGAAAAACGGTACAAAAATATTTTTGGTCAGAGAAAATTTCAGTATTTGCCATGTTGGCCTAAATTAAAAGAACAGCATTTGTGCCTCATTTTACAGAAGGAATATCTTCCTCACAAACAAGGAGGTAACGTGTTGAGAGATCACATCACTAGTTGACAATAATGGATTAAAAATACTAACATAATTAAAACATGGGCCTTAAAATTTCCCTTTTAATGATAGAAATCTACCAACCAATATATTTTTAAAGATTTTAGTACCAGAAAAGAACAATTTAGCTTGGCGATACCATCAGGTAGTAGGAGACCAACAGAAACATGCTTTGATGATGTAGAGCAGAAACTGTATCATTTAACTAATGTTAATAACGACCTTTTAAGATAGCTGTGGAAATTTGTATGTTGAGGTACTGCTAACCCCTGGAAACTTAAATGACAAAATGAAGAACAAAACAATCAAGCCAGTTCCCAATATTAAGCGGATTTGTATAGCTGGAGTCTACCCGGCATTCAAAGATAGCTTTTCCCTGTCAAGCTGCAAACCTGAGGTAAGTGTTTTGTCTTATAGTCAAGTGGGAAATTTTGCCCTATTGTATATATATTTATCTGCTATAATATATATGCTATATAATATAGAGTATACTGTATAAATATAGAAAATTATTAAAAAATATTTAAGTACAATTTAAATTACAAATATAAAGTATATATACTTTATAACACATACATTATAATCTGTACTAATCAAAATATAGAATTTAAAGGTAAAAAAGGGCTGGGCGTGGTGGCTTACATCTGTAATCCCAGCAGTTTGGGAGGCTGAGGTGGGTACACTACCTGAAGTCAGGAGTTCAAGACCAGCCTGGCCAATATTGTAAAACCTGTTTCTATAAAAACACAAAAAAATTAGCCAGCCATGGTGGCGGGCACCTGTGGTCCCAGCTACGCGGGGGTCTGGGGTAGGAGAATCACTTGAGCCTGGGAGGCGGAGGTTGCAGTGACCTGAGATGACACCACTGCACTACAGCCTGGGTGACTGAACGATATTCTGTCTCCAAAAAAAAAAAAAGCCAGGTGTGGTGGTTTACACCTATAATCCCAGCACTTTAGGATACTGAAGGAGGCAGATCACTTCAGGCCAGGAGTTCAAGACTAGTCTGGCCAACATGGTAAAACTCCATCTCTACTAAAAGTACAAAAATTAGCCAGGCATGGTAGCTCATGCCTGTAATCCCAGCTGCTTGGGAGGCTGAGGCAGGACAATCATTTGAACCTGGGAAACGGAGGTTGCAATGAGCTGAGATAGTGTCACTGCACTCTAGCCTGGGCAACAGAGTGAGACTCTGTCAAAAAAAAAAAAAGGAACAAAGGGCTAAAAAGTAGAGCTGGCAGGTAAAAAACTAGAAAAGCTATAGACATCTTCTGAACTAGTGCTACTTAAGCTTTTCGATGACAGACTTGTAGCAAAGGAAATGCAGTCCTATCTATAAACTAAAATTACATTAACTTAATACAATTTGAAGCCTAAGAAAAACAGCAATATGACTGTATGATCCAGCAATACCATTACTGGGTCTATATCAAAAAGAAATGAAGCTGGGCACAGCAGCTCCCACCTGTAATCCCAGCACTTTGGGAGGCCAAGGTGGGCAGATCACCTGAGGTCAGGAGTTTAGGACCAGCCTGTCCAACATGGTGAAACCCTGTCTCCACTAAAATTACAAAAAATATTAGCTGGGCGTGGTGACACCCTGTGCAATAGGGTAAGACTTCATCTAAAAAAAGAAAAGAAATAAAATTAGTATGTCAAAAAGATATCTGCACTACCATATTTGTTGCAGCATTATTTGCAAAAGCCAGGATAAGAACTTGACCTAAGTGTCTATTACTGGATGAATGGATTAAAAAAAAAATGGGATAGAGTCAGCCCTCTGTTATCTGTGGATCTGCACATAGATTTAACCAAACTCTGAAAATATTTGGGAGGAGGTGGGGAAGGATGCTTATGTCTGTACTGAACATGTACAGACTTTTTTTCTTGTCACTATTCCCTAAATGATACAGAATAACAATTATTTACATTGTATTAGGCATCATATTTAGAGATGATTTAAAGGGTATAGGAGGATGCATATAGGTTATACACAAATACTATGCCATTTTATATGAGGGACTTGAGCATTCCTGGTATCCCCAGAGGGGTGCTGGAACCAATTCCCCATGGGTACTGAGGAACAACTGTATATATTCCCTATGGGATGCTATTCAGCCTTAAAAAAGAAGAAAATCCTATCATTTTTTGACAACTAGAGATATCTTTCTATGTCAAATAAACCAGGCACAGAAAGACAAATGATACATTATATATATATATATATATATATATATATATATATATATATATCTCATTTATATGTACAGTATCTAAAAAAGTTGAACCACCATACAGAGTAAAATGGTGGTTACCAGAAGCTGGGGGATGAGGGGTTGAGGAGATGTTGGTCAAAAGACATAAAACTTCAGTTAGGAGGAGTAAGTTCAAGAGGTATACTGTACATCATGGTGACTACAGTAAGTAACAATATATCACATATTTGAAAATTACTAACAGAGTAGATTTTTAAGTGCTTTTGCCACATACAAAAAAAAAGTGAGTTAATGTATATGTTAAATAGCTTGATTCAGCCATTCTATAACATATTCATACATCACAAAATCATGTTGTATACCAAAATATGTACAATTTTTACTTGTCAATTAAAAAAATAAGTCAGAAAGAGAGAAAGAAAGAAAGACAGCAGGGTCTAATTTAACAACAAAACTCTAAAACAAGCCAGATTATACGACAGGACATCTAAATTGTGGCTAGAGTTGAGTGGAGTTTTGTGATCTTGGTGACTATGTTCCTTGGGTCTGTTTTACTGCTGGACAAAACAAGAGGCTTGGGCCAGATGGTCCTTCACTGCTCCTTTTCATTTTAAAATTCTGTGTTCTTGATAATTGGCTGGGTGAGGTGGCTCACTCTTGTAATCCTAGCACTTTGGGAGGCTGAGGTGGGTGGATCGTTTGAGCCCAGGAGTTTGAGATCAGCCTGGGAAACACGGCAAAACCCCATCTCTGTGAAAAATACAAAAGTTAGCCAGGCATGGTGGCACATGCCTGTGGTCTCAGATACTAAGGAGGCTGAAGTGGGAGGTTTGCTTAAGCCTTGGAAGTCGAGGTTTCAGTGAGCCATGATAGTGCCACTGCACTCCAGTTTAGTGAAAGAGCAAGACCATGTCTCAAAAAAAAAAAAAAATTTTCATAACTCAAAAAATGTCAGAAAAAATGTCCTATCTACATTTTGTACTTCTAGTATGACCAAGGGCCTTTTTCCCATTTCTCCAAAAATAGCTGCAAATAAGATACAGATACATTTTAGAATCAAGGAGCTTTAAAATGTATAATTTATAATTTATTCTGAAAAGCTACTTTTTAGATGTAATCAAATAATATTTAAACTAGCAATCTTAGAGATTTTTTTTTCAGTAATGACGGTTCTTTCAAACAGACAAAAAAAACCTAAGCAAAGATAACACATACAAGTGACTGTCATTGTACTTAGCTTGAAACTTAGCCTATTTCATATTTAGTACTTACATGCACTTTAGGTGTTGGAGGAAGACCATTACTAATAGGCTTCTAGAAAAATAACACATGTATGATTACACTTTTTTGGCTGCTGTTTGGCATAACAATACTGTAATTCAAACACATTTATCCAAATAAAATACATGAACACATTCTTTGTAAAACAAAATGTTACAGTTAAGGCTGAAGTTCCCTATAATTCTTTTACAATGCACATATTTCTAGCACTTGCCCCAGAAAAACTAGTTTGGTGTAAAACCTTCCAAATCTTTCTCTAGGGAATGAGATAAACTTATGTAATCATATGGCTTTCCAGACTTTTTTGGTATATATGTAAATACATGTTCCCATGGAAAATAATGTTTTTGTGTGTGTTTAAAATAGTTATACACTATTTGCTTATTCTTAGCCTTAAAATTGGACAGTAATCCATATAGGTCATACAGATTTAGTTCATTTGTTTTAACTGCAGCACAGCATACTTTATTTAGCTATTCCTTAAACATTATTGGGTATTTGGATTATGTCAATATTTTACTATGACATGAATGCTGACATAAACATTCCTGCATATACCTACTTACACACTGTATGAGTGCATTTTTTTAATGGGTATACTGTGAGAAGTATACCACAGTATGGGAATACTGAGAAACTATTGGTACACAGGGTCTGTACCTTTTACATTTTAGTGGATACTGACTGTCAAACTGCTTTTCAGAGTGTACATATCACATCACACCCACCAGCAATGTATGAGAGTTCCTGGTTCTTTCCAGTCTCACAGCAATATCACCAAACTGATTAATAAAAAACCTTTTCTCATGTGTTCCTCATTAATTTGCATGCCTCTGACTGCTAAGAAGATTAAGAATCTTTTTAAAGACAGTGTTCATTTGCTATCTGTATTTCCTCTTTTGTGAATTCTTTTCCCATTTTTTAACTGAGTTATCTTTTCTCATATTTATTTGTTGGAGCTTTTAAAAACATATTCTAGATTGCAGTATTTTATCTGTTATATATGTAACAGTTTCTCCTCATGTGTAGATAATCTTCACCATGTTTACAACGTGTTTTGCGTATTAAAGTTCTAAATTTTGATGAATTCAAATGTATTACTCATTGGTTAGAATATACAAGCAATTATAAGGAGAAGAAATGTTACACATTGGCTCACCCACACTATCCTGAAAAATGCCAGATATTTCTCCAAGGGGCCACATTCTTGAGTATATGAACTGTCCCCTGAGAGGAAACCCCTGGGTATACTTTAAACAGGAATTTTATGACAGTCTAGATTTCTTTCAAGGTTAATCTCAGTAACATCATTTTAAGGAATGACATAATTTTTCCCTAGAGCTGCTATACATCAGAGTCACTTAAACAAGGAGATGAAAATTAATAAAAAAGCTACTGTTAATTGATTTCTCATCTATAACACAAAAATATAACATTTCTGAAATTAAGATGATATATTTTACTTTGTAGATATATTTTTGAGGATGCAAACAGCTTATTATTACCAATAATTTCTGATAACTTTTTATTCCAGTTTGCAAATAATTTATATATTTTTTTCTTATACTGATGTTCTTAAATTATCTGATGTCATCTATTTTAGCAAAACATCATTTTTTGTTGTTGTCTTTTGTTTTTGTTTTTTTTTTTTTTTTTGAGACGGGGTCTTTCTCTGTTGCCCAGGCTGGAGTGCAGTAGTGCAATCAATGCTCATTGCAACCTCCGCCTCCCAGGTTCAAGCAATTCTCGTGTCTCAGCCTTCTGAGTAGCTGAGGTTACTGACACCTGCCACCACCCACGCCTGGCTATTTTTGTATTTTTAGTAGAGATGAGGTTTCATCATGTTGGTCAAGCTGGTTTTGAATTCCTGGCCTCATGTGATCCACCCGTCTTAGCCACTCAAACACCCTTACATTAGGGAGCTCTGAAAGTTATAACTCTCAGATTTAACATAAGGAGTAATAGAAATGGCTGTAAATATTATTTAAAATAAATAAGGTCAGGCATGGTGGCTCATACCTGTAATCCCAGCACTTTGGGAAGTCGAGGCGGGCTGATCACGAGGTCAGGAGTTCAAGACCAGCCTGACCAACATGGTGAAACCCTATCTCTACTAAAAATACACAAATTAGCCAGGCGTGGTGGTGCACACCTGTAATTCCAGCTACTCAGGAGGCTGAGGCCGGAGAGGGAGGGGGAGGTTGCAGTTGAGTTGAAATCATGCCATTGCACTCCAGCCTGGGTGACAGAGTGAGATTCCATCTTAAAATAAGACAAAATAATAAAATAAAATAAAATAAAAATACTACTTAAATTTATTATTTGTCATTATTTAAATTTTTTAAGAGACAGGGTCTTGGTCTGCCACCCAGGCAGGAGTGCAGTGGCAGGCAAGCATAGCTCACTGTAACCTTGACTTCTTGGGCTCATGTGATTTTCCTGTCTCAGCCTCCTGAGTAGCTAGGACTATCGGGATGTGCCACCATGTCTAGCTACATTTTTTTTTTTTTTTTTTTTTTTTTGAGACAGGTCTTGCTATGTTGCCTGGGCTGGTCTTTAACTTCTGGTCTCCAGCAATTCCCCTGCCCTGGCCACTGAAAGTATTGGGATTACAGGTGTAAGGGCTGTAAATAATTTTAGAGAATTACAGCATAAACTGTAAGTATGCTTCAATTTATCACTGATACTGTTTATCCTATGATAAGAGCCATGGACATATTTATTTCAGAATTACCTTATCTTAATGAAGTAAGGTAACACAAAAGTGAATTAAAAATGCACACATAAAAAATGTTTACTTAGTACCATAGGAAAGGTTTAAAAAAAAAAGTTACATTGGCTAGGTGTGGTGGCTCATGCCTGTAATCCCAGCACTTTGGGAGGCCAAAGTGTGGATCACCTGAGGTTAGAAGTTTGAGACCAGCCTGACCAATATGGGAAAACCCCATCTCTACTAAAAAAAATACAAAATTAGCTGTGGTGGTGGGCACCTATAATCCCAGCTACTCAGGACGCTGGGGCAGGAGAATCACTTGAACCCGGGAGGCGGAGGTTATAGTGAGCCGAGATTGTGCCCTTGCACTCCAGCCTGGGCAACAAGAGTGAAACTCCATCTCAAAAAAAAGTTTACATCTCCCAGAGGCTATTTATTCTCTACTGTATTATAGTCACTCAGCTGTATTTCTGTACTATTACATTAGCAGGTCTGTTAAAATTTAAATTGTTGAAAGCAAAAAGGCACTGCTCCGTTGGATAGAACTTCACAAGACCCATTCCTGAAGGACAGTTTATACATTTGTTAACCTAAATTTCGCAAATTACAATGAATAACATCAAATGCTTTAACTGAATTTTAAGAATAGTATGTCACATTCTATAGTGAAATATTTTTAAAAAGTCAGATACATCACAAAGCCTCTAGTGATGTGCTTACTGCAGAAACCACAGCACACATGTATACAAACATACTGAATATACTCCAAATTTCTTATAAAAATAACAAATAATAGTATATACAAAAACTTTTAAAAAAATCTCATTCATCTCACTGACATCTGTTGAGATACTGGGGATTTTGAGGATTTCCTACTGTTTGAAATTCTATGATGATAGATGACTGTCTTCCAGTGATTATAAGTCAGTTCTTTACAAATGTTTTATATTTTTTATCTTTTACGATTCCTGATGAATAACATTTATGTTTTAATAGTTATGATGTTTTAGCTAACATTTGTGACAGGAGTAGCTGCTAAGGCTAATTTCACCTTTCCTGAAGTGGTAAGAGCAGCAATGTCACTACTTATGTAATCTCTAACAGTGGTCCCAACCTTTTTGGCACCAGGGACCGGTTTCGTGAAAGGCAGTTTTTCCACAGGGACAATTTTTCCACAGAAGAGTGGTCAGGGGAGGGATGGTTTGGGGATGAAAGTGTTCCACCTCAGATAATCAGGCATTAGTTACATTCTTACAAGGAGTGTGCAACCTGGATCCCTTGCATGCACAGTTCACAATCGAGTTTGCATTCCTAAGAGAATCTAATGCTGCAGCTGACCTGACAGAAGGTGGGGCTCAGGCGGTAATGCTCACTAGTCCACTACTCACCTCCTGCTGTGCGGCTTGGTTTCTAACAGGCCACTGACCATTACCGGTCTGTGGCTCAGGGGCTGGGGACCCCTGATCTATAGTTAGAATTCTGTCCTGAAGTAGAAGCTACAGCTTTCTTTATCTATGTCCTTCTTTCCATAACTTCACAAGACTGTTAAGAGAAACTATTAAGAATCAATTATCCTCAATGAGAATAATAATATTTTGTGAACAATCACAAGAATACTAAGCAGTTACCTGTATAAAGATGTTTTATAATGTACTACATAACAAATTGGTCTAAATAATGTAAATGATAAAAAGCCATCATTCAAGTTTACCATAGCAGAGTTACTTTTTTCAAGATTTAAATAATCTATTCACCATTATAATATACTAAAATATCAATATAGTAATTGTAAAATATACTATTGCTATAGTTTCACTAATTGTAAGCATGAAACTAACTTAACAGTGAAAAAGGAAACAAATACAAGTAGAACTTATGAATATCAATACCTACTGGTACATCTTTCTTTTCTTTTCTTGAAAGGTTCGTGCCTCTATGTTCATTCTGTTGATGTAATGAGCCATCTCGTTCACCATTTAACTGGAAGGAGCTCACTCCATTTCCTTCAGTAAGATATATTTATTGAAAATGATTACTCTTCATCAAAATTTTTATTCAAAAACTTATCAAGTAGGAAATAAAAATATTAACTCTGAGATAGTATCATTATTCATATGGAATCACCCAATCAGATTTACTATGAAAGAAGTCATATATATATATATATATATATATATACATTATGTTCTTCTATTTATACCTCTATTTGTGGCATATTCGGCAAATTTAAATTCAGGTTGTATCTAGGCACATGTATTTGTTAGCATTAAAAAACCAAATAAATACTTTTAGAAAAGGGGTGATTTATATTATGTCATCCAATAAACTTTAGTTGCTTTTCTTTTTTTTTCTTTTGAGGAGTTTTACTCTTGTTGCCCAGGCTGGAATGCAATGGCATGATCTTTGTTCACTGCAAACTCCGCCTCCTGGGTTCAACTGATTCTCCTGCCTTAGCTTCCCAAGTAGCTGGGATTACAGGTGTAACCCCCCATGCCCATCTAATTTTGTATTTTTTTTTTTTTTTTTTTGTAGAGACTGGGTTTCACCATGTTGGTTAGATTGGTCTTGAGCTCCTGACCCCAGGTGATCAACCTGCCTTAGCCTCCCAAAATGCTGGGATTACAGGCATGAGCCACCGTGCCCAGCCTAGTTGCTCTTTTTAAAAATTGCTTCTTCTGGATAAACACAGAGGAGCCTTTACAGTTTTAAAATAGCATCTTCTAGTATTAATTTGGAGGCAAATAACTAGCAAATAATACCAGTTATTTTTTTTAAAGAAATGATTAAATGAAATAAGGAGTTAGTCAAGGTACTCTCTTCTAAAACAGAAGTAGCCTAGAAGCAAAACACACTTTCCATGTTTGCTCACAGTTTAATTTGCATTGTTTCTACACTGTAGCTAAAGGAATGGGGAACCAATGTCCAGAAAAGAGAAAGCTAAATATGAAATGAGAAATGAGGACAAAATATCTCAGACTGTGTCACAGGGAATCCTGTCATAAAAACACTTTAAACCAGTAGGCAAAAAGCAGAAAACATCTCCACAGCCATTGCTTTCCTTCTCTCCTCCACCAAAGGAATTTCAAATAATCTCTTAAAAGTTTTTTTTCCCCCACATAGTATGAAAACCTGGTAACACATTTGCTGTCACCCTCCACCATTACCTAAGGGAACAGGTTTTTGTGGGGGTAATCTGGGAGGTGGTGGTCTAGGTGGAACTTGGGATGGCTTTGCTGGGCTCCCTGACAAGGGACATCTCTTGATTGTTCCTTGATTATCATCCTCAGCAGAAAGCGTTTCCTGTGGTATGAAGACAGACTTAGGCTGAAATGATACAGAAAAAGAGACCAACAATGAAACGTCGAATTTTTTTCCTGACATAAGTGCTATTATACGTTAGAAGCTTTCAAACTATTTCTATTATACATTAGAGGTTTACCAGATGAGATGAGTTTAAAGGTTACTCAACCATCCAATTCAGATTATCTTCTTGTTTTAAATATATTACAAAAATGTATACTAAAATGTGTACATCTCAGGCTTTGCTGCTGTGCAAATAAAAGGGCCTCTAAGTCTTTTGATTAATTCCTCACAAGTCTTCCCACTTAGACTAGCCAAATAAAAATATTCTAGTCTTTCTTATCTCCTCCAATTTAAATGAATCTCTTTTTTATTTTAAACATTCAAGCTTGTCAAAGTTCAAGGCTAATCTAAGCTGTCTCTTAGATGACTTGATGTCTTTATGCTAATGCTTAATCTTTCAGAACAGGGGCATGAGAGGATACAAATTAAAATGTTATCATGTTGGAGAATACCAACATGGCAAATGGGATGCCTGAGACACTTTTTGTACACACAATGTCAAAACCTACAGTTGGCTGAAGGTTTGGAGAATTTATAAATTCTTAAAATGTGTCTCATTATTGCTCAGCACTAATTTCTTAGAAATTCAGATCTCTATAGTTCTGCTATGATAAAACTAAACAAGCAAGTACAGTATTATTTACTTGCATGAATCAGGATTGTCTCAACTGTATGAAATGAAAATAAATAGAAATAGTAGTAAACCGAATGACAAGACTAGTAAGACTCTAACTCTCATTTGTAACACTCTGATTTTAAACTTTAAAGCAGCTCATTTTATAATTAAAATTTGCTATGCATATGAACTTATAAAATAAAATATATATTAGCTCATTTTACCTTCAAAAAAAACCACCCTATCAGTTGAAATTACTATTTTAGGATAATTTTGTTTGGAAAAATAATTTTGTTGTTAAAAAGTATTTAAAAATTGTTGTACTATTTTATATTTGTAATATAAAATTATCTTCTGAAAATTAAATATCTATGATAAATTACTACCCTTCATTTGTTCTTAAAAGTCAATAATAGATTGTAGATTTTGAGAAAAACAATCTTATAAGAAATGTGAGTTTTCTAACCCAGGTCAAATAACACTAATCCATTAATATAATCATTTCCAGTGTAAATTCCTAGAACTTGTTACTTAAGATGAACATTAAATAAGGCCAGGCACACAGTGGCTCATGCCTGTAATCCAGCACTTTGGGAAGCCAGGGTAGGGGGATCACCTGAGGTCATGAGTTTGAGATCGGCCTGGCCAACAGAGCAAAACCCAGTCTTTAGTAAAAAATATAAAAATTAAATAAATAATAAAAAATATAAAAATCTAAAAATTTAGCCGGCATGGTAGTGTGTGCCTGTAATACCAGCTACAGGGGAGGATGAGGCAGAATTGCTTGAATCCAAGAGGAGGAGGCTGTGGTGAACTGAGATCATGCCACTGTACTCCAGCCTGAACAACAGAGTGAGACTGTGTCTTAAAAGAGAGAAAGAGAAAAAAAGAATGAACACTAAATACAAGTTGGGCATTAAAAAAAAAGACAAATATAATAAAAAATCATTTACTTATATCGACTTCATGATTTTTCTTTGTGGATCACAAATGAAAACCTAGGAAAACTCTCAACAAAGTATTAAATTGGCAGAATAACACATACACACAAATCAAATTGAAAAATAAATCTGTCTACCTTTGGTGGTAAAGGAGGTGGAACTTTTGCTTTCAGAGTTGAACTAAAAACAGAAAAGTTTAGAATCAGAACTATTCATTTTACAAAGATACAGAAAAAAACTGCAAGAATCATTTTCTAAGATTATTAGTTTTTTCCAAAATATTTTGTGAAATGTTGATTGAGGTATTATTCAGAAATAACTGGGAACTGGAGGGCATTACGTTAAGTAAAATAAGCAAAAATAGAAAATAAAATACCACATGTTCTTACTCATGTGGAAGCTAAAAAAAAAAATAGATCTCATAGAAGTAAAAAGCAGAACAGAGCTTACTAGGAACTGGGAAGGGCAGGGAAAAGGAGAGGAAAGGGAGAGATTTAAGATACAAAATTGTAGTCATATAAGAAAAATAATAAGTACTATTGTCTTATACCACTGTAGGATGACTATAGCTAACAATAATGCATTATTTAGTTTCAAACAGCTAGAAGGAGAATAGTGAATGTTCCCAACACAAAGAAATGATAAATGTTTGAGATGATGGATACGTTAATTACCCTGATCAAATCATGACATTATATGTATCAAAATGTCACTATGTACATTTTGTTAAAAGAATTAAATTTAATTTAAAAACAAGTAATTGAGTAATACACTTTCCTGGTTCCAAGTACTATACTGTAATTAAAACTGGAAAGGATAATTATAATTCCAGTTTATATCAAGTGAAAGGTAAATAACTGAGAACAACGTGGTACAAAATGCATCACACTGTAAACTTCACCTGTGCTACTGTTAGATATGGAACATCTTTGATGAAGCTCATCAAAAACTATATATATGCTTTATGAAATTATAGGCAGAATGTGACTGAACTTAAGATTCATTATAACTCAGGATCAGTTTTAGAAATAGAAAGAGGAGGGTCACAGTGGCTCATCCCTGTAATCCCAGCACTCTTAAGAGGCTGAGACGGGCAGATTGTTTGAGCTCAGGAGTTCGAGCCCAGCCTGGGCAACATGACGGTAACCCATCTCTACAAAAAAATAAAAATCTAGCAAGCGTGGAGGTGCAGTCTCAGCTACTCAGGAGGCTGAGGTAGGAGTACTGCTTGAGCCAGGAGGTCGAGGCTGCACTGAGCCAAGATCACAACACTGCACTCTAGGTGGGCCATAAAGCAAGACTTTTTCTGTTAAAAACAAGTAGTTTAGACAGTTCCTCTTCAAAGAGTTTCACTTTGTTACAGATAAGGTGTTCCTCTCCAAGAGGTCTTGTCTTCCTTGTACTGTCTGCCCTGAAGTCTTACTTCCCTGTTCTTTGTCTAAAGTAATATTGCCAGCCAATTTATCAGCCCCTCCCACCCTGCTGTGCTCAGGCATGCCACCAAGAAATCACCCCCTCCCTACTGTAACAGCTTTCCCCACCAAAACTGTTCTTCCCTGCACTCTTCAAATTAGCTAATCACATTTAGCTTAGACTGTGCACTCCAACCCCAGCCAATAGGGGAACACACAGCAGCTACGGCCAATTGTGTTAGGAATTAAAAACCCCTGCTTCCCTTTGTTTGTGGTGCTCTTGCCACTACTCCATCTGAGAGATGCACCCTTCTATAGAAGTAAATTTGCCTTACTTAGAAAATTTATGTTCGAGTGCCATTTCTTTTGGAGCGCCGAAAATTTGTTTCTAACACTGTCTCAAAAGAAAGAAAAAAACTGTAAGATGACGAAGCACAAATTTCTCAGATGAGGATTTCAAGGCCTAGAAAGGTTATGTAACTTTATCCAAGATCACAAAGTAGTGAGGTAAAAAAGAAAACCTATGCCCTCAACTGCTAGTCTATAAGAAGTTCTTTGGAAAAAATGAACTAAATGTGTTGCTACAAAGCTCACACATTTAAGTCCTAACCCACAATGTGACTATATTTGGAGATGGGTTTTTGAAAGTAATTAAGGTTAAATGAGGTTGTAACAGTGGGGTCCTAATCTCACAGGATTGGTGATCTTATAAGAAGAGGGACAGAGATCACTCTTACCTCTGACCCCACCACATGCATACACTGAGGAAAGGCCATGGTAAGACACAGCCAGAAGACGGCTGTCTACAAGCCAAGAATGGAGCCCTAACCAAGTTGGCTGGTACCTTGATCTTGAACTTCCCACCTCCAGAACTGTGAGAAATAAATTTCTATTGTCTAAGTCTACGGCATTTTGTTATGTCAGCCCAAGCTAATACAACTAGAATAGAAAAAAGGAAAGAAACCGAAGTACAACCCATAATACTATGTTACTAATGATATTAAAATTTCTGTTGATATTAAGCTGCCAGATTGATGAAATCAGGTCAAATGACATGTTTTCTTTTTACCAAAAACAGAGACAGAACTTACTGTTTAGAGTCATCATCATCCCCTTCATCATCTTCTAAATGTGCCACATGTCCTCTAAATAAAAAGAAGGATAATAGATTATTAAATAGATTTTACCAAAACAGCATAAGAAGACATTTTCAAAAATGCAGGAAAAGCTACTGTAAGATAAAAGTTTATGTCTACATCTTTATAGGATGGGATAGATTCAGAATTAAAACAAGTGGTGGATCGTGATGCCAGTTACTTGGGAGGCTGAGGTTGGAGGACTGCTTGAGACCAGGAGTTTGAGATCAGCCTGGGCAACATGGCAGGAATCCATCTCCAAGAATAAAATTCAAAAAAGTAGCCAGGCATGGTGGTACACTTCTGTATTCTCAGCTACCTGGAAGGCTTTGGTGGAAAGATCACATGAGCCCAAGAATTCAAGGCAGTGAGTTACGATCACACCACTGCAATCCATTGGGCAAGAGAGTGAGACCCTGTCTCTATTAAAGAAAAAAAAAAAAAGAAAAAGAACTAAAACAAATAGGCTATATAACAGAGAACAGGGCAAACTGACTTTACTTGTCTGTGACATAAAGTACTTTAAGATTAAAAATTAAAATTACCGCTGATGCAATTCTTCTTCAACAGACTTGAGAAGGCTCCTTAGAAGAAAAAACAAAAACAAAAAATAATGTGAACAAATTATCAAAGGACTATCAAATACGTTTTTATCACTTAATACATTTTTTGAATAATTACTTTTTTACCATTTATTGAGAACTTGCTATAGTGATCACCTCTGCAACCATAAAACATCAAGTTATATTTAATGAGATACCTCTATTTTCCTGCTGCTAATGTCTTAATATATGTATTTTAAATGAATGAAATAAATCCTAATATTTATTGAAAAATATCAGTTCAAACAAAAGACAACTCACCATGGAATGTCACAACAGTACTGACAAAACAATAATTGCAGGGTCACAGTCAGAAGTTTCCAGGATTCAAATTTTACCTGGAATGTTACACCTGACACCTAAAATTATACTTTCTTTTCCTTAAAATAAGGAAGGTGACACGCTTTAAAATAACATCATGCTCTCAGGCAATCCTACAAAATGAAACTCACCATGTTGGCTCTCTCTGCAGAAGCATGCATGCATATGATGTGAATACATGAATGTAGTAGCACTTCGCTTTCACAAAAGATACTCACTTACCTGAAGGATTTGTTCTCCAGTGGTGCACGGGCAAACACATTTACACTTTTGGGAGACTAAGCCTGTATCAGACCAGGTCGAGGATTTTACCATTAGGAGCAGTATACAAAACTTTAATTTTCAGGAATGTAAGAGAGAACTCATGGCATTCCTGAAGTTCCCTTACTTTTTTACACTGCAAGTTCATGCAGCACACCTCCTAAATTACATTCTTCAAGCATAAAAACTCAATAGACTTCTCAAAGCTAACAGGGAAAAGAAATATAGTTACTAATGAACTACTGGGATAAAAGTGATTCAGCAAAAATTTTACTCTCCCTGTAAGTTAAAAGGAAGCACCTTTTAATAATTTTCCCTTCTAATACATATGAGGAAAAACTGCCCTTAGAATTACAAAACATTAAACTAGAGAAACTGAAAGCTGTGGTTATCTTCTGTAACCAATTAATAGAATAGTTTTTAGGCATCTACTATTTTAATTAGCCTAGATTAGTAACAATTTAAATTTAAAAAAATGACAAACTTATGACTCCAGAGTGATAAATCCTATAGGAAAACCATAAACTAACTGCAAGTTCTATTTTGGAGATACAAAACTGAGGTACCATAGTCAAATATTATCTTATTCACAAAGCTCTCCAAGGGCCAACTCTAAGAAAGCAGGAGCTTCTGTCTAGAGGCAGCTGAGCAAAATGCAGACGGGCTTTAAACCCAACACTGCCTGAACATGAATACTGCATTCACCATCACAGGATATGGCACTGGATGACTTTCATTTCCCTATGCTTCCGTTTCCAGCTATGTGAAGTGGAAATCCCCTCAGTACTTATTTCAAAGTGGCTGCCTGAAGATCTACTGAATTAATGTAAGTAAAATGCTTAGAAGAGTAATTTAGGACAGAGTTGGGACTTGATTAGAATTTTCTTTATTATTATTGACTAACATTTCCTTAAACTAGCCGTTCTCAAATTGTGGTATAAAAATCCTGGGGTCTCTTAGTCTCCTGTAGGCAGTATGCAAGGTCAAAACTATTTTCACAATATGTAATACCTTTGTTGCTCTTATTTTCTCTATGAGTATACACTGGAGTTTTCCAGAGACTAAAAGATGTATGATACCACAACAGATTAAATGCAGTAGCAAACATGAGAATTTAGCTGCCTTCTATCAAGACAGTGTTAAAAAGATTTGAGGAAAAAAAAAAAGTAAAACAATGCTACTTTTCTTACTAATATTATTTTGTCTCAGAAAAAAAATAGCTATGTTTTTCAAAAAAATTTTACTAGTGGACCTCAACAAAAACTGTGCTGTAGTGCACTGACATATATAATAAAACCTTTTATGGCAATTATTTGCTGCCTCTGAGTCTCACAAGAGAAATCAGTGTATTATATATATAAGAAAGCACTGTAAAGAGGTGGCATTTGAACTGGTCCTTAAGAATGGAGAATTTTTTTTAAACACACAAGAATAGTATGTTATTTATAATAACAAATAATGATGATATTATTTTTAAAAAATACTTTTTGAAAAGTTTTAATTTCTAATACTGTAAAATAAATAGTTATAACTCCTATAAACAAAAGCTCTTTGAAATCTTCAATAATTTTAAACATTGTAAAAAAACTTCTGAGACCAAAAATTTGAAAATTTGAGAAGTGCTGCTTTAAACTATTTTATCAAATTAAACATAGTGTCTCTGAACTGTACAGTGGGCTTTTACATAATTTTAGATGTGAAAAAAATACCTTTTTCTTAAGCACATGGCAATCTTTTTTGATACATTTCTTTTTTCAATAGAAAAGATTAGGATTTGAAAATAGGAAGATAATTTAAAATGCATTAATAGTTTTACTTTCAGGTCCCATATTTAATTGAATTTATACTGCATACTACATTTTTTTTTTTTTTTTTTTTTTTTTGTTGTTTTGCTCTGTTGTCCAGGCTGGAGTGCAGTGGCACAATCTTGGCTCACTGCAACCTCCACCTCCCAGGTTCAAGCAATTCTCGTGCCTTAGCCTCCCGGGTAGCTGGGACTACAGGCACACGCCACCACACCCGGCTAAATTTTTGTATTTTTCAGTAGAGACGGAATCTCACTATATTGCCCAGGCTGGTCTTGAACTCTTGCCTCAAGTGATCCACCCACCTCAGCTTCCCAAAGTGTTGGGATTATAATGGGCATAAACTGTGAGCTACCACACCCAGCCAGCATTCTACTTTTTAAAAAAAAAATCTTCCTGAGAGTTCTCTAACAGTAAGAGAATGGTTGAGTAAGTGAACATGAAAAAGCAGATAGCCCATGGCCCAGGGATTCATATGTACATTTTGTTTTCCGTTTTTTTTTTTTTTTTTTTGAGACTGAGTCTTGCTCTGTCACCCAGGCTGGAGTGCAATGGCACGGTCTCAGCTCACTGTAACCTCTGTCTCCTGGGTTCAAATGATTCTCCTGCCTCAGCCTTCCGAGTAGCTGGGATTACAGGCACCTACCACCAATGCCCAGCTAATTTTTGTATTTTTAGTAGAAATGGGTTTCACCATGTTGGCCAGGCTGGTCTCTAACTCCTCACCTCGTGATCTGCCCACCTCAGCCTCCCAAAGCGCTGGGATTACAGGCATGAGCCACCACGCCCAGCCTCATATGTACATTTTAATTCATTTACCTATAAATCTCTATTATACATTAAGATATTTTATTAATGAAATTGCAGAATTCATGCAGTCTTAATGAAAAGTAGGATGTATGATTTACTTTTTAGGCTTTATAAAAGAGAAAATGAAATACAGCTAAATTTGCTAAAAGGTCTGTTTACAGTAAATATTACATCTTGAGAACACTGGAGAAAATGTGATACTGATTGATTCACCAAGATTGAGTGTTATACAACAAACAATGTCACTATTCACTAGTCCACTTGAATTCTTCTATTACGGAACTTTTAGAAAGTAAACAACAAAACAAAACAAAACAAAAATAATGCTTTCAGATAATGAATTCTAAGTCAATCTAAAATGAGTAAGAAATTTTGATGAAAAGGTTAAAAATAAAACAATGTACAAACAGACAAGAGGGAGATCTAAAACCACCACCAAAATACTCAGCATATTTACATTAGCTAAGGAATCAGTGCTACAGGTTATAATATCTTTTAAAATTGTCTAACTGCCTCCAATCTGTAAGTACCACCCTGATTACATATCAAACCAGAAAAAATGCCCTATTACCCTAAAATTAAAGAGCAGTTTTATTCACTCATATTATCTACTTGCTCATATAATCAACATTTACTGAATAACTACCATAAATAAGGGCAACTAATAAGTATTTACTAAATCCTAAATGTGCTAAATGCTTTACAAGGATTATTCCATTTCGTCCTTAGCATCCTATGAGGCAGTTACTATTATATTCTCCATTTTACTAGCAATAATAGAGGTACATTTCTCAAAGTCATGTGGCTTATAGGAAAAGCCATCTGGCATTTACTATTACTATACTCAATTGTGGCACGCATTGTGTAATTCAATTTACTCTTTTCACTATTACTTATTAGAAAAGAATTTACCTTTAACACTTTTTGCCCTAAATTAAAACCAAACATAAATAATTTAGTGTCCCCCACCCTTTTTTTTTTTTTTTTTTTGAGATGGAGTTTTGCTCTTGTTGCCCAGGCTGGAGTGCAATGGCATGATCTTGGCTCACTGCAACCTCCGCCTCCTGGGTTCAAGCGAATCCCCGTCTCAGCCACCTGAGTAGCTGGGACTACAGGTGCCTGCCACCATACCCGGCTAATTTTAGTAGAGATGGGTTTCACTATGTTGGCCAGGCTGGTCTTGAACTTCTGACCTCAGATGATCTTCCTGCCTCGGCCTTCCAAAGTTCTGGGATTACAGCCATGAGCCACCGCACCTGGCCTAGTGTCTTCTTTTAAAAATAATATTTTGTTGGTTTTAAATAAATTATCAGAAAAAGCTAACCCTATTGAGATTAGAATTCCAAAGAAAAGGAGACAACCAAGTATAAGTCAAAATACATATGTTTCCTGTTAGAAAAAGAAAACTCCTATGTAACAATTTTAATTAGATAGTTCCTGCATTGTCTAGAATAGGTAGAAACCCATCAATGGAAATCTGCCTGCCTGATCACCTATGGAGAAAGCAGGAAATCCTGTAAGTTTTTAAAACACTGCCTAATCACAAGAATAAAGCAGACATATCAATACAGCAAGAGAAGTGCTACATACATGCTCATGTCACATGATGTATGTATATACCTACACACGAAACACAGCCAAAGATCAAACTTTTGGCCAACCTACCTTGCCAAGGGTTCGTTATATAGAACACAGTTCCTTAAGCAGGGATCCAATTAATCAAAAAATGAAGGTTGGGCAAATTATTAACATTTTACCTAGCTAAAATAATTATACACTATGAAAATGTCTAACAATCAGAAATCAGACAATGGTGACTAAGGAATCTGGAAAAGCATTTAGTGAGGAGCCACATTATTTTTTGTACTTTGCATGTACAAATTTTTAAAATATATTTTAAATAAATCAAAAAAAGGTAAAAAATATTTTCCCAAATTTTTTGGTCTCTTAAAATACACTAAAATTTGCTAACAAAGTTCTTAAAATTAGTGACCTGACATGTAGAGAAAATAACATAACACTTTTTTAATTTGCTAATCCAATATGAGATAAACTTTCCTTTGTTGCCCACCAACAAACTAAGACAATTTATAAATCACAAATAGTGACTATTTAGGTAAAATTTCATTTTTCTACCAGGAAAATTTTACACTTATTTTCCATTTTAAAAAACATAAATGCTAATAATAACTACTTAGTATTAAAGCTAAAAATATTTTTTAAACTACAATAGTTATTTATCTGAAGTTCACCCTAAATCAAAACTAATGTATATCTCTAGGTTGTCATTAAAGCCTTCTCTCTGTGTTACGAAAGAATAGTATATTTAAGTAAAAAAATTAAACACTTGATATTTAGTTTATTAAAAAAAGAGAGAGGCAAGATTTTGCACTATTATCCTTAAAACTTGAGCTGTCTTTAGTTACTATTTCTCAATTGCTTAACTTAAAATATGGGAATATGCATGTCTCAACTCTCTATTGCAATTGAAATAATATTTTGAAATTTTGCCAGGTGTGGTGGCTCACACCTGTAATCTTAGCACCTTCTGGGAGGCCAATGCAGGTAGATCACGAGGTCAGGAGTTCAAGAACACCTGACCAACGTGGTGAAACCCCATCTCTACTAAAAATACGAAAATTAGCTGGGTGTAGTTGGTGAACACCTGTAATCCCAGCTACTCAGGAGGCTGAGGCAGGAGAATCACTTGAACCCAAGAAGCGGAAGTTGCAGTGAGCAGAGACTGTGCCACTGCACTCCAGCCTGGGCAACAGAGTGAGACTCTGCCTCAAAAAAATAAAAAAGAAATTTTAAGTTGTTCTGATTATTAAAATATATGCACTGCTGGAAGATTTTGGTAATTTAAATTATACTCCCTTATAAATTAGTTTTTTATGATGATAATTTATCCACAAACATAGAAAATGAGACTTTAAGGGGAATAGCAAAGTTCTGTCTCCCATCATACCTGGCAAATGAACAACTTAAATTGCTAATGTCTGTAAGCTGCTTTTTTTTACCACTATGCCCCTATCAACTAGATAGTGCCTGGTGTAGAAGAGGCATTAAATAACTGTTGAATTTATTTACTGCACAGATTGGTAATTTTTAAGAATTCAGACACACATTTTAACTATTACCTACTTAAAAAAAAACCTTATAGCCAAAAATTTAAGATTTCTAAGTTATATGAATAATTCCAGCTGTTTTTAGTGACCAACCCATCTTAGAGATGTACCAAAGCAAGTTTTATAAGGAATAAACAGATCAACTTTAGAAATAAATTAATTGCTAAAACATGTATCTGTGTTCAGTGGGAATACACTTGGTTTTCTCTAAGATCAGCAAAGTAGCCTGATATAAAAAATTATGTTGATGCTTCTCATTATGACAATTATTAACTAAATAATGAGCAAGGAGGCAATGGAAAAAGGTTAAATGGATATTGTAAAATATATCTACCAAACTCATACAATTTACTATCTTAAATGTTAGAATATAATTTTAAAGGCAACTTAATCATTCTTGAATTTACATTAAGTTTTAAGAGAACTTTACTTACTTGTTTGCACCTAAAAAGTAACTACCTCGATGTCCTTGTCCATATTCCAGTTGTAGATCCTAATAGTACAAAATAAAATATTTAGTACACTAGTAGTATATCACACATCATGATATATTAATATATATTTTTAAAAGACAAGCTCCAGACCCCCAAATAAATCTGTATTGCTCTATGTTCTTAAAAAGAAGGATTTCACGAGTTCATAGTCCTGATTTAAGTATTTTATTATTTAAGTGTTTTTCTTGGAATTTCTCTGACTAATATATGCAAGTTTCATTTTTGGTTACTGTTACTTTAATTAACTTTTGTAGAAATCAGTTTTTAGAAAGAAAAAAGCTCAAATAAGGTATTTATTCTCAAGTTATAATGAAGCAAAAATGTTCAAAGAGAATAAGCAACAAAAATCTTGGTTTACTTTGTATATAGTATCTAAAATAATTATGTATATATACACATTCACATATTTCTACTGTTGTTTCATGTAGGTAATAATTTTTTAAAGATACAAATTGGGTGCTATTTAAAAAGTAAATTATATATATGAACTTGTATAATATTATAAATTGTATTGAAGGACTTTTAATAATTCTTTTAGAGTGTAAAAGCAAAACTTCAAACTAGTATTAAGGTAGTTCCTCAACTATTTAAACACTTTCCGACTTAATGCTGGGGTTATAGAGTATTAAGAATTAACATTTAAAAGGATGAACAGTATACACGCTCAACCCAAATGCCTTCTTGAGAAAAAGAAATGTGCTTTCCAACAACCATGAAAAGTTTAAAGTTGACTTTTGTACCCCTTTTAAAGAGCCACTGTAATCTATGCACTGTTTTAACCATAAAGGGGGAATATCTGACATTTTGAAAATGAATCTTATTTACATTAGAATATAGAGTATTTAAAGTGCTTTTTTTTTTTTACAAGATATTCTGAGATTCACGATCAGGGCTTAACACAAAAGTCACCTTGGAGCAGCAGCCTTCCAACACTGCCAGGGAAGATTATTTGCAGCCTTCTCCAAGTCTCCACAGCATTTAACACATAGATCTCCTCTAGCACTTATACTGCATTTTAATCTATTTACATGTTTGTAAAACTAAGCTCCTCAAACAATTGGAAATGATCAATTCTATCTTCTTTCCTTACAGCCTGTGGTCTAGCATGGTCCCTAGCACACACTGACTGCACCATAAATAAATATTGATTCAAATGTCAATGGTTTATTTTCCCATAAATAAAACTTCAGCCTCTTTGAGATACACAAAGCTGATCCTAAATCACAAAAAATACTAAGCCTCCAAATATAAGGATTTTAAGCAATAAAGCACTTTAAAATTTAAATATTCCAAGACCTGTCAAAAAAAAAATCTGATGAAAATTAAAATCAAAATCCGGTTTTCGACAAGACTCAAATTTTGTCTTCTTTAACATTTGTGTTCTTCCGTGCATACTAAGTACTCTTACCAGTGTCAGAAAAGATAACACATCATAAACAAAAAAGATTAGCTGACTGTCACACTGGTATCACATGAAATTCTAATGAAAAAGGATATCCATACTCTTTAATTTATAATGATATATCTTAATAGGATAAAATTACTGTTATCACAAAACTGCACAATTTAAGTGGTTATGACTTTACTACTGAATCCTTAAACTGCAGTACTCAGTAAAGAGAAGTCCTAAATAAATACAAAATTTGTTTTCTTCACTTATAGACAACTGGGCCCTCTGCCAGACCAGCTACGTTTTTAGCCAATATAATCTCTTAAGCCTTTAATCAAACGACAGCTTCCAAAAGCACACATTATGTAGAGTGGCCATAGCTTCTGTTATATAAACACAGACGTGTCATAAGAATTTTCAGCTCATCTGATACATGACAAGTAAGATTGATAATAATGATTAAAAATAAAGAAAATAAACTGAGATCAGCAGTATATTTAGAAAGGTAAGAAAAGTATCTAAAATAACTAAAGTAATATAGTAATTGAAAATTGAGCATAGGCTCATATACAGAGTAACATTCAGGCCAGGAGAGAAGCTGTAGATAGATCCAAGTCCGATGAGTAAATGTGTCATGCCCTGAGTCTTACCAGGAAAGCTGAAATTCAAAGGGGCTCATTCTTTAACAATTTCTTCTCCCTAAACTATGTTACAGCAACTATGGAACAAAAACAATGTACTAGGAATACTATAAGTAAAATATTAATTTAAATCCTTCTAAAAAGTGCCTAATCTCATTTAGTACAACCAGTGTTTACCAAGGACGTATTATCTGACAGGAATTCAGATAGAAAATCGGATAAGGAAAATGAGAAGGAAATAAAAAAAGGACAAAAGTGAAACCAAAGCAAAGTTAGTAGCTAGCTATCTACATGTTTTTGGGGCACTCTAAGAAAGACTCATCTAAAATGCTTTTCAAAAAGGATTTGGAAGTTACTCCATATCAGAAAAATTCTACTAAAATAATGCTTGGAAAAGCACTCAAAATAACCCAAGACGATGGTATCCTATGGCCATTCTTCATAAGCTAAACAAGAAACACTTGAGTACGCCAGCGTAAAAAAAGTTAGTAGTGTCAATCAGGCATCGACTTGTTAATGAATAACAGTGTTCACACAGTAGAGTCAAATAAGTAACAGGAGCTGAAAACATGCACTAATCTAGTAGAGATTAAAAGTTCAAGATTGTTATCCTAGCCCAATTAAAATATCTTTTTGGGTTGCGAAAGTCTTAATTTCAGTGGTTCATTTTAATAAATGGGAGACCATTTCTAAATTTCAGATGGAATTTCTAAGAAACGAAGTGTGAGAAAGAACTGAAAATGAACAAAGGATGTAACATGGAACACTGGAAAAAGAAAGCATATGATCAAGAACATCTTATTGTAGTTAAAAAAAAAAATCCCCTTGGGAGATTTAAGTCTATACCTGATGAGAAAGCAGCAGGAAGTCAATAGAATTGATACAGTTGGCTACAAAAACACAAAAGAAAAAAATACTTGAGCAATATATCTTAACCAAGAAAAAGAGAGGAGAAATTTTTTCCATCAAAAATGAGAAAATTATGGCACAAATGTTAGAGAGATACCTTTTAATGCAGTAGTTGATTTATAGAAATAGAGAGGGGTTGAATCCAGGATAATTCAAATTTTTTTTATTTCTTAAAAAGTCAGAAAAACAAGTAGAGTCAGAATATTAACTGATCAAGCAGGATTCTAATAAAAGCAGATTAAGGAGCCTAAAAATTGAATAATATGACTTTTGTACTGCAGGCTCAGAAATGAGTACGGGCAGGTGAGGTATACTATACAATTCTTTAGAGCAATGATTATGTTACTATTTATTTATGCCCCTCCATGGCCATTAACATAAGAGTGTTTGTTTTTGAGGAGGTGTCTCGCTCTGTTGCCCAGGTTGGAGTGCAGTGGTGAGATCTCGGCTCACTGTAACCTCCGACTTCCAGGTTCAAGTGGTTCTCCTGCCCTAGCCTTCCAAGTAGCTGGGATTACAGATATAAACCACCAAGCCCAGCTAATTTTTGTATTTTTAATAGAGATGGGGTTTTGCCATGCTGGCCAGGCTGGTCTCGAACTCCTGACCTCAAGTGATCCGCCTGCCTCGGCGTCCGAAAGTGTCGGGATTGTAGGTGTGAGCCACCTCGCCTGGCCAACATAGTGTTTTATACAGAATTAACTTTCAATTTTTTTTATTGGTATATGGGCTTAAATAGCCAGTAAAACTATGCATATTAGAAAAAAATAGCATCAGTTAAGATGGATATGTAATACAATCTTTTAACCTGAAGAAAGCATTTTGCAGATCAGATAAACCAATTTTTATGGTTTTGGGCAAACTCTTTTAATTATCAACTTATAGTGAGTTTTTGTTTTAAACCAGATACCTTTCAAAAATTCTCATACCAACTGCCAATCCTAAAAAATCAAGCCCTAGTCTTCTGGCTTCATATATTAATTACCTAATTTTTCTTTTTTTTTTTAAGAGAGCACTTTTGGATAGCAATAAAAGTTGAAAGACAACACTCTAAATTCACTTACAAAATCATAAAACAAATACAGTTGGCATTTAAATCAACCAGAAATCATGGATTATATGGAATGTTTATGCAGCAAGATCTTTAAAGTGGTAAATGTTTTTTACTGGTTCCAAAGGGATTTAGTGTTTTTACCTTGGTGCCAACTGCCAGATAAGATAAGCACTAGACATTTTGGATTCCTCAGGCTTTAAGTGGTCAGCCATAAGCATTTGTTAGAGATAAAATCTTGTTCATAGAGCCAAAATTTTAGAATTGATAAAATTAGACCACGGAAATAACTATGGCTACTTCATACCCATTAGGATAGCTATTATCAAAAGTAAAAAACAAAACAAAACAGAGAACAACAACAAGTGCTGATGAGGATGTGGAGAAAGTAGAACTCATGTGCATCGCTGGTGGGAATGTAAAATGTTGCAGCTGCTGTGAAAAATAGTATGACAGTTTCTCAAAAAATTAAAGATAGAATTAACAGCAAGTCCACTTCTAGTTACATATCAAAAGAACTGAAAGCAGGAACTCAAACAGGTATTTGTACATCCATGTTCATAGCAGCATTAGTCACAGTAGCCAAAAGGTATAAGCAACTCACTGTCTGTCAGTGGATGAATGTATAAACAAGATGTGTATTTACATGCAATGGAGTATTATTCAGCCTTAAAAAGGAAATTCTGACACATGATGTGACATGGAGGAACCCTGAAGATATTATGAAATTACGCTAAATAAAGTGAGTCAGTCACAAAAGAACAAATATGCTATGATTCCCCTTATACAAGATACCTAGAGTCAAATTCATAGTCAGAAAACAGAATGTTCACTGCCAGGGGCTGCAGGGGAGATGGAATGGGGAGTTATTGTTTAATGGGTATAGAGTTTCAGTTTGGGAAGATGAAATCATTCTGAAGACGGATAGTGGTGACAGTTGCATAACAAACAATGTGAATGTACATAATGCCACTGGACTGTAGATGTAAAAAAAATGTTAAAATGGTAAATTTGGTAATGTGTATTTTACCACAGTAAAAAACAAACAAACAAAAATAACCATGGGACATAGATATTTATTTTAAAATGTGGAGAGGGGAGCCCAGTATTACTTTAAAAATATATACTGATGATGTTTGGTAGAGGCAATATAGCACAGTGGTTTAGGTTTGAATTCCTGAGCCAGGCTGCTTAGAAATCCCAGCTCTGCTATTCTTAGCTAAGGAATAACGAATTTCAGCTTCTTTGCACTTTAAATCACCTCATTTGTAAAACAAAAATAAGTTAATATATTTAAAGTGCTTAGAATAATGCCTGGTATATAAAAACCTCTAGATAAATGTTGGCTTTTGTTACCATTAGGAGTGAGCTTTAAGGTTGATTTTATAAATTGTACACTCTGACAAATATTTCATTCATCCCTCTTCTACCACAACTATCCTAACAGTCCCTAAATCCCTCCACTGTCACAAGACCCCCTGTCAACTGCTCTCCTGTACCACAAGAAACTCCTGATTACAGGGCTGGGAGCGGGGATGAAGGTGGGAGCAGTTCCAGGCAACAAAGCCATAATACGGTAATTTATTCAAGTTACTAGGCTAGTTTCACAAGTGGTACCGAAAAGAGTATTTGTAATTTTAAAGTATTATGTTTCCAGACTTGTTATCTTTTCTACATGGAGGATATTAATAAACACTAGAGTCAATTAAAAATTTTGATTGTGTTGTCTTTAGTTCTGTAATAAATTTCACTAATTGTCATTCTAGCCTATATGTCTAATTCTGAAAACATTTTCAATCCAGAAATCACCAATTATGTTTTCTTCAGACATGTTATCTCACGTGGCCCCTATGGGTTAATTCTCAATCCTCACATGTTCTGTTTCTTTAGGCCATCCCTCTTTCTTTTGAGACACTGCATTTACTGGCTCTCCCAGCTTTTCAACTGCTTCTTCCCTACCTCCAACGTTGGTTCCACCTGACTGTTAAACATAGGCATCAACCACTTTTTTTTTTCACTCTTTCTTCAAATCTAATAATGGGGAACAGATGCAATTTCACGGCTTCATCTTATCACTTCCTCTTTGATAATTTAAATCTACTTTTAAAAATGAATCTCAGATTAGTATAATAATTTCAAAATCCCAGCTCTTTGCCTGACATCCCTCAAACCTGTGGTCTATGTCGGCAATTATTTGCAATTCCCATGAAACATAGCCAGCATCTGTTCTTTCTCTTCCAGAAAAATCTACCATGTTCCTACGCAATACTGACTTTTAGTCTCAGTTCCTCCTAGAAGCCAGGCAGGCCACATGAGCCCCAAAGCTCTTCTTCTCCTCTCAACTCTATAGTACCTACTGTATGTTAGCTTCCCCTCATCAATGCTTGCCACCTGGCAAAATTTTGGTAAGTCATTATATATTTTGTTGCATGGGTAAGAGTTGAGATGTGTAAGTATATTCTGTCCAACAGGACAGCAACCTTCCTGAAGAAGGGAAATTATGTCTAAAATCTCTTTTATATTTTACAAATGTCAGAGGTCCTAGATTAAAAAATTTACAGAAAGAATCATTTAAGCCAACCAAAATTGAAAGATGTATGTTACCAAGGTAAAGAGGAAGGAAAGAGAAGGAAAATTCCATTTAAAAGGCAGAACAGTAGAATCTCATAGAGTAAATATGGGGGTAACTTGGGGCTCTCGCCAACCACAGTAGCAGAAACAACTATTTACTTAATAAAAACTATTAACAGTATTATTTAACATTGAATAGCAACAATTTCTCATTTTTTCTTATGTAATTGCAAGATAGTATTTACAACTTCAGGAATACTTTATAATCTAAATTTTGTCCTAAGGAAACTACAAATGATAGTAATGCTGAAAAATTAAAACTTCATCTAAGAATGATTTTCTTGTTAATTCAGGAACAAATTATCTTTAAAAATTATACATGTACCATATATTATATGAATATATGTGTGTACCATATGATATATGAACATTATATATGTAATATATATGAATATGTATACCATATAACATATGAATAGTTTACATATAAATGTGGATGGGTGGTTTCTAGTTCATTTAAACAAGTTACATCTTTAAACCACACATTTTTACAGGGAAATGTCATTTCTTTAAAAAAAAAAAAAAAACCCTAATATTTGAGTGATAAAGTTAAAAATTAACATTTTTCATAAAAAAGACAAACGTTTATTACTACAGCATTATATTTGAGTAGACATATTTATGTAACTTGTTATGGGAAAAAAATGTCTCAATTCTTAATATGTGTAAGTTTGCTAAATGATAGCAACTTATAAAACAATGCTTAAATTGGACAAAATGTTTGATCTTAAAAAAAAAAAACAATTAAGACTAAAACAATGCCGACAAAGAAAATCAGAAGATGAGAAATACCAGATTAGATCTTGCAGTGTAGTATATTTCTTCTGAACTGTCCAAAAAACCATCAGTGTCGGGCTGTTTAGCAGAGACCAAGAAACCCAAGTTATTTATGCTTAGACTAAAAGCCACAAATTCACAAAGGGAAACTTTCACAAAGGAAGTAAGTCCTGCTAATATAATTTTATTAAGGCAAATGGAAAGTCAAACTGTATTAGGCAGCTTATAAAAAAGCAACATTGCAACAACTTTGCTCTAAAATGCAGTTATTAAATTAGTACAGAATTTAAATACAGGCAATGCCAACTTACAAAGAGAAACAAAAAATAAACTCAAACTGCCTTAACAAAACACAATTAGCATTTATAAATATCATGACTACTTTTTCTTAATTTTTTCCATCCCTCTTCATAAATGTCAGGTTTTGGTATTACAGTATGATCACTTTAAGACTTTCTCTTTAACTTTCTATTCCTCCACACTGGTACATTGAATTAGAGGAAATATAAGATAAAGGCTAATGACACCCTTCGTATGCTTCAGTCAAGTGAGCTAAAATAAACATTACATTTAAGAAGCTCCTACTTCAATCCTTAGTACTTATTAACAGTTACTTTCTTATCGTTATTAAACAGCAAATAAAAAAATGAAACAGACATCATATGAAACTCTGGCAAAATAATTTCTTTAGAATTAATTTTGCATTTTCTAATGTCTCTTTTTTTATTGTTCTATAGAATATTAACATCTCAAATAGCTGCAAAGTATTTTGCTTTTACAACTCAATCTAATATATTATCATTTATCTGGAAAGGAGTATCTAAAACAACAACAAAAGAATCATGCAAAGTATATTCATAAAGTTGTAGCAAGTCTTAAATGAATGACAAACTTCATTTACTATGTATGCCTCATCTTCCTAAGTTTTAGTATTCTAAAGAGATATGACTCTAATTTTGGAAACCGTGGCATTTATCCTAAAGATACATATTTTAAAAAGCTACTCAAAAACAGAAAAAAAAAATAAAAAAAAAATTTAAAAGCCAGCATTAAAAACATTTAATCAGAGAATGTTAAAACTAGAAAGTTTCTCTTAAAATAATTTTGAAAATATTCAGCAACACAGATTTATTTATTATGAATTTGAGAATTACTTACCTTTTTGTTTACCACAATTTAAAAGAAAAATTTTATTTTATGTTTTTAGAAACAAGGTCTCACACTTTTGCCCAGGCTGGAGTACAGTGGCTTTTATCATAGCTCACTGTAACCTTGAATTCCTGGGCTCAAGGGATCCTCCTGCCCTAGCCTCCCCAAGTAGCTAGGACTACAAGTATACACCGCCATGCTCAGCTGAGTTTAAAAATCTTTTTGTAGAGACAGGGTCTTACTATGTTGACCAAGCTGGGACCTCAAATGTTTTTGAAATACTAACAACTAGCTTTTTTAGTCAGTACTAACATATCACACAGAGACAAATCAAAACATTTATTTCAGTGTTAACATTCTAAGGCTACACTACTTACAAGTTCATGATGTGGTTCTGTCTCCTTTCTTAAGGGAGGATCAAATTTCACTTGGCCAACTAAAAAAAAATTCCAGGATCTGTTTTTATATTCTTAATGATATAATAATTTAAAAAGTTATTCCACAGTAAAAGACATTTAATGTTACCATCAACCATACACTGACCTCCAAAGATTTTTGTTTTCAGTTTTCAAAACTGATACTAATAATTGTAAATATTCATGGTGGTACATATGATATTTTGATACATGCATATAGTGTGTAATGATTGAAACATAGCAAATAGGATATCCATTACATTAAACATTTATCATTTCTTTGTGTTGGGAACATTACAAATTGAACTATTTTCAAATATATAATAAATGATTGTTAATTATAATTTCTCTACTCTGCTAGTGAATAGAATGTATTCCTTCTATTTAACTTTTGTACCCATGAAACAACCTCTCTCCATCCACCTATCTTACCCTTCCCTGCCTCTGGTAACCATCATTCTACTTCTACCTCCATGAGATCAACTATTTTAGCTCCCACCTATGAGAGAGAACATGAGATATTTGTCTTTCCACGCCTGGTCACTTTAAAATTAATGTCCTCCAGTTCCCTCCATGTTGTTGCAAATGACAAGATTTCATTGTTTTTTTATAACTGAATAATATTTTGATATGTATATATACTACATTTCCTTTATTTATTCATCTGTTGATGGACATATAGGTTGATTCTCTATCCTGGGTATTGGGGTTTTGCTTTTTTATGTGTTTTTTTGACACGGGGTCTCATTCTGTTGCCCAGGCCAGAGTACACGCTCTTGGCTCACTGCAACCTCCTCCTCCTGGGTTAAAGCGATTCTCCTGCCTCAGCCTCCCAAGTAGCTAGGACTACAGGCGCATGCCACCACACCTGGCTAATTTTTTTTTTTTTTTTACTTTTAGTACAGATGGGATTTCACCATGTTTGCCAGGTTGGTTTTGAACTCCTGACCTCAGGTGATTTCCCTGCCTCAGCCACCCAAGGTGCTGGGATTACAAGCATAAGCCACTGTACCAGGCCTATCCTGGGTATTGTGATAATGCTGCAATAAACTTGGGAGTACAGATATCTCTTAGATATACCAATATCCTTTCTTTTAGATGCATAATCCAGTAGTTCTGGATCATACAGTAGTTCTATTTTTAGTTTTTTGAGGAACCTCCATATTGTTTACCATAGTGGTTGTACTAATTTACATTCCCACCAATAGTATATAAGAGTTCCCTTTTCTCTGAATTTTCACCAGCAGATGTTATTTTTTGGCTTTTTAACAACAGCCATTTAAACTGGGGTGAAATGATATCTCATTGGGGTTTTTCTTTTTTGATTTGCATTTTCTAAAAGTCATTCAGATTATTTTGTCACCCAGGTACTAAGCCTAGTACTCAATAGTTACTTTTTCTGATCTTCTCCTTCCTCCTACCCTTCACCCTCAAGTAGGCCCCGGTATCTGTTGTTCCCCTTTGTGTTCATGAGTTCTCATATGATGCACCTCCCCTTTTTTAAATTGAGACAGTCTCACTCTGTCACCCATGATGGAGTGCAGTGGCAGGATCTCAGCTCATCGCAACCTCTGCCTCCCAGGTTCAAGCAATTCTCTTGCCTCAGCCTCTGAGTAGCTGGGACTACAGGCACACACCACCAGGCCTGGCTAATTTTTGTATTTTTAGTAGAGACAGGGTTTCACCATGTTGGTCAGGCTGGTCTCCAACTCCTGACCTCAAGTGATCCATCCGTCTTGGCCTCCCAAAGTGCTGGGATTATATGCATGAGCCACTGGGCCCAGCCTAGACATCTAGTTTGAAATAGCATACACATGCATATGCACTTAAAAGTTGAGAATCACTGATAGGTTACCATAGAGTGATTCAGAAACAACTACACTATGATATAAAGAAACTGACAATGTAATTTTTAAATAAAATCAGATAACTAGAGAGCACTTTACATTTTCAACAGTACTGAATACATAAAGTTTTCTAAATCAACTGCAAGACATCTCTAATTACTTCTTTTTTTGGAGACAGAATTTTGCTCTTTGCCCAGGCTGGAGTGTAGTGGCATGATCTAGGCTCACTGCAACCTCCATCTCCCAGGCTCAAGTGATTATCCTGCCTCAGCCGCCCAAGTAGCTGGGATTACAGGTGCGCATCATCATGCCTGGCTAATTTTGGTAGTTTACGCAGAGATGGGGTTTCACCATGTTGGCCATGCTGGTCTTGAACTCCTGGACTCAAGTGATCTGCCCGCCTCAGCCTCCCAGAGTGCTGGGATTACAGGCGTGAGCTACTATACCTGGCTTCCACTTACTTTTTGTATATTAAAGGAATGATAAAGATATTTCATAATTACTTTATGTATATGAAAAAGATGAGAAATGCTCTTACATGCTAAGGATGTCATTTTTGGAAAAATAGTTTTGTGGTGAAATTAGCAAATCTAAAACGTGACTTCAGCAGTAGCTTTAAAGATAATTTTATATGATCACACAACCAACTGTTGGCAAACAAAGTACCAAATCCCACTCCTGAGCTTTTTATATAATCCACCGTGCTTTCCAGGTATCACTAGCACAAAACTTATGAGAATAAATGCTTCTAAGGAAAAAAAAGTTAAGCATTATTGTTGGAGGGATTCCTGTTAGCAGTTTATCACTGATAAGTTGATAGTATTGGATCTCACATGAATGAATGACTGTCTCAGTGGGCCCATAACTTGACTGTCCGTAAGAATTAACTAGAGGCCTATTTTAAAAGATTTCTGGGCCAATCCAAGACCTATTGAATTGGACTCCGGAAAAATGGGGCCCGAATATTTTTTTTTTTTTAAAGATGGGGTTTCACCATGTTGGTCAGGCTGGTCTTGAACTCCCAACCTCAGGTGATCCGCCTACCCTGGCCTCCAAAGTGCTTGGATTACAGGCGTGAGCCACCACGCCCGGCCTCCGAATACATTTTTAAAAGCCGCCAGGTTACTCAGATGCTAGGGCAGTTTGCGAACCTCTATTTCTCAGTTACCCTTGGATCATGAGCGTATGAGTAACATGGGAGCTTATTAGTAGAAGCTCAGATCCATCCCAGGTCTGCTGAATCCGAAATTGCATTTAACAAGCTCTCTAGGTGCACACAGGAGTTTAATGGCACTGCCTTAATTACTTCTATCCTGCTTATTCCAGAAATTAACTTCTCCTCCCAAACAGCAAAAACATAAATACATCCCATTCTGCCACCAAAAATTCCACAAGAATAAGGAAAATGAAATTCTTATTGCTCTAAACTTTAACAGTGTTTAGAAAGAAAAATTACTCAGAAGAAAATAAAAATAACTAAATTATAACTTAAAATCTTGTTTTCTATCATTAAATCATAAAGTGTGTATAGTATATACTTACAGTTTATCTCTGAGCGTGTTTTTTCTTCTCTCACATTTCTACTTGTTGAGTGAATTCTATGTGGTACAGCAACAAGAGGCTAGAAAAGAACAAAAGCAACGATATGCAGCATTTGGTAATCAAGTCATAGTTTGGTCCACAAAATTACTCAAATAGGAGAAAATACTTCATTTTAAGTAAAAACGAAAGGAAAATATAACTTTGCAAATTCTTTTTAACAAAGAGCAAATCACAACGGCAGCTCAAACTATGAAGGGGAAAAAATATTTTTATTATCCACAACATAAATTATTTGTACTAGAAGAGGCACTTCTTTGGCTAGATTAAATACATATGAAATTAAACACAACAGTAACGTATTTTGCTTATTTGTATGTGCAACATTAGACTTGTCTAGATCCATTCTACAAAGATGAATCAAGTTCACTTAAGTATTCTGGATCTATTCTGACATCAAGAAATTCTGAAGGAAAAGGAAACACAACAGGGTAAACATTACCATTTGCGTCTATCATTCAATGATGGCTGAGCTTAGAAGTTAAGGTTTATTTTTCAATTTACAGTTTTTTGAAATAATATTCAAAAACCACACACATTTATAGATGATATTGTATTTCACTTTCAGCATAACTTGAATCATAATTGATTTAATTAAGATTCCCCAAAATTACATAAGTTATGTTTATGTGAACATACAGTATTTTACGATTTTCAGAAGCTTTTTTTTTCTTCATTTAAAAAATGCTCTTCACTCCTTCTCAGTTTCTCTTGATGATAGATGCACCATTATAATTTCCATAAGTAGGAAATATACCAGTATTCAATTATTTGCCTTTAATTTACAAAGAAGTTTCACACCTTGAAATTATTTATAGCACCTAATTAAATGTGATCACAAAGGAGTACTGGAAAACTTATACTATGAATGTCCAATATGAGATGTGTCAAAGGCCTCCAACATTAGAAAAAGAAAAAGCTGAAAAATATGATTTAGAGAAACACTTTGAAAATTGAACTGCTAGCATGTCAGGAACAAACTGATAACTAACTCAAGAAATCAAATGATTGTAAGAAGGACTATCCAGTTATACAAAAGCCATATTTCACTCTTTAGAACAGAGGTGAACTGGAGACTTGACTGGTTATTTCCTATTCACATGTACCAATTCAGATGGTTGGATAAGAAAATAGTATTATTTTCTAAAAATTTCTTTTGACAATGAAATATTTCATGTATAAAAGGAGCAAGGGACTGCCACAAGATTTTTTTAAATGAAGCCAGGGAATGAAAGATACCCACCCTGAAATTAAAGGAGGCAACAGAATGTTAGGTACAATCTTCTGAAATGCTAAATAATTTTGTTTTCTAACAATGAAAGATGACACTTAACAGCTCTAAAATGGTATTACATTTACTAGAATTTCAAATAAGCACAATCGATTCTAAAATAGCTCATCTGAACTTAAAAAGCTGGACTTGGAAAAGGATATCCTTTAGCATCATTAGACAAAGGCCATGTAGATATATTCTCAAAAATTAAAAATTACAGAAAAATCTATTCTAAAATTCACATGGAACCAAAAAAGTACCCCAATAACCAAAGCAATCCTAAACAAATAGAACAACAGTAGAGGTATCACATTACCTGATTTCAAGCTATACTACAAGGCTACAGAACCGAGAGAGAATAGTACTAGTATAAAAATAGACACATAGACCAATGAAACAAAACAGAGAGCCTAGAAATAAAGCCCCACACCTACAACTATCTGATATTTGACAAACCTGATAACAAGAAGCAGTGGGGAAAGAACTCTGCATTCAATAAATGGTGCTAGGATAACTGGTTAGTCATATACAGAAGATTGAACCTGGACTCCTTCCTTACGCAATACTGTATACGAAAATCAACTCAAGATGGATTACAGGCTTAAATGTAAAATCTGAAACTATAAAACCCTTGAAGAAAACCTAGGAAATACCATTCCAGATAGTCATGAGCAAAGATTTCACGATGAAGATGCCAAAAGCAACTGCAACAAAACCAAAAATTGACAAATGGGATCTAATTAAACTAAACGGCTTTGGCACAGCAAAACAAACTAACAGAGTAAACAGACAATCCACAGAATAGGAGAAAATTTTTGCAAACTATGCATCACCGAGATCCAATATCCTGAATCTGTAAGAATCTTAACCAAATTAATAAGCAAAAACCAAACAACTCCATTAGAAAGTGGGCAAAGGACATAACAGATATATTTCAAAAAAAGACATATATGCAGCCATCAAGAATATGAAAAAAATGCTTGAACATCACTAATCATTGGAGAAACGCAAATCAAAACCACAATGAGATACCATCTCACACCAGCCAGAATGATTATTAAAAAGTCAAAAAATAACAGATTTTGGCAAGGCAGCAAGGAAAAGGGAATGCTTAAACACTGCAGGTGATAATGTAAACTAGTTCAGCTACTGTGGAAAGCAGTTTGGGGATTTCTCAAAGAGCTGAGAACTACCATTCAACCAAGCAATGCCATTACTGGGTATATCCCCAAAGGAATATAAATCGTTCTAGCATAGACACATGCACACGTTATGTTCATCGCAGTACCACTCACAGTAGCAAAATACAATAGCAAAGATATTGAATCAAACTAAATGCCCAACAACGGTAGACTGAATAAAGAAAATGTGGTACAGATACACAGTCATAAAAAAGAATGAGATAATGTCCTTTGCAGCAACAAGGATGGAGCTGGAGGCCATCATCATAACTAAGTGAACTAACACAGGAACAGAAAGCCAAATTCCACATGTTCTCACTGACAAGTGGGAGCTAAACACTGAGTACACATGGATACAAAGAAGAGAATAATAGACACAGGGGCCTCCCTGAGTTTGGGAGAAGGTTAAGTATAAAAAACTACCTACTGAGTACCAGGCTTATTACCTGGGTGACAGAAGAGTATGCACATCAATCCCCTGTGATACACCATTTATTTACAGAACCAACCTGCACATGTACCTTGAAACTAAAACTTAAAAGAAAAAGAAACTCAATGAATTTTTTCAAGATCACTAATAAAAACTGTTAAGATTTTTAAAATCAAAATTTAGCCTTTAATTTCTAAATACAAACACTCTCATTTTTCTCTATAAATGTAATATATACTAGTCATAGACACCTGTGACAACAGGCTTTTAATAACTTATACATGATATTTAGAGAAGCGATGATGAAAATAATCATTCTAATAAATAGCATTTAAAGAAACAAGCCATTCACAATGATGCATGGTGTCTGTTTTTTTAAACAATGCTTTACATGCCATGTGATTACAATTATTTTTATTACTTCTTGAAAAAAACCCTGCCCTTATAAACCATTCATGTTTATTCAACTTTTAAAATCTTAAAGTTCTATGATTATTATATCATCAAATAATATAAATACAAGTAATAGGCCCTTTGCAATGGGAGCCGCATGAGAACGTAAAGTTTGTAGGAAATGAAGGAAAGACAAAGACAATATGATAAGTCTTAGTTAACATAAGCCAGTGTTTTTTGACCAGGGTCAATTTTGTCCCTTAGGAGACATTTGGCAATATCTGGGGACATTTTTTGATGTTACAACTGGGGATTAAAGGGTATTAACTGGCAACTAATGGGAAGAGGCCAGAAATGCTGCTAAACATTCTAGAATGCACAGGGCAGCCTCCCCAACCCCCCCAAAATAAAGGACTGTCTGGCCCAAAATGTCAACAGTGCTCAGACTGAGAAATCCGACAAGTAAATGCCTACAGGTAAACTTGTTTACTGTTGTCAAATTTACTTTTAGGTCCTCATCTTTTTCAGGTATATACACTCTGTCATATACTTTTTTTTTTTTCTTTAACCAAAACTACAGAGAACCTCCCTACCCCAGTTTCTTCCCTTAAAATTGCCAGGAATTTTAGAAAATACGGAAAGTAAAACCTTATTGTTTCTTCATTTCATGTACAGTTTACTCTTGAAAAACAAAAGTTTGAACTTCAGAAGTCCACTTCTATGCAGATAACTTGGGGACACAAAACCTATGTATATGGAGGACCAACATTTCATACATGTGGGTTCTGCAGGGCTGACTGCGGGAGTTGGGTATGCAAGGATTTTGGTATACCTGAGGGTCCTGGAAGCAGCCCCTTGTGTGTATCAAGGGACAACTGCATTTTCAATGTTTTTAAAGAAAGGTAACTGTTAATGACTAAAAAAAAATTCAAGTAAAATTTATCCTGTCAAACATCTCTTAAAATTCCAAATCAAAAGTCTAAATATTTCTACTGTATAAATATCATATGGCAAGCTATTATTTAACGTAAGAAGAATTCACGAATCTACTATTTAGTAGATAAGAACCTAAACAAATTAAATAACAAACATTCATATACCTGATGTGCTCCTTTTTTTTTTTTTTGCCCAGGCTGGAGTGCAGTGGTGTGATCTCGGCTTACTGCAACCTCTGCCTCCTGAATCCAAGAGATTCTCCTGTCTCAGCCTCCCGAGTAGCTGGGACTACAGGCACAAGTCACCACACCCAGCTAATTCTTGTATTTTTATTAGAGACTGGGTTTCACCATGTTGTCCAGGATGGTCTCAATGTCTTGACCTCATGATCCGCCTGCCAGGGCCTCCCAAAGTGCTGGGATTACAGGTGTGAACCACTGCACCCAGACACCTGATGTGCTCTTAATCCATACGTAACCTTAATTGCATTCACTTTTACATGAATCTTATTTAAGGGTAAAGACTGTATTTTAACATTTCTAAAATTTACAAAAGTTAGTGTATTCAAACATTTACCTATGGGAGATGGCTAACATTTTTTAAGTGTCCTGATGAGTTTTAAAAGTCCCCAATTCTTTGACCATTATTTTTATTTTTTAAACTTTGGTCTTTCTGGCACCTTCCTATTGGCAAACTCCTTTCTAGCAATGTCACTTCCTTTGTGACATTGTCTCTGACTTCCACAACAAAAGCTGGATGGTTTTTCTTCTCACTCCTGAAATGGTGAGCTTCTCTAAATTAAGAAATATGTTTTATTCACAGCAGGTCCCCAGTGAATGTTCATCGAGTTGAATATAAACAAACAGTCAAAAACTAAGTATTTCAATAATTCAATAGCTGTTTACAAGTTGCAAGTAGCTTTCCCTGTTGCAGAGGAGAAAACTGCAAAATTGCAAAAATCTGCCTCAACTTCTTATATCAAAAGGATGAGAGATAAATGCAATGAAATAATGCTAAAGGCTTTAACCCATTTATACCTGAGGTTGCAAATTTTTTTGTGTGAAAAATCAGACCTTGACGATGACCTTGAGCATTAGGATATAAATAACTCCCACAAACCTAGTTCCAATAATGGAACACTACACATTAATGTGTTAATGATTTATGGTACTTTTTCTTGGTAAACACAATTTTTTTTTGGCCCTTTATGTTTTTTCTTGCAGCAGCCCTCTATTTTCTTTCCTTTTACTTTATTAAAACTATTCTATGTGCACTGCCAACCTCATACAGGAATATTCTGAAGGTGGGCAGAATGGAGATGAGTTCTACTTACTGTTAATTCGTGGACATTCCTCTAACCTTTGGAAGTAAAATAGGTCTTATCAGAAAAACTTCTGCAGTTCCATACTAAAATTAAGGTCTCTCAGTCACCATTATTTCATGTACTTATTCCAATACCCAATAGCTTCCTCTGTGTGTGAAATGCTATCTTTGAAGCTATTGTATTATCTTTGAGGAGATATACTTTTAGATCTATCTTTGTGGAAAACACAATTCATAAACATTAAGTTCTAAGTCTTAGATTCAATAAGGCAAATCAAGAACAAGACTCGAATTAACTATTCACAGTGTAGGTACATCTCAGGGAAAAAAACATACAAATCTAAAAGATTGAAATATTAAATACTTGTAATAGTGAAACAGTAGCAACAGTCATTTTAAAAATTAGATATTTAAATTTTACATGTGCAACGTGCTTTGTAGTTTACAAAGTGTTTTGATGCACCTTAGCATTATATCCTTAAACTCATGAAACAAGCATTATTCCTCATTGCATAGATGAGGACACTGAGACTTAAAATTAAGTGGCAGTGCATTCAGCTAGCTAGCCATAGTGCTAGGAAAACTCCTAGATTTTTGATATAATATAAAGTAGCAAAACCAAACAAAAACAGGTAACATGCATATTACTCAAACAGATTGTTATCAATGAACATGGATGAAACCCATGATTATTTCTGAGAACAGTTTTACCTTCCCAGCTTAAACAGCATAATAAATTATTAATTTATTAGCATAATAGATTAATTTAATAAAATCATTAAATCTTTAATGCTGTACATAGTAAGTGGGTTAACATATAGGAGAAGAAAACTGAATAAAAATCAGAATTATAATCACACCAGTGTGTAATTACTTCTAAAATAGAAACTACATGGGAATACAACATTAAAAAGTCAAACTTCTTCCACAGTGCATAACCTATAAAAAAACTTAAACTAGACTTAGTAGATGTGATATGTATGTGTGCGTACATATATATATATGTATATATAGATAGACACACATATATACATATACTTTTTCAAGACAGGAGTTTTGCTCTGTTGCCCAGGCTGGAGTGCAATGGCATGATCTTGGCTCATTGCAACCTCTGCCTCCTAGGTTCAAGAAATTCTCCTGCCACAGCCACCTGAGTAGCTGGAATTACAGGCATGAGCCACCATGCTTGGCTAATTTTTTTATTTTTAGTAGATACAGGGTTTCACCACATTGGCCAGGCTGGTCCCAAACGCCTGACCTCAGGTAATCTGCCTGCCTCAGTCTCCCAGAGCGCTGGGATTACAGACGTGAGCCACCTCACCTATTTTTATTTTTAAGAGTATGAATACAATAGTTTTAGTATTACAGCAAGTGCTGAAATACTTAGATACACTCACATTTTGAGTGACAACACTGCAATTACAATTACGAATCATTTGAAATAAAACATTAGGAATTTCTCTTAAGGAAAACATTATTCTAAGCTACTGTGAGAAGGAACGTACCAGCTTCTCCTCATTCTACCCCTGGAATAATTAAATTTCTTTCTTTTACCTACTTACCATAAAGATTTATAACAATTCATAATTATAATACCAAAACAATGTCTGGATAAGAAAGATGAATTTCTTCCCCTGCTATATGAGAAAGTTTCAGAAGAATCTTCATTCCACAGATTGCTTCTCTATTTGGTTTATTATTTCTGTTCTTTGAATACATTTTTTAAAAGACACTATAATTCGGCATGACAAGTACATAGAATGAGGTAAGACACAATCATATAGCATTCAGTGCACTGAAAAGTGTATAGACAGTCCTTGTTTTACAGTTTTGTTATACATCAATTTCAGTTACCGTAATTTAGTTAAATATACTAGTTCCCTACAACATGGTTCAAATAACAGTTACCACTGTGTGTTAATTGTGATTGCATAAACTTCATTGGTAACCTTTCAGTTCACAAATTACTATGTAAATAACAGATGCACATCATGATCATGATTAGAAAGAAAATAAGAAAGGAATATGACAATTTCCCAAGGCATAGAAAAGATACTTGCTCTGTGTCACAGAAACATCATGAAAAGGCAACCTACTCAATAAGCAGACTACCAGGTAAGTAAAAAATGTGCATGAAAAGTTTGTTAACAAAGAAATGAAACATCAATAAAAGTTAATAAACTTTTATTTTCATGCACATTTTATACTATAAATATCAGAATCAATGATTCTGATATTTATAGTATATTGTAAATAATAATTTTACTATTTTTTTCACATTCCTATATTTATAACTGACAGTAACAGAGTTTATGCTGTAACAAAAAATTTTAAAGGTCATGAAACAATTGTAATTTTTCCCACTGATTATTAGGATTACTTTGCAGAATTTTAGCTTATGCAGTCATTTTATAGTCCCACATTACCATCCACATCAAGGACTGCCTGTATACTAGATAAGACTAGAAGAGTTTATAAAACTCAACTGTCTTCAAAATAAAATCAAGCAAAGCAACACAAAAAAACTTCTTTAGGCTGGGTGAGGTGGCTCACACCTGTAATCTCAGCACTTTGGGAGGCTGAGGTGGGTGGATCATGAGGTCAGGAGTTCGAGACCAGCCTGGCCAACATGGTGAAACCTCATCTTTATTAAAAATACAAACTTAGCCAGGCGTGGTGGTATACAACTGCAATCCCAGCGACTCAGGAGACTAAGGCAGGAGAATCACTTTAACTCAGAAGGCGGAAGCTATAGTGAGCCAAGAGCATGTCATTGTACTCCAGCCTGGGCAATAGAGTGAGACTCCATCTCAAAACAAACAAACAAACAAACAAACAATCTCTTTATAGTACAATTATAAGGTTAATTATATTTTATATTTCTTAAGTTTTTATGCTCCAAACTCCTTTCCAGATCTTTAAACAAAAGGACAAATAGTTTATCTATCAGAGTTATATAAGGATGGCAAGCTGGAACAATGCTGAACTGATAGAAAGGTTCTCTCTGACTTAAGACAATCTTTCACCATCTTTCTAAAAACATCTTCAGTCAACAATAAAATTTACATTTTTAAGGGCCTCCCATAAAGCCAGCAGAGTTAAAGGCTATCCACTTCTGTTATATACCCAATAACAGAATTCTGCCATGTCACACATACTGAATTTATCTTGGGTGCCACAACTATTAGCAGTGCTAGGAATGTTACATATGCAAACAGAAGTTAAGCTTCCATTAATATGAATGCTTCTGCGTGTTAGAATTATTTTATTAACTACACTAGCTCTTTTAAAACATTTCCATAGTGAATAACTGAGTTTTAGTCACCAACAAAGTCAATCCTATACTTCCTAGTAACCTCTAATAATTCATTAACTATTGTGTAAGAATTTTTCTTTTAAAGATAGAAACAGGGTCTTGGTACATTGCCCAGGCTGGTTTGAAACTCCTGGCCTCAAGTAATTCTTTTACTTCAGCCTCCCCAAATGATGTGGTTATAGACGTGAGCCACCATACCAAACTGAGGATTCTTTTTGAGAAGCAAATTGAGGAAACATTTTGAATATTCTAGTATCTTCTTTAGGCATTTCCCATTTGCTTTCTCTTTTACAGTGGATTATTTATTTGGCAACTTCATTGAAAATGACTATTTTGAAATAACTAGAGTGATTTCAACAGTGGATCAAATGATTTGCCTTTGCCATTTTCACACTATAGTCACCTGTAAGTAGTCAGTAGAAAAACATAGCATTTGATTTCCCATGAAAGGCAAAGAATTACTTGTTCCCTTAAGAGCTTTTTTACTTAAACTAGACCCCAAAATTAAAAAAAACAACTGATTTTGAGACGTACAAACAGACATACATATATATACATTCACATATATGTTACATATGCCAGTTGGTAAAAACAATTCCTACCTCAGGGTCATCATCATCGAAATCATGGTAAGTGGAATGATCTGGATTATTTACTTTATCCAACAGCTCGATTGCCAAAGACCGTGTCAAATGTTGTGTTACAAAAGGATGCTATAAAAATTAAATACAATGCAGAACACTTACTAGAAATCTGATGGAATGACATTTTATCTTTTGAAAAATATATACATTTGAGGGTAAAAAAATACCTGTAATAATTTTTCAGCAGTAGGTCTTTTTTTCGGATTTTTGGTAAGTGCCATTTTCACAAAATGATGAAAACTATTTGACCTAAGAAATTTAGAAAATTAGATTTTTATATTCCAATTCATTTTTTACTCATCTTACCATAAAAGTAAGTAACATAAAAATACTTACCACTTCATTTTATCCTTTAGTTTAGGGGGCTGAAAATTGCTTTTTGTCATTAGAAATAATGCTCTGAAAAATCAACAAATCATTACATAGCATTTTAATATTTCACATTTTAATCTGTAACCCAAATTCTATTACTATTTATTCCCCAAATAAGGCAAAACAAGACTAAGAAAATTAGTTGTCCATGACATACTAAGAGGAAAAAACCTTAAGCACAGGATTCTTCAGTGATGATGCACTGACCTCATTGGGTGTAAGTCAAACATAGGAGGCTGAAGCTCTGCAAGTTCTATGGCAGTGATTCCCACTGCCCAGAGATCACAGAGTTGATTGTAACCCCCCTTCCTCTCAACAGCTGCGACTTCTGGAGCCATCCTGAAATAAATATTCCAGACAAGAAAAATCTTCTGTTACATCTCTTCCCTTATACTCCCACCCAAAGGCACAAAGAATTATCACTATTTGCCCTAAACAGGCCTTGATTTCTGAAAAATAAATATGTACTTAAAGGTCTACCTTTTCAAAGGTCTTGACATCTCATAAGACCCTCCACTTCATAAGTAACTTGCTTTCGATTTTACAGGATCATAGGTGGAAGGGACTTGCTTCCCTGAGATGAGACTTTGGACTTGGACTTTTGTGTTAATGCTGGAATGAGTTGACTTTGGGGTACCGATGAGAAGACATGACTGGTTTTAGAATGTAAAAAGGACATAAGATTTGGGAGGGGGAAGGGACAGAATGATATGGTTTGGCTCCCCACACAAATCTCTTCTCAAACTGTAATCCCATGTGTCAAGAGAGGGACCTGGTAGGAGGTGATTGGATTACTGGGTCAGTTTTCCCTGGTATGCTTTTCTCCTGGTAGTGAGAGGGTTTTCACAAGATCTGATGGTTTTAAAACTGGCAGTTTCCCCTGCGTGCTCTCTCCTGCCACCTTGTGAAGCAGGTGCCTGCTTCCCCTTTGCCTTACTCCATGACTAAGTTTTATGAGGTCTCCCCAGCCACGCGGCAAAACTGTGAGTCAATTAAACCTTTGTTAATAATTTTTTTTTAAAAGATTCTCCACTTCAGTCCCCTATTGGTGATTCCTTTGTTACTTCCTTATACTAGTTACTAAAAAGGTTTATAAAAATGTACAATTCTAATAGAACAACATGCCCAAAATTCATTCATTCTCCCAATCTCTCTGTACATGTAAAATTCAATAAGTAATATCTGTAATAAACAATGTATAGCTCTACTTCCTTTTATCAAAAAACTGCAATCTGGCAGCCTCTGTTTTTACTTCATCAAAACTATTCCTTTGGCCACCAATAATCTTCATATTTAGTATTTAATTCATATTTATTAAAAACTTACCTGGAATTTTTTCCAGTTTTATTAGTTATAAAAATGAGTGTCTACTTTTAAAAAATGTATTTATTCAGAGGAAAGTTACCCAAATTCAGTAATATTTTTTGTTTCTCTTAACTTTGCTACAGTCTTATTCTAATTATACCTCCATAAATTTGACTTTGACTGGTATAAATTAATTTTCAAATATAAAAATTTTTAAATCCTAAACAATAGTTTTAAGAACAACTAATTGAGATAAACATCTCAACTCTTCCATACTCAAAAGCAGTCTAGATAGTCTTACAAATATTCATTATCTTCCTGGTACGATTTCAGGGAGGTCAAGTAAGTCAGTAAAGTTAAAAACAAAAAATCCTCTAACTTTCAAAACCCCTAGTTTCAAAATCTTTTAAATCTCAAAACAGATCTTATGAAAATTGAATTTTATAAGAAAAGTGAATTTCAAAGTGTCAGTTATTACTTTTATGATGGATAGACTCCAACTAGCTGGTAGAAATCCCCTAGTGGAGTGGGAAATGCATACAAGTGATATTCTCTTAACTTGCCTCCCCTTCCTAGTTTACCACATTAGCTGATGCTCTCCCTTCCTCTAAGAAAAGACAAGGGAAATGTTCTACCTAGTACATGTCTACTCCTACCAGCTGTTGTGTGCTTCTCAGTCAACTGGGTTCATCTCTGAAACTGTTTATTCCAGTTACATTTGCTATTGTAAACATATAGTTAAGTATTATGAAAATGGATTTATAATGAAGGTTTAAAAATTAGTGAATGCTGGCTGGGAGGAGTGGCTCATGCTGTAATCCTAGCATTTTGGGAGGCTGAGGCAGGAGGATCACTTGAGCTTAGGAGTTAGAGACCAGCCTGAGCAACATGGTGAAATCCCATCTCTGTAAAAAATGCAATTAGCTGGGCATGGTGGTGTATGCCTGTGTTCCCAGCTACTTAGGTGGCTGAGGTGGAAGGATCACTTGAGCCAGGGAGGCAGAGGTTGCAGTGAGCCGAGATCACACCACTGCACTCCAGCCTAGGTGACAGAGTGAGACCCCATTTCAAAAAAAAAGAAAAGAAAAGAAAGAAAAGAAAAAAGTGAATGTTTTAGAAAGACTTTGCTTTTGGAAAGGCAAATTTCTAAAGATGAGCCAAAAACCTGGTACATTAGATAAGAACATAACAATGGAAGAAAACTGGGAAGGCTACAGATTATATGATTTCATTTGCATCCCACTCAAGGAAAAGGCACAAATGGAGACAGAAACTAGATGCTACGGATGGAGGGAGAGCATTTACTAAAAAGGGGCAAAAGAAAAAATTTTTTGGATGGTGTCAATGTATTCTGGTGGTTTCTTACCACCACAGCATACAAATTTCTCAACATTCATACAACTGTATGAATTTGTACAACTGTACACCTAATAAGGTTAAATTTCTACTTCAATAAACCTGACTAAGAAATGTAGTTGATGCACTGGGATGTGTGTGGTTTGCATTACTAAAATGGAACTCTAGTAGGTGTCTACTCAAAGAAAAGGCCTTGATTCTATATTGAAAGACTGTTGAATAAATGTACATATATGTCTTAAATTGAAATAAGTTGTTTAAGGTACATATGTATTAATTTTGAGAAATGTAATTTCACGCAGACTTTTTCAAACAACTGAATAACTGCCAATCTAATCACTTTGGAAGAGAGAGATTCTAAATTCTTAGATTGTAGGTAAGAAAGATACAATACCAGAAAGACAAGTACAGGGAGAGTGTTCCCAAATTTAACTTTACATAATTCACAATCTCACATGTTCCCAAGATATTTCCCCCATTACTGTTAAGAGTAATTACATAAATTTTTAACATCTGAAACTGGAGTTGGAAACGTCAACATTCCCATTCAGTGAATGAATATTATATAGAATCAAGTCAGATCCTGAAGATTTAATGAGAGATGTTTACAATAAAACTGTAAAGACGGTGTACTTAGAAATGACAGCAATTCAAGCCCTCACTCCGCTCAGAAATCAACCCAAAACAATAAAGAGAAGAACAAAGAGAAATATATACACATACCATCTTTGAAAAGTTCAGCAGACATATTTTACCTAAACCCACAACACATAAGACTAAAAACAGAAGAACAGTAAATGATATAGCAAACAGGAGGCAGGGAAAACCTAAGCAGGTGCCAAGTAAAAAAACAACTAGCAGCCAACAAGCCTCCAACATCCTGGAAATGTTGACAAGTTAGGGTTAAAAAGCAGCAATAGTAGGGTTGAGGTTGGGCTGAAAACAGAAGTATCAGAAAGTGTCAACAGTTAGTCCTTCATGTTCCTACTCTTATCCATTAAGTCCCAGCAACTATTCCTTCTCCATTTCCACTGGATAAGGACCAAGATGAAGAAGAGACACTGCAGACTTAACAGATACCAGGAACCAAGGAATGAAGAGGTTAAAGTGAGAGGACGTGATTAAGCAGAAGTATGTATACAGAATAAAGAATACCTTTGCTTCCTTCTCTTGACCAGTTCTAGAACACTAACAACCAGCTTTACACCCGACTTCCCATACACACAGAGTTATGAACCAGTTTTTAGAGCCATGCTCTTCAAAGTGAACTAAAACATAAGAATTAGCAGACATTTGAGGGAAGCCTCCATCATGAAAATATGAATGTAAAGAGTTGAGGAACTCTTACAAGTAAAACAAAAAAGATTTTTAAATGAGAGAAAATATAAGAATATTAATGGATTAATTTAAGTGGTCCAATATATAGCCAATGAGTTCCATAGACAGCAGGAAAAAGGACAGCAAAGAAATTATCAAAGAAGTAATACAAGAGTACTTCTCCAAGCTGAAAAGATGTAAGTTTCTAGATTATAAAGCACAAATGCCAAGTACAATGAATAAAAGCAAAAACAATCAAAAAACAAGTATATTTTGAAGTATATAATTATGGCATATCAAAACACCAGGAATGATTATAGGGGGAGAAATTACATTCAAAAGATCATGTATCATAATGGTATCACACTTCCCATGGGCACCACAGAAGACACTAGTGCAATGCCTCAAAAATTGCACCCTGGAATTACCTACCAAAATTATCAATCATGTACAAGGACAGACATGCAAAATCTCAAAAATGTTACTCCCCATACACCCTTTCCACACACACAAAAAGGAAGGAGTAAATCATGAAAGAAGACCTAGAAACCAAGAAAGGAATGCTAAGCTGAAGATGAAAAACTGCCAGAACAGAGCTAGGCAAAAAATCCAGAGAATTAAACAGTCCAGACTGGAACAGGAGGGAAGATGACTCCAGGAAGGGTTATTCTAGGAAAACAAAACAAAACAGAACAAAGCAACACCAACCAGACAAAATCAGATAATGTTACAAACTTTATGGCATAAAAAATTATACAGACACATCTTACAAAACTGTAAAATGTGGAAAGGTATGCAAAGCGTTAACCAGGGATTTCAAAAGAAAAACAAGAAACTAAGCAAATTAAAAATGAAATTATTAAAATCAGGAAAAACTTTTTTTCAGGAAAGTATTGTCAACTGATTCGGCAAAGTACACTGGAAAGATGACTGGAAGACGAAGAGAGCTAAGATCATCACCTATCATAACACAGTATCTGTAAATGAATAATGCTAGAGATGGCAGAAGTTACAACTAAGTTTTCCTCATATGCCTTTTTAGCATTATCTGACTTTTAAAATATATATTGATGAAAAGATAAGTTGACATGAAAATGGTATATACATCATATTCTAAATACAAAAAAATGAGTAGTAGCAATTAGTACTACATGACTGCTGATGAGTCAGATGAAGAAGGCATCAGGGGAGTGTTAGCACATAAGCTAAAAGCATGGCAAGAATTTCAAGGTGTTGTTACTTCAAAGTAATGGTATGAACAAAGTAATGGTATGAACAAAAAAAGCTCTATACGAATTCACCATTATAATTATACTGCTTAATACCACATCTAGCACACAGTAAGTGGCCAAAAATTATTCTGTAAGTAAATACATGACTAGGATAGTTTTTATATTATGATCAGTGAGTATTTAACAGAAACATGGCTAGAAAGGAAGGTCCATGGAGAAGACTAGTAGGAGCTAAGGCTAATGAAGCAGACAGAGGCCAGGCCACAGAAAACTCAAATGTCAAGAAATCTGCATTTGCTCCTACAGGCAACCAAGACATGCCAAAAAGTTTTCAGCAAAGAGGTACTGTGAATAATGTAATGATGAAAGATTAATCACAGTAAGAACTGGAAATGAGGGTGAGGAAAGATAAAAAACATGTGAAAATACATGAGAAATGTACAGGAAAAAGAGCCAGGATTTTCCAGTAAGGCTAGAACTAATATTAAGGTTCCTGAAAACCATATCAATAATTAAAGGCTTTTCTGCTTAATGAAAAATAACATGGTAGAAAATTTTCTGGCCATGTATTCCACCCATTAGGCGTACATGCCTAAATTACTTTATCTGTTGATGACTTTTCTCTTAATCTGTCTTAGTCTGAAAAATTTTGACCAGTCTATTTTTTAGGAATGCTATATCCAATAATGATAGAACAAAATATTAAATATCAATTAAAATAAAATTACCAATATGGTGTGCCAATGAAAGACTTCCGTTTGGCAATTGTAGCTGTTATCTGTGCAGATACTCCAAAATCAGCTATTAAAAAAATGAGAAACATTTAGAAAGCTAAGAGAAAGTAAAACTGTTTAAGGCAACATAAGAAGCTTTTAAAAATTATTTTTATTAATTACACAGCAATAACAGACATTCTCAAACATCATATTACACATTTTAACTTTAATGGACTAGCATTAAAATACCACAAAGTAGTGAACACATATCACAGCCAAATGGATTCCCATATATCCCCACATAAGTCAAATAACAACAAAGGTCAAGTTCAAATAATTTTGATGAGAAAGTGATAGCTGAGAGAATGTAAATTGCTAGACTTATTATTAATATTGTAATTTCTAATTCTCAGGACCAGAAATCCAAGGAATATCACTGGAAGGGATCTTTAAGAGATAGGATATTCCATTCACTTTCTCCATACCCGTGACTGGCATCAGATAAACCAGTAAGTCTACTTGTAGCTTGAAAAGACATCCAGTCAGAATACTCCCAAATTTAACAATACATTTAGTACTAATATCAGTCACTATCAGGAAATTGTTTTTATATATGATTTCTTACTATTCTTTAAGATAAGTATTTGGAGATCTAATATTTTCTAGTTTACTAATGATGACTTCTAAATCCTTCTCAAGCAAGATATTATAAATAATATGTCTTTGAGTGAGGCACATAACATTGGCACAAAATATTAAACTAAACTGCTGATAAAAGCTGTTCATTAAAAAATCAATAGACAACTAAAAAGAATAGGACGTATGTTTTCTGCTTTTCCCATATTTAGAAGTCACATAGGGAAATTTTATTACATGTTAATTTCTAGATACATATTCTTAAATCTGACTAATCTTACAGCAGGTTATAGTTTAAAGTATTTATATCTATATTTTTATAAAATACATATTTTTAATTGGGTTTATCTAATATAGTTTAAAATAACTGATATTTGTTATTAACTACTTCATTTGGTACTAACAAATATGACTTTGTTCATAAAACTATAATGAACATTTGTTCTGTCTTAAACTTGCAAATTAAGTCATTATTTAGGTGTTGAACTCTATTTTAATTGCAAATTTAACAACCTAAAGTTACAAAATGAAATATGTTACTGTTTGAAATAAAACAACATTCATGATCTAAATTACATTCTTAAATAAGTAATACCGAGTTTTATTTTAAAAGCTTTATGTAAAGAATAAAGGGTTTTTGGAGTTATTGATTTTTTTATATTTGTCTTTTTTTTTTTTTTTTGGTTACAAGGTAATTCTGTACAGATTTCTATTATAAAAATCATATTCCTGTGTTTAGAGATGAAAGAATTCAGAAAGGATATTCTTTCATAGTATCTTTACAACAAATCTGTCTTATGTGAAGGACAGACATTTATTCCTGCTTAAAAGAAGCCGATACAAAGAGATGACATATGCACGGCAATGAGATTTCCATCTAAAAATACACAGATGCCGTCTAAGGAGAGGGAAACCTGGTCTTACAAAGGAAAACATAAACTTTATTATATTTTAGAACAGATTTGTGCATGTGACAAATTCCAACTTACTTACCCAATTTCACATGACCATTATCCGTTAATAGAATGTTAGCTCCCTTCAAAGTAACAATATTTTAGTTAAAGTAGGAAATAGATATTTTATCAGACAGCACATATATAATAAATGAACATATTTAAAATAATCACAGCCTTACACCTAAAAATACTTAAAGTGTGCTTAATCAAAATGTTATATCATTATAGTCACAGGAAAATCTACTGTCTACATTTCAGGCAACTTGACTATCATAAAATGTTCTGCCTTGCAAAAAAGCTGCTACTAACATAGTATGAATGTTAATGTAGAAGTGATATATTAGTTTTCATCAAAGTGTTTCTTCCTTGATCAAACACTATTACTACATTAAAATGTAATCTTACAATGCATTTTCAACTATTTATATTATACTTTAAACTTGATTATTATTTCCTTTTTTTTCTTTTTAAGAATCTCCCTTTCTAGGAACTCACCAGCAATTGAACCAGTGTTGGTAAGTGAGACTACCCTAATATGCCTTGCCAAGCACTTAGGCCCATCCAGTATGTTAACTAGTCACAGGCCCACACAATTAAAATATCACCCATCTTCATGATCTGGTTACATTTTAGCCACTTTTGCTTCTTGACCTAAGCTCAAAGAAGATAATGATGACTTCATCTTCAATAAGTTCAAAGCTTCTGGAAGAGGTAGAAATACTATATCCCAAAGGTAGTGGGGGCTCTCTTTAGTTTAAGGTGCAGGGTGGAAAAAATACTGGGAACGCTCCTACTCTCAACCAACATGAGGAACAAACAGTAAAAGACTGGTGTAGGGGATAGGGGGTGGAAGAGAAAGAAAAAAGTTCCCAAACTCCAAATGTCACCAGTGAAGCTGAGCTGTACCCACCCACTGATACTACTGTAGCTCTATGGAATGGTGGGGGGAGGAGAAAAAGGAAAGAGACTAGGAGCAGGGATTTTAATCTAGTCCCTAGCAATCTAAGACTTCTGCCAGAGGCTTCAGTTTGGCCTCTTCCTAGCTCAGACTAATTTTCCTAAGTTAGAGTTTACATCGCATCACTTGTACATCATTGGCCTTCCTCTCCTCCTTCCCTTCCCTCCTTTCCTTCCTTTCCCCCCGAGAGACTACTAGTAGTCAGGTGCTATTTTAAGCTCTGGGGTTACAGTAACGAATAAGTTCCAATTCTCATGGAGTTTACATTCAAGTAGGAGCAAAAAAACTAAAAATAAATATATTTATCATCTCTCTATGAATGAATGAACCCACGGAGGATTCAAAGTCAGACAGCGATAATTACTCTGAAGACAGGGCAGGGAAGGCCTCTCTGAAGGCAGTAATGTATGAGCAGAGATCTGGGTGAAGTAAGGGTACAGAGCCACATCAAAATCTGGGAGATGACTATTTCAGGAAAGAAGGAGGGAATTTGAAGACCTGGGGCCAGAATAAGCTCAACATATTCCAAGATCAGCAAGTTTAGTGTGGCTGGAAAAGAATGAGTAAAACAGAGAAGTGGAATGTAAGATGAGGTCACAGAGAAATACATGGGTCAGATCACGTATAACCTTGTAGGTCATAGTAAAGGCATCTGGACTTTATACTCAGTATGATGGGAAACCAATGGTGGTTTATAAGCAGGAAAGTGATAATATCTGATTGAAAAAAGTCCCTTTGGTCATCAAGTGGAAAAGTGACTACAGAACCACTAAGAATGGGAGAAGTGAGACCTCTTAAAAGGCTATTACAGAAGACCACGTGATATAATATTCTGGTGGCTTAGACAGGAGTAGAAATGGTGGTGATGGCCCAAATCTGTCCAATTAGGCCCAGACTCTGAAGTCTAGCACATAAGTCCTTGGATAATGGAACACCAAACTACCCAACCAGCCCCATCTCTCATTAGTCTCATACGTTTCTTCCCTTCAATAATATGGTACAGTTTTTATGTTCTCTAAAATGGCCTCACACTTTCTAATCTCTGTATCTGCTCACACTGTTTTCTCTGCTTGAAATGTACTCCAACTTCCATTTCTGACAAGAATCTATCAATCCTCCCAGATCATCTACATGCCAACGACACGGAACCTTTTTTGAGCTACTCATCTTCCTATGATCTCTTCTACCTTTGAACTCCAAAAGCTCTTTGCTTATGTCTTTTAAGTGGCTTACAAAGAATACCTTGAAACAAGGGATCTCAGCAGATCATCTGTGAGTCCACTGAAATTTCATGGAAAATTTGAAGACATGTGCATAAGGGCATTTTCTCAGAAGAGAGTTCATGGTTTATCATCAGAGATCCAGAGAGCAATAAGGTTTGCCCGAGCCCCAATCCTCAAAAAAGGTTAAGAATCTTTATGTTAGAGAAAACGTGAGAAAATAAAAGGGGAAGAGAGAAACAGGAGGAAAGATGAACAAGGAAGGCACAAGAAAAATAAGTGAAAGAAAAAAAAAATCTAAACTAGGGAGATGGCAGTATCTTTAGAAATACGCTTACGAGTCCTACCATAGCACCTGCTGTGCCACTGAGCTAACTCCAGCACATCTAGAACACCTGCCCTCCTCTGCCAGCTAAATAAATAAAAGACTCTGAAAAGGCAGGACACGGTGGCTCATGCCTGTAATCCCAGCACTTTAGGAGGCTGAGGTGGGAGGATCACCTGAGGTCAGGAGCTCAAGACCAGCCTGGCCAACATGATGAAATCCCACCTCTACTAAAAATACAAAAATTAGCTAAGCGTGGTGCCAGGTGCCTGTAATCCCAGCTATTCAGGAGGCTGAGGCAGGAGAATCACTTGAACCCAGCAGGTGGAGGTTGCAGTGAGATCGCAACACTGCACTCCAGCTTGGGTGACAGAGCAAGACTTCATCTAAAAAAAAGAAAAGACTATAAGAAACGTCGAGGCTCAGTTTATCCATTTTGATGCATTACTAAGACTTACACTTAAGACCGCCAAAGCTTACTGAAATAGTCAAAGCATAAAACTTACTAAAAACTATAACTTGATGAAAGCTATGAACTTACTCTACATTTTACTAATAACTACAAAGAAGCTAAAATGAGTTATTAAAACATTAATCTAATGAATGATACATTTTAAAAGGGTGAATTTTATGGTATGTGAATTGTACTGCAATAAAGCTGCTATAAAAATATTAATTAAAAGTATCATTCATTTTTATTATGGTAACATATTTTAGATAAATTTATCAAATAAAACAACTTTGCTCAACAATTTGATCAGAGTATTTAAAAATAAAGAGAGGGTTATTATGTTAAAAATATAATGTATACCTTTATGTCTCTGTGCATTTTTCCTTTACTGTGAAGATAATACAATCCCTGGAGTTTCAAAAAACAGAAAAATAAACAAGATTTTATCACAGAGCACACTTTGGGATTTTATATGATCAAATGAGTAGTATTCTGTGTATTCTATGTAATCTTTACAGAGGATCTAGTAGTATCTCTAACATATTTTAATGAGATATCCCTTAAAAAAATCAAGAAAACGAGTAATGTTTCTAAGAAAATTTTCAGTAAATTCTACAGATAGTTTGAAATAACTTTAAAAAAGTATAAACCTAATTAGTATCAGAGTGTTTGGATTCCCAAGACAGTGCTTAACTTTGAAGGCTTTCTTTGGTATTAAGAGGAAAACATACAATAACAGATCCACAGTGCTTAAATTTTAGGTTATATCATCACATTTAGGCTTTAAAGTGTTTATTTGTAAGCATAATTTGAGTTCATTGCACAATTTTCAAAAGCATTAAAACTAATTTTAAGAGTTTACCAAACCAAAATATTTAATTCCTATATTGCTGAACAGGTAATGCACAATAAGTAAACATTTAGTTTAATGAAAAATGTTATTTTTCAATTAGCACTTGATTTACCTGCAGTGTTTCTCTGCTAACATATGCAATCTGCAGCTCTGACAAAGGTCCAGTTACTGTAAAAGAAGAAAATTAACCCTCATAAAATTAGTCAATGCGTTTTTCAATATATAATAAAGTTTTGCAAGTTTAAGCAACAGACTTAATAACCTAAACAATTCTACTGAAATGTAAGCTAGGACTACAGGCATGAATTACTCTGCTACTGTGCCTGGCTCCAGTTTTTCGCTATTTTTTTGAAACAGGGTCTCATTATTTCAACCAGGCTGGAGTGTAGTGGTATGATCACAGCTCCCTGCAGCCTTGACCTCCTGGGCTCAAGTGATCCTCCTGCCTCAGCCTTCTGAGTCGCTGGGGGCATAGGCATGCACCACCATACCTGGCTAATTTTTTATTTTATATTTATAGAGATGGGGTCTCACTATCTTGCCCAGGCTGGTCTTGAATTTCTGGGCTCAAGCAATCTTCCCGCCTCAGCCTCCTAAAGTGTTGGGATCACAGGCGTCAGCCATTGTGCCCAGCCAAGTTTCTGCTTTTTAAAAATCTGATTTGCTCATCGTTGTATCTCCAGTGTACAGAACAGTGCCTGACACAGAAAAGCAGCCTGATAAATATTTATGGAATGAAAGATTGTCTAAAGTAGCCACTAAAATTATGTTCTCATTTTTATATCTCATTCATCAACATCATCTCTTAAACATTAAAAGAAAAGATGTCCAGGGGGTTTAGCTAGCTTTTATTTTTTAATATCTTTGTTTTTTAATTAATTAATTATTTTTTAGACAGAGTCTTGCTCTTTTGCCAGAGTTGAGTGCAGTGGCCTCCCAAAGTGCTGGGATTACAGGCATGAGCCACCACGTCTGGACTACCTAGTTTTTATTAAAGCTTTTTAATTGATGTGGAACATGTACTATGACTAGTTTTGATTGAATACTTATTATAAAAATATTAGCTACATTGCTATAAAATTAATATATGTTCAATCTAAAAAAATTCAATCTAGAGAAAAGTTTGGAAAGTAAAGGTCTCTTCTTTATCCAAAATATTACTCAATAGTAAGCAATACCAATAATTTGGTCTATAACCTGCCAGATGATCTTATACAGACATTTTATATACTATATGTATTCCAGAAACACATAAGTAGAATCATATTATAGCAAACAATTCTGAAACCTACTCTTTTCACTTATGACGAACATTTTTCCACATCAATACATAGGTCTTAATCTTATGAATAATATTTCCTCTGTGTGCATCTGCTAATTCCCTCTGGAACTCATGTTGAAACTTAATCTCAAAGCGGGGGCTTTGAGGAGAAGACTAGGTAATGAGTACTCATCTCTTGTCAATGAGAGTAAGACTCTTAATAAAAGAGACTTTAAGCAGTGTCCACTCTTTTTTACCCTTCCATCTCTTCTGCCATGTGAGGACACTGTCTGCACTCTATGAGAAACAGGTCTTTGCCAGACACCAAACCTGTTGGCACCTTGATCTTGTACTTCCCAGCCTCCAGAACTGTGAGAAATAAATTTGTTGTTTATAAATTATTCAGTCTCAGGCATTTCGTTATGGCAGCACAAACAGAGCATCTGTACACTATAAAGTAGTTTTCTTTTTCACTATTAAATCACTTTAGAATAAAGAAAGTGAAACAGACTATTCTAGAAATTGAATTAAATTCCAAAGATGGAAACCTTGGCTAGATAGTAAACTCACATTTACATAAACTTAACAGATTTGTAAACATGTTTGGTTTTGAGTACTTGTGGTATTTTACAATTATGAAAGAGAGAAATCTATTCCACTTAGATTATTTTAAGGACACAGTTGGGTTTAAATAAATGTCTACGGATAAACTATAAATAACTTATTTCTGTGGCTTCCAAGCCCACACACATTCAGTAAGATACACCTCCTTGAGATTTCTGTTTCTATAATATGATAAGTAAGATAATCTGAAAATGCTGAAAATAACACCTGGAAGTGAAAGACAAAAAATCTTTTTAGAAATAACCTTTTAAATTACTAGCTAAGTTTGCAAACAGTAAGATATTTTCCCAGGAGACAAAAGCAAAAACTGAAAAGAAAAACAGAAAGTAAAACTGTGAAAGAATATTCTAGCTATCTCTTAGGGGAAGGTCCATCTTGGTAAGCTAGGGTTTTAGTATTATCCTCTACATGGGTACAGGACAAGGCCCTATGTCTGCAGAAGAGCTAAAACAAACACCCAAATAAAGCTAGAATCCTCAAAGGAATACATCCTCATTAAAGGTGTGGACAAGCAGAGAAGACAACTAGGGATTTTGGCTGTCATGGGGATGGAGGAAAAATGTCCCTCCTCCGCCTCCCAGGTTCAAGTGATTCTCCCACCTCAGCCTCCCGATAGCTGGAAATACAGGCACACGCCATCACGCCTGGCTAATTTTTATATTTTTGTAGAGATGGAATTTCACCATGTTGGCCAGGCTGGTCTTGAACTTCTGACCTCAGGTGATTCACCCGCCTTGGCCTCCCAAAGTGCTAGGATTACAGGCATGAGCCACCGTGCCCAGTCCTTCTTTGTCTTTTTTCTACCCAGTTTACCTATCTTTTAAAGACCAATGTAAAGCTCATTTTCCTTATTAAGCTTTCTAAAATGATTCTAGAAAATCCATCATTTTTCCTATTTCAATTGTAGTTAGCAGCCCAGTAAAATACTATTATGTCAATCTTTATGTTAAGTAAAACCTATGCCAAGAAGATAAAGTGAAATGAAGTAAAACAGAAACAGTAAAATTCCGGTCCAAACAGTCTTATGCCTCTGCTTTAGTGTAATTCGTCCCTCAAATTACTTAAGTGACTCCACACTAGAAAATAGGAGCTCAAATTCTATGAAAAAATGAGAAAAAAGGCCCAAAATATTTTCTCAGAAAGTATACATTAAATAGACATTATTTTATTTTACGCTAATCAAAAGGCTACTCAGCAGTTTGCGACAATAATCCACTAACAGAAACAGAAAAGACAAAGGCTGTTTAACTTTACAAATCTCTCTTATATACTTCTTGAAATCCCAGTGAAAAATGTTGTAATAATCTTTTGAATTCCTCAGAATCTGGCAATATCTAAGAGAATAAACATTCAATTGATATTTATTGAATACATGAGAGCAAAATCAATTATCTTTGTATTATCACTACTCATGCATACACTGGATATTGTACCAGCTTAGCTTTAGCCAGCAAAGCCCTTGCATTTTTACAGATCTGAGCTTAAATTTTTGAACTAACTACAATATGCCTCTTCAGAATTAGCAAATAATTCAATTTAATTTATTTAATTTTCCGACTTATAAAGCAAAGACTCCTTTCTTCCATATATATCTAAAATACCTTTATATATCCAAATAATATAATGATAAAACATAGCTTGCTTTTCTTAAGATGATGTTGATATTTTAATATAGCAAATTGCTGTATTTTAAGAAATTCGACCTAATACCTATAAAAATGTAACTTTGGTCTTACCATGATAAATATCCTGTAAAGAACCACCTCCACAAAACTCCATGCAAATCCAAAGCTTATCTCGCCTATAAAGAGAAAACAAGCATGTATCATATTTTCATGATTAAAACTGTGTGAGGTAACAAATCTTTTAACAGTGTATGCTGTAACACTGAAAAACAACAAATGTAATCTGTTATCTTTAAAATATTTAATCTTTGTGAGTAAATGAGTTACTTAATATGTGTTACTATAATCCAACCTGAGGTTTTAAACTTATAATACACCATTTGTTGGATATGAAGCGGTCATCAGGCACATCCAAATAATGAAAATATTTTCCTTTAGTTAAAAACTTCCCCTCCCCAACAGTTTATACATCTACCCAGATTCTTCACAGACAAATAGCAATAAATCTCAAAGCATACTACTGATAGCACTCTCTTGTAAATGTTAGTTTCATATCTAGATTCAACAATGATTTTCCCAAAATACTCTTAAAATTTATCACTCACTTCTCTTTAGATAGCACTTGTCTGACACTCAAATTATATGCTGTTGTAATCATATAGTCATAGGAGAAATAATCAGCAGTGATTTACATAGCTTATTCCTTTGTTCAGTCATTCATTACTTAACCTCTTAAAATGTACCAGGAAATGTACTATTCCTGGTACAGAGATGGGACCGAAAATCTCTTAACTCAGCGAGCTCCGTCTAATGCAGAAGAAAGATTCTACCTTAATATATGTCGGTCTCTCTCACCACTGCCTTCTCAATGTCTAGAAGAATAGCCAGCAAATAAATATTTGTTCCATAAATGAATAAATACATGAATGACTAAAAGAATAAACATATTAAATTAGACTGAGGTCAGGAAAATATGGCCAGTGGGCCAAATCTAGCCTGCTGCCTGATTTTGCACACCTCTGCAACTATGAATCGTTTTCCTATTCTAAAATGGTTGGGAATGGTTCTGTCACTTGTAACTAAAATTAATAAAACGATTGGGAAAATAATACAAACAATAATATTTGACACATGACATACATGAAATTCAAATTTTAGAGCCGATAAAGTTTTATATGAACACAGTCATACTCATTTATTTCTATACTGTCTACAGCTGCTTTTGTGCTAGAACAGAAGAGCTGAGTAGTCATTACAGAGACCATGTAGCCCACAAAGCCTAAACTATTTACTATATATCCCTTTATAGAAAAAGTTTGCTGACTTGGGTTAGATCATAATTTGATTAATACATAGTCTAGGCATATATAAAGTACTCTGAGAACCCAGAGATGAAAATCCGTAGGAAAATGAATGGAAAATTTTAGGGAGGAGAAAACATTTGAATTGGGTCTTGAAATTAAAGCAGAAATTTACCAGAGACAGGAAAGCAACCTGTGCAAAAAAACGGAGACTTGAAAGGAATACACATGTGGGAGACTGTGGGTGATTTTATGTGAGTTGAAGAAAGAGTCCTGAAGAGACAATAGCAGGAAATAAACCTAGATTAGGCTGGGGTCACACTGTGAAACAATCCTTTGTTTATCCCTTTCTGTAGATAATCTCTAGATGGTCCTTGTCTCTCTTAAAATGTGGTATCCAAAATCAAGTACTATTCTTAGTGTTACATGAACAACACATTAAAAAGTGGAGATGCCAAGCCAGGCCCAGTGGTTCACACCTGTAATCCCAGTGACTTGGGAGGCTGAGGCAAAAGGATTGCTTGAGGCCAACAGTTTCGTATCAGCCTGGGCAACTTAGTGACTCTCATCTCTTAAAAAATAGAAAAACGTAGCCAGGAGAAGTGGTGCATACCTGTGTTACTTCCTACTCAGCAGGCCAAGGCCGGGGTGGGGGTAGTATTACTTGAGCCCAGGAGTTCAAGGTTATAGTGAGCTATGATAGTGCCACTGCACTCCAGCCTGGGTGACAGAGCGAGATCCTGACTCTTAAAAAAAAAAAAAAAAAAAAGTAGAGATGCTTTTATGAGTCATAGGTCACATATTGTTGGTGGTAGTGGGATTAGCTAGACCAAAGAGGTGAGCTGACTTGGCTGCAATGGACAATGCAGCATACAAAAAGAGAGCACAAGCTATCAGAGTGCAAAGGTCAATCAATTTAAGAGTATGAAGTAGCAAGGTATCATGGTTCTAGAAGGTAAAGCTAAAGAGAGTAAGGCCCAAAATAAATCTGAAGCCACCCAGGATCTACAATTCACAGGGGGTCCACATATAAATGAAACTGAAGGATACAGCTAATATAAAAATTTGTTTTAATTTCTAATATGGCAAATACCAATAGACATAACTTACATGAATATATGCCAGCTGCCCAGTGGCCTGGTGTAAAGAACTTTCAGAGTGGACGTGTAGGACCTGGTAGATGTATGGTCTTATGAAAAACAAGGAAGCTACTTATGACTAGTCCTTGCTACACAGGGAGAAGCATAAATCCCCCAGAAACTCTAATAATTTTCTCCTTTATTTGATCACTGTATTTCTATTACACTTAGCTGAAAGCTAACTTTAACTTCTCAGCAACTATATTAAACTGCTAGTTTACAGTTTATAGTTAACAAAAACCTCTGGATCTTTTTAAAATAGAAGGCAGACCAGTTCTCTCTCCAGCTTCAGATTTGTCTATCTGGCTCACTGAAACTAAGCATAGGACTTTTTTCTTATTTGTTAAATCTTACATTTAAAAAAATAAAAGTAGTTTTGATTCACACCCCTTTATTTCTGACAGGTGTCTTATTAGCTCTCCCAGCATATCACTTTAAAATGATTCAGCAAAGAAAGCATAACACACACTTGCATGAGGTTTAATCCACATCCTTAGAGCAGGGAGCTAACATTTTTAAGTATCCTAATTGGAAATACACCTCTCCACTCCTGCTCCCAACTCCCACACTCCAGAAACAGCTGGTTAGCATCTGAAAGAACCTAAATCAGGAGTCTACCCTCCAGAGGTAGCAACTGTAAGAACTTGGCTTATAAACTATTTTAATCTGCACTAGTGGGTTTACTAATGAGCTTAAATAATATTATAAATATTTTAAAACATGAATGGCACTCTATGTAGATTACTTAGAATTATCATTTGGCATTTCTTTGCCTCTGCCTGAGGTCCAAAGACTCTGGCAAGTCCATTAGTCAACAATATTTTGAATGATACTTAGGCTCCAATTTGGATATATCTAGAATGCAGATTCCATAGCCTGATCTCTCCAGGTTACTTGAATCCTTCCTCCAGAACAGTGGTTCTCAAAGTGTGGTCTGGGGGTACCTTGAGAGGCCCTGAGACATTTTCAGGGGACCAGTAAGGTCAAAACCATTTTTATAACACAAAGAAATTATTTGATCTTTACATTCTCTTTCATGAAAGTACAGTAGAGTTTCCCAGAGACTATGTGAAGTGTGATAATGCTGTCATCCCTGACAGCTACTAGCTGTATTCCTGAGTTTTAAAAATGTCTCAGCTTTCATTTCTAGTATGGTAAATGGCAATAGATATAATTCATATGAAACAAAAGCTCTCTGGGGGTACTCAGGGGTTCTATGCCCAAAACGGTTGAGAACCACAGCTCTAAAATACCTTCACATCTGCCACAAGTGAATCTTTCATGCTAAATGCCAGCCCAGAGTGCTTAAGATGCAGGCAACTGGGTTGTCACACAGCTTACAAAAACAGGTTGAAATACTGTTTTGGGGTCTGCTTAGGATTAATAGAGTAATAGGTAAACTGCTTAGTAAAAGATCTGGAATACAGCACAATAAATGTAAGCTGTTTTCTACTCTTTTTGTTATAATTTATCTTGCAGTGTACTTACTTAAGTCATCTTAAATTGTTCCTGAACTTGGTGAAAGTATAAATACATATATTTTTTTCTTTTTTAAGGAAAAAAATTAAGAGAGAGGATTGATCTGGCATGACTTCTTACTAAAGTCATGTTACTCATAACTTCTTTAAGTGGTCACTAATTATCTGATTAATAATTTATCCTACAGCTTTGCTAGTAACTGATGAGTGATACCAACTTTAATAGTCTTTATTTTCTAGAAACCACCTTTTCCCTTCATTTATAAACTAGTCATTGATGATTTCTAATCTTTGACACCTCTTCTGTTTGTCAAGATACTTAGTGATAATGGACTACCATCACATTTGCTAAATTTTCAATATGAGATATACTTTATATAAATCTAAAAATGTCTAAAAATTTAAGGTATCTAGCTGCTCTATAATTATCTACTCACCATCTTGTGTTTCAATTCCATCTTAATATTGTTTTTCCTACCCCTTCCAGTTTGAAAACAATTTTCCTTGCAGGAAATGAGTTCTCGCTTTTTACGTATTTCAGTATGACACTACCTTCTACTTGAAGTTGGTCTATTCTCTTTTCTCCCTTAGCTTAAACATATAATTTTCTATTCATCCTATGAAAAATGACTTGTCAGCTTACAGGTAAAAAAAAAAATCAGGACTGTATATATTAATACTTTACTTTTTAAGATGTCTAAAACACTTTACTTTTATAATATTCTATTTAAAGTCTGGTATTATCAAAAAAGTTTGAGTAGTCATAGACTATTAGAGAAATGACTTTCATCTGTTCCATGAATCTCTCTTTTACAATGATAAATCTATATTTAGTTTTGGTCAGTCACCAAGCCATATGCCTAACAGAAAAAGTCTTGAGTCAATCAGCCCGTTTTATGCAGGCCAATTATAAAATCTTTGTCCCTAGGTGGCTGAACTGAAATAAAATTAACCGCTGAGATCAATGTTCAATGTATCAGTATTAATATCCTGACTCAACAAATCCTTAGAATTCTTTTTTCTCATTTTGTAAATTATCTATCTTATAAGAAATAGAAAAATAAGTAGAGGGAAAACAGTTAACTATTTTGATATCTACCAGAGCATACAGGGACCAAAATTCTAATGGCTATTTTATAGTTCTGAAAATCTTTTAATTCCTAAAACACGCTTTTTCATCTTTCCACATTTTGTAATATATCAGACTTAAAATTGATCAACCAAACTAAGTATATTTATATATTTTTCCCAAACATAG